TCAGAACACGTTTTTTATTTCCTTCTTACCCCCTTCACTCCAACCCTGCTTCCATACCTTCGTCAATTCTTAACGAAAGAGTTTACAAGTTTAAACCAAACAATCGTGAAAGAAGATTAAAGCAATCTTTATAAAAATGGAGGAACTCAATCAGAATAAAACAATTCATCAGCTTCCAGAAGAGATCATTGCTAAAATATTCAAATGTTTGAATACCGGATCATTAAAATCTGCTGCGCTTACTTGCAAATCGTAAGTATTTTGTACATTTTCAAATTTTCGTAATAAAAAGTTAAATTTGATTTTAAGATGGAATGATATAGCATCCAGAATGGATTGGAGTTTAAAATTAGATTCTGGAACTTCCTCACAACATGATGAAGAAAAGTTGCTGGAGAGCAAACGAAAATTTGAATCGATCAAACTTCAATCAAAGCATGAATGGAACAATCGTTTGGTGGATATTTTTGAGAAACATGGTAATAAAGTGCAGTTATTAACTCTCTATTCATGCACAATCAACAACATGGGAACATTTTGTAAAATTCTAAATGCTATGCCAAACTTGAAGAAGATTATTTGCTTTGACACATCAACTAAAAGATTGCCAACTGAATTTCCCGATGATGACTTGCCCCAACTTCAAAAGCTCGAAACCTTGGAGCTGGCAAACTGTAGCTACGATTTGCTGGGATGTTTCAAAAAACCTCAAATCAACACTTTTAAAATTTATGGATCTTATAATGATGAAAAACAAGATCCAAAGATTTTGTTTAACTTTTTAGCCACTCAAAAGAACATCAAATGTCTTGCCTTGCGACAATTAAATGAAGAAAATTGTCAAGTCTTCGAATCTCCTATTAAATCTGAAAATGTTCCTTTCAAACTGAAGAAACTTTCATTATGGAACATCAAACTTCGTGAAACGCCAAACGATTACAATAACTTGTTGAAGTTTCTTCAATTCCATTCAAACACAGTCGAAGAGTTGGAACTGAGAACCAAGTATCCCAGATTCATAATCGAATATGTTTTTTCAAAGTTCAAGAGACTTTCATCATTAAGAATCGATGGAAAAATAATCCCGAAGAAATTAAGTTTTTATCAGCGACTTGAAGTCAATCCAAGTGTTAAAAGACTCATAATTTTCAATCCACCTTATAATAGTGATATTTTAAAAGAATTCTACAAACACATTCCTAACGTTGAAACATTCGTCATAGTGGCAGGAGAAGTCGAAAATATGGCAATCGCTTCAAGTGTATTTACTCGATTAAAGCATTTAACAGTTCCTTTCTCGTATGAAACATTCGACAACGATGTAAAGTTTCCAAACTTGCGAACAATTCATTTTGACTACATGTATGATCAAATAGACTGGACAACACTTGCAGCTAATAATCCCAAAGTGACGAAAATAGAAATTGATCATTTCAAAGAAGATTTTGATTATGTTGAGATGTTGAGTCAAATGAAAAAATTACAAATTTTTAACCTTTCCATTGAAACCAACGATAATTACTTTAAAGCTTTATACGAAGAGACTCAAGATTTGAAATTGTTGCGTATTCATGAAGCTAGTTTTAAAGAAAATCATCCGGATCTTTCAGATATTAAATGTTTGAGCTTGAATGTCGATAAGTTTGCAGATACTTTTAGAATTGGAGAGTTCTGGGATTACGGAGATTACTCAGATATATTTTTTGAATTAGATATGGATGAAGAAGATAGCTGGAGCACATTAGATCCTTTTGAATTCGATGATGATGATGATGATGATGATGATAATGATGATGATGATGATGATGACGATGACGATGATGATGATGATGATGATGATGATGATGATGATGATGATGATGATGATGATGGAGCTCTTTATTATCCTAATCTTTTTTAATCCATTCATTATTATAATGCCAAATTCGTTTCGCTCTATATATAAATACCTATATAAAAGAATCTACATAAAACATAATTTAAGAATCATTTCCCATTTATGTGATTCAAATGAAGTGCTGTGATGTGGCCAAGATCTCAACAAATGAAATAAAAATTAACTTCCTTTTGATACGGAAATTGATGTTGGAGTTATCATTCATGTAATTATTTTGTTTTGTTCTTAAAATAATTTTAGCCTCCTGTTTATATGGATATATGGTAAGCATTATGTTGTTATTTGTAGATCATGCTGTTTTTTTGATTCAAAGATTCTCTGCAAATAAAAGATACGAAAATCAACTGTTTGAACAGAAACAATCCTGGAAATATTTTTTTCATGAAATTTAAATTAATGAATTTAACCGACTTTTATAATTTGAATTTATCTGTAACTTGACTCAGAATGTGTCTTGGCTATGTTTGATGAAAAAATTCTTCTGAAAAGTTAAATGAAAAAAAAATTCTTTGAATTCCAAAAATCAAAGTTCAAAAGTCAAAAAAAACTTTGTTAATTTTCAATTTTATTATCATTTTCATTGAAACTTTTTCAAAAAAGGAAAGGAATTACATCAATTTTCTTGAGTTAGTTAGTAGTGAAGGTACGATAATGTTGCTGCTTGTTGATGGTTGAATAGAATAATTTCAGTTAATTGTTAATCATGTAATTAAGTCGTAATATGACATAAATTTATGTCTAAAATTTAAGTTCATCTTAAAACTATTTAAAATGGTTTTTCTTATAAAACTTTCATAATGTAATTAAAAAATTCTTTAATAAGGACGGAAGAAAAATTAAAAGAAAAAATGCATGTCAGTGACAACAAAAATAAAAATAAAAATTTGTTAAAAAAGAGATTGAAGCGAAATAAAATTAGGCTTTGAAGATTATTTGTATATCAAATAGATACTTAAGCCAAAGGCACTGGACACAATTATTGATTAAGTAAATTTAATTTCGGATCCCAACTTAAAATCTAACCTGATAATACATAATTAAGTATTTTTCTTTTAACTTCACCAAATGTTCATCCCAAATCTCTCTTAATGTGGGATCCACGACTCCAATTGTCTCATCCTACGCATGATGCAAAAAAACTTAATAATTATTTCTTAATTCAATAACAACTCCACCGTTACCATTCTTATTGTGATTCACATCATAATACTTCAAGCTTGGAACATGAGTTGGTGATGGCGTCCCAAAGTTACGACTTGTCGTGACCTTTTTGATCTCGTGTCGTTCGATTGTCGTTTCTTTCTTCGTACGGGGATCAATCTCTGTTGGAATAACTTTCTTCGAGAATGTTTCAACAGTGTCGGTAACAGTTGGATTCAAAGGATCATTTGACTTTGTCTGATATTTGTAAGTTTCCGAATAGTTGTCGTTATCAGTTGAATTCGAACCACGTCTTAATATTCCAATCGGCGAATCTTTACCAACAATTGGCGACGACCTTGACGAACCTTTCGATCCAGACGACTCACGTTCAGTAAATTTTATGTTTTTCTGGGTCATTTCTTCTTCGCCATGCAATGTCTTGTACAATTCTGGAGCTTGATCGTGTAATCCCCGAAGGAAAGTACTTTTCTTCAAGTCTGGCGTTCCATGACGAAATGGCGATGAATTATAGCGACGATCGATATATTGATGATCGTTTCCATTCAACTGTGTCAAATCTCGTGTACTTCGACTGATCAAATTCACAATCGACGGAGATTTCAATTTGATCTCGTTCAAATTATCAGTCAAGTGTGGCGTAGATTTATAAATGGATGTGTGATGTGTTGTTGTTGTAATGACACGAGAATCGGGCTCCTTATGGTGTCCATTCGAGTAATTTTTGTAGTTGTTGTTCGTCAGTTTCTCCATATAGATTGGTGATGGATCGTTCGTTCCATTCATTCCATGTACGTTGAAGCTTTTACTGCGTTGAAGCGCTTTATATGTTCGAGCTGGTTTCGCTGGTCCCGTGTTCTGAACTGGGTGATTTTTAACGTTGTTTACAATCGAAACGTTGATCGTCGACTGAGATATTGGCTTCTGCTTATGATGATCAAGTTTACGCGGCAATGTTTGTGAGTTACGATAGTTTTCGTTTGATTCATTTAGAGCGGCTGACGATGAGAAACCATTTTTGGTTTGTGTTGATGTGCCGTTCGTTGTAAGGCGATTTGTGCTTTTGCTGAATCGTCCCAAGCTGTTAACGTTAGATCTGAAAATATATAAAGAAGGAAAATATTTACTTATAATGGAATTTTCAAGATCAAGGTCAATTGTCATGAATCGCTTTTAAGCATTTCATAAGCGGCATGATTCAAATAAAAATTCTACGAAGATTTTGTCTCATTCGTGAAGAATTTATCGCTATTCTAGTTCTATTTAAATACCGTAAAAACGTTTGTTGTTTGAAGAAACAATGAATCAAATCAAGTTATAAAAAAAGATTAAGTTTTCAATCGTACAAAAAATGACTCAATTGCTTTTATGTTTCGCACAATCTTTTTTATTTTTCCTTTCAAGCATGCGACTTCACCACCATAATTGCCATCAGCCAATGTCACAACATAACACGAAGGAAAGCATAAATCGATAGCATTTCAAGATCAAACAATGTTGCGAGTGGCAAATGCCTGAATACTTTTAAACTTGTTCTTTCAACCCCGACACAAGAAGACAATGCGTTCACGAACTTTTCAATGTTTCTCTGAAGGCATTAATTGGCTTTAACGCGACTTAAGCTTTGTTGCCATTGTTAGCAACATTTCCTATTGGCTCTCTCAATCATGGCGATTTCCATAAATGGACTTTAATCAATGTTACTATTTGTTAATTCTCCGTACAGTAATTTTTTCTTAAACGAACTGAGAGATCTTTTACAATAATTATGAGTTTCGCTTGTGCTGTCGTTTTACGGTTTCAAGACAGTTTAAGGAAAAAGAAATTCCATTTTTTTGCAACAAAATATCTCTTTCGGGGAACTTGGAACTTGGTTAAATAAAATAACAATTCAGTTGAGTAATTTGTATGTTAATGAGAGAGACATTGTCCGATAGTCTGAAGGAATAGGCGAAGACGATCTTAGCTTACGGTTTTCTTTTGTTGTTGTTGAAAGAGAATTTAAATTGCTTTTAAATTGGCGACTTTTCTTTAAGGATGATTTAATGTCGCAATATGTTGTCGACGTTGTAGGTTGGAAATTGTATTCAGTGTCTCAAAATAAAGATTTCAACTCAGCTGACAGTCAACTTCTTTGTTTTGAAAACACCTTTTAACAAGCAATCTCAATTCAATTTGTCTTTTCTTTTCGCTACAAGAAGTAAGAACTGTCACCACTTGGAAGTCTATAAACAGACGCTTAAAATGAAATCAGATCATGTAAGTTTGGCTAAGGTTGAAACGTAATAGAATGACTTTCAGATCACACTTAGTAGTGTACCTTAAAAGGTGATGGCACTCGCCTTTTTTTTAGTTTTTGGCCAATGAGATGATCAGCATCATGTTGATTTGTTGTCATACCAAAAAAAGTTCTTAAAACTCGAAACAATTAACTAGTCTCAGTCTTAAGAACAGATTAAAGAAAAAATCATTCTCAAGATGCTGCTGCTTGCGTCTCAGTCAATTCAATTCGTCTTAAGAATAAAATGAACATATTTTAAATATTTATTAAAATTAGCTACAAAGTTCTTTTCATTCCAAGGAGCTTCCCAAAGTAATGCCACCCACAACATTTCAACCAAATGCCATTCTTCAATCGTTTAGAAATGATCGACGCAAATTGATTTTCATTTTTCAAATACGATTATCTTGTTGTAAAGATATTAATTAAGATATTTATCCACACGGAAATTTTGCAATCGATAATTTAAAACGTAATTTGAAGCTGAGTTTACATGGAAAAGTCGCTGAGTATTGATTTTTAATATCTACAATTAAATGAAGTAAATCACAGAGGAATCTGATAAATAAATTAGCATGTAATAATTTTACATTTATATCGCACTTTAAAAGGAAACTTACACGAATCTAAATAAAGGCTTTGATGTAACTCTCGTGTAATGTTTTTTTTGAAATGATTTCAATCAACCTTGATCAGATTTTCATTGCATTCTTTGTCTTTTTTATTTACGTTCTTTCTCTTGCTTGCTTATTAGCACATCGAAAGCTACTTCCGTAAATTATCGCAAACTTTTGCCTTGTTTGGATTTGACGATGTCATCGATGGAATTCCATCAGCTTTTGAACATTTCTAGTCGAAAAATTCGTGTGTTCTTGCGTGGGTTGAACAGTCAATGGAAATAAAAAGTGAACAAGCTCGACAGGTTCTCTCGAACGGAATGAAATAGTTTTGCTACCAAAGATTATGTATTGAAGCTTTATCTTAATCCCTTTCAGCAACTTTTAACAAATTAAGTAATTTTAAAGCGTCGAATTGAGTCGCGAAATTCTGCGTCGAATAAACCAAAATATACAAAGAAATAAAATTAACATAAATAAACTTCAAGACTCCATCGACAATTTCTTTTTACGGCTGTAAAAATATTTTAATATTCTTGTTCAATTGGCGCTTGGCCAATGCGTTGGTTGAATTTTGGAATCTCAAGTCAATATTCTCTTGTGCTTGCCGCTTTTAGATCAGATTAAATGAATCTAGACAAGTTGCTTGTTTGTTTATGTTAGAAAAAAAATGCGAAGCTTTTTTTGTTTTGATTTTGGTCATTGAAGTTTCGACTGTAATCGATCAACGATGGACATTTGAATGGCTACAAGAACAACCACGCATGCCACTGTCGTCCATTCTTAATTAAATTGCTAATCAGATTCATTCTCTTAACACTAAAAATTGATTTTAATATCACTTTTAATGCGTAGCCAACACAAATGTTGACTGAAAATGAAATAAAAATTGCGATTGAGAATAAAATGAAAATTAAAACGTTATCAGAGATTATGGAAAACGTTTTTGACGAGTTTATTAGTTTTCTTAAAAGGAATCAGACAGCAAATTCAATTTAAATGGCAAAAGCTTATCTCAACTGTTAACTGTAATTAAAAAACGTTGTTTGTGTTTAAGGATAGTAAACTTGAACGAGGTGAAAAGTAAGAAGAAGAACCGGGAAATATTTTTAAATTCACTATTGCTACATGCTTGCATATTTAATTTGAAAATGACACAAAAATGTTTTCAGTAAATATTGAAATGAACCACAAAAAACTAACATTGTGTCTTATGATGATGAGTAAGTAAGTAACGAGAGTCGCGTTTCGAATACCATAACAGGTCATTATCGCAGTTTGGTTCAATGCTTTGGAAGGCTTTTAATCATTTTAGGATTTTACGATCGCTCAACGTTTGTTTGTGGTTGAAAGACAATTCAATTCATACTTTGGAGGTTCTATTTGTCAACTTTACAATTGACATCAGAGATGAGTCGCTTCTTTGTTAATCATCCACGCCCTTTTTGCCATGCAATTCAACTCATTTATATTTATTTTAATTCTTCGAAAACTCTCAATGCAGATCATGCAAAACGCAATAAATCAATCGAATCAACAAACCACCTGATAGCGAACCTTGAACTTTAACAACTTGCAATTTCCTGAACCACTAGGTAACTAACTAACTATTTATGAAGGCATAGAGCATGCACTTTTAAGTAAAGAAAGAGAAGTCTGAAGGTCTAGCTTAAGGAGCTTAATTATTGTTCGGAATTTCTCTCATTTCTTCAATGGCTTTTATGATCAGATGGCGTCGTTGCTCGAATTCAAAAGGCAAGCAGGCAAGCACTAAAATATGTAATTTAGTAAATCAACTGAAATTCCAAGCTCACGATTATCACGCTGTCAGTTGAAAACAATCCAATTGAATCATATTGCAAGTGTTAGTTAAGCATCCATTGAGATATTGAATTAACAAATCAAATGAACATGTTATTGTTTAAAATTTAACTTTCATCACATTCGAATTATGTTTGCAGCATCTAACATTGACAATTGAATTAACAAATTTTTGTTGACACAACCTTTACGCATGCTTTTAATAAATTTTATTGCACAAACAGTTAAACATCAAGGTGAAACGTTGTAAAGAAGCGAGTGAAATTCCTTCACAAAAGTATTTTGTTTTGGCTTCCATTTCATTATGGCGACAGACGCCGCAATATTTTTCACTAATTTAATTCACTCATGGGGATTAAAATGCAATAAAATCCTAAATTAAAACTGTTTTGCATATTTCTGGCTGAACAAGAAAGAAACGAGTCTGTCGTCGTTGTCGATTTAAGTCAATAAATTAGATAAAAGATTCTTTATGATGACGCAAAAATTCACAAGAAACTTGATTTTGTCACTTACCCAAATGTTGGCTCTTCTGAGCGTAATCGCCTTGCCGGTGGATGAACTTGAGAGCTGTTGTAATAATTTTTATGTTTCACAATTTCACTATCGCGCGGTACACCGTTTTGATATTTATTTTCCTTCCCGAAAATTGATCCACCGTAGGGATTTTCACCCAAGTAATAGCGTTGCTTCGGACTAGTTATCATCGTCTTCTTCTGATGATGTGTTGTCACCGTACGTTCATTTATCGGCATCTCGTTATCGGTTGTTGATGAACCACTGCGTTCGATATGGTCGAGCGTTCGTTCACGTCTGATGTGTGTTGTTGATGCTAAATGTTGTGAATAATTTTTTTTCCCGAACGCGAGTTGAGAGAAATAATAAAAAGAGAAAAATTAAAAGCTTAAGTTGTGTTTACGGCTCATTTATTATTCAAAAAAGTATTATAATGACGGGATTTGATTGTGAATTCTGTAACAAAAATTATTCAACATATTTAAATGGAAGATTAATGTCTGGAAATATTTCTAGAAATTAAAAATTCTGAATCAGGAAACGTGAGAACGAAATTCTACTTTTGCTAGCCATTAAAATATTTATCCATAAATATTTATAACATTTAGGTACAAATCCCGTCATTAAAATTTCCTTTTAAAGGCAATATCGCTACTCAGCAGGTTTCAAGGTACGCAAACAAAAGCACATAAAGCTTTGCTTTGAGCAAGTAAACAAAACGACTCGACTGCGTCACTGAAAAGTCCATGTGACTCAAACAAAATGAAAACAAAAGCTTCGTGGCTTCACCAACACCAGCAGAAAGGCAAATTTTGCAAAAAATAAATAAAAATCTCGCTTACCTTGTGTTGATGTTGACTGTGGACGATTTTTATAATTGTTGCCAGTGATGTGTCCATCAATGACGTAATCGTTTCTTTGATAAGATGACGTCGATGGCAAATGGGAAACTGATCTATGACGTGTCATCGGAAGTGGTGAAGGCGACTGCTTGGAAGATATTCCGGATGATGGTTTCGCCTTCAATTTACGTTCTGCACTAACGGAACGAATTTTACCGACAAGCTTTCTCAGTGAATTTCCGATAGCATTACCGACAGTCTTCTTCTTAGGCGGCGAAGTTTGAGTTGCACGCGGAACTGTTGGCGTTGATGGTGGTGAACTGAAGCGTGTTTTCTGATAAGATTTACGGTCACTGTAAACATGATGAATTGGTGGCAAAGGTGAAACCGAACGACTTCGTGGTGGTGGGGGCGAATAATCGATCGGAGGATCACGTCTGGGCTTTGCTGGATAATTTGCGTAATCTTCGTTTTTCGTTGGCACTCGAATTTTTCGCTCGATGGCTTTCTTTCGTTGTGGAACAGCTGGAGGCTGATGAATTTCATCAGATTCGAAATCATTGTCTGGTGATCGTATGCCGCTGTCGGGAGTCTTAATGACAGGCGACCTGGGACGACGTGGAGAACGTGGCGTCGTGAAATAAGTTGATGATGAAACATAAGCAGAATCATCACGTTGAATCGATGTCTGCTTTACATCATCATGACCAAATGAATCTTCACGTTGTGGCGGTGAACGAACGTCTTCTTTCGAGTCACGAAATCCTGAATCTTCACGATGCAACAGTCCATTTGTCTTCTTCTTTATTGGCACGGCATAATCATCGTTGGAATACTTACGTGGCACTCGCAAATCAGTCCGGGATCCACTCAAATAACCCAAATCTTCCTTCTGCAATCTCTGCACATCATCACGAGATGACATTTGACGACCATTTGTTGGCTTGAACTCTTCAAACTTCTTTCCACTCAATCGAATATCATTTTGTGATCCCTGAAGTTTCATCGATCTCTGTTTCCGTTCTATTGTGTTGCTTAATTCTTCTTGGAAAGCTTTTGAGCTTAATGGATTAGCTCGAAGTGGTCGTGGCGGTGATTCCTTCCGTTCAGACCAATCACTGACACCTTGAAAATATTTCTGCTTCGTTGGTGCTGGTTCACGTTCTGGGACGTAAACTTTCGATGGTGCTGATAGCTTGTTAGTAAAGACATCATTGTCTGTTGATAATTTCGTGGTGCTGTTCGTTTGACGATGAGCGATGCTGGTGATTTTATTATTTTGATTATTATTATTGCTGTTGATGTTGTTATTTAAGCTACTGCTGCTGCTTGTGTGTGTCACATTGTGGTGATTATTTGACTTGATTGTGACGTTAAAGTAAGATTTCTTCGTTGGTTCCACCACAATGTCGGATATAGATTCATCTCTGGAATCTTTCGATGTCGATTCACTTCCAAAGTGACTGTCTAACCATTTGTAAGTTTCCTTGCGACGTGTTTCTTCTTCGCGATCAAAATCCAGAGGTCGATTTGTTAACGCATCTTTACGTTCATTGATGGCATTCGATTCTAAAAAATAATTCTCAATTTTCATTTAATAATTTTTGTCTCAACATTAACTTACCACGTTGCTTTTGCAATAAAGTTTTCTGCAATTGTCGACGACTTTTTTTCACACGATCTGACAAACTATCCCAATCAGTTTCTTCTTCTTTGGAACCGTCACGTTCCATGAATTGATTTTCCGTTGCGTATCTCATCTCTTTGGCTATGACTTTACCATCAGACACATATTCAACTTCTTGCTCGTCACGTTGCTTCTTGAAGTGCTGTGATGATTCCTAAACAATGCAGTCAAAAGGAAACAATAAGTGATCACGATTTAAATGATGTCTATGCATGTAGTTACTCACTTTATGCTTTAATATTTTCTCTTGGCTGCCACTTGATTGATTATCATCGTCTGGTGGTAAATCTTTGTCTAAAATATCTTCATGCTCCGTTGTTTTCTTCTTCTCAGTTACCAACGTTCCATCAGCCTGCCGGATGTATTTCAATTCAGTGTCTTCAGTATCGACGGTCTTATGTTTGTTGACAGTTTGCTTGATTAATTTAGGGCCGAGAGGAACCAGTTGCAGCTTAGATTCAGGCGATAACAAAATCTGTTCAACGTTTTTCTTTCCACTATTAACAGCGTTGACGTAAGCCTAGAATGAGATAGCAAGAAATAAAATAAAATAAAAATTATTGAAATTGGAAATGAATAAAGGAAAATCTTAAAACAACAACATAAGTCATGATCGAATGAACAATGAAAGATCCGTTAGGCAAGGTGTCGCTTAAGAGTTCGTAAGAAAAAGCGTGATTTAAAGTGGTAAAATATTTATTATTGAAGATTCTTTGAAGTCATCGAACATTGTCATTCGTGCTTTTACCATTGGATTCAATTGTGAACGAATAAACATTGTCATATGTGCTGCAACTTTTATAATAAACAACAGTTGGTTGCTTATAAAGAAGGAAAAGAAACGACTGCTTGTAGAATTCAATTCTAGATCGAAAGCGTTGCACGTTTGCTGATCGAAAACTATTTACTGGTTACTCGAGTCAATACAATGTCAAATGCTGTTTTAATCTCAAACAGCTGATCTCACTTTTCTCTTAAAACCGTTTCGCTTGACATTGAATCATATTTCAATTTAAAATCTTTCCAATTTGTCACGATTCTTGTCTCCCGTTGACAATCAATTTACTTATGCTAGGAAAATGAATTTAAACGAAGAACATCAAAACAACTTTCATTATTTAGACAACATTTTGTTTTATTTTATCGTCGATGATTCCCATCAAGTATTTCATTTCGTTTTGTGCCTTGTCGTTTCTCATCCATTTGAAGTTGGAAGAGTTTCATTAATAAATTTCATCGTAATTGATGATTGTTAACTTATGATTTTATGCTATAAATAAAAGTGTCCATCATCGGATGACATTGAAATCCATTAAAGATCTCGATGTTATTAAGTACAAGCCGCACCAATCATTATCTCTTTCCAAAGATCTAACTTGCAGTTTAATTTTCAACGAAACGTTTGTCTACGAACATCTCATCTAATTGCAGTCGATGCAATATCAATTAGAAGCGGGATGATAATTGCAAGTAGCTTACAACAAGCGCCATGGTCATTTACAATGGATTAAAAGCAGAAAAAAATGTGAATCGATTAGTTGTATGAAAACATCACATTAATTTGTGCTTTTTATATCACAAGTTATTTATTAGTAAAACTTCACCTTAAGGCCAAAAGATTTTATCTCGTTTAGAGTCGCGCATTAAAGTTTCTTTTCTTCTCTTTATTAAGTTGAAGAAGTGTCGAGAGACGAAAGTTTCGAAGGAAGAAACTTGCAGTTACATCATAAATAATCCTTATAAATAAAAACATTTCATTTTCTCTCTCACTCACTTATGTCATGCCAGCAGAACAAAAAAAAATTTGTTACAGTACCATCCGAACAATTGTTAAGCGATCATAAAACTGCTCTTGATGTTTGGCATGAATTGTGAGCATCAAATAATAAAAAAAATGCTTAAGTGTTTCGTTGCAAAACATTGCAAATAAAAATGTTGCGGTGAACTGAACGAACCACCTGACAACAAACGATCGTCGTTGAAATAAATTCTAAATGGAACAGTAAACTTTTGTTATTCTATCGTTGCAACAGCAGACGATGAGTTTGTTTGTAAAAACTCTCATGATCCATGACGAAAAACTAATAAACATCGTTGGAAGTTTCAACATATTTTTTTTGCGCACTCGAATTGTTGTTTTTGGGACGAAGAAAACATTTTTTCTCAGCTGATGATTCATCTGACCTTTTTGCTATTATGCAGGCATCACATCAATATTCTTTTAGTAATAAAAGAAAAACAGAAAGAACTGTAAATTGATTTGCTTAACCACATAATTTAATGTTATATGAGATAAATAAATATAAATATGTATGTTAGTGAGACTATAAATAAGCCAAGAGAAGGATCAGACTGCAATCATTAATCAAAAGTTAAAACTTCAAAATACTTTCAAATTCAATGAATGCGATAACAGAAGAAATGTCTAAATAAGAAATACAAGTTGGAAGGTGAAAGGCTAACACACGAAATTATTATGAAGAATGCGGTCAATTTATATGGGAGAAAGAGAAAGAAATAATTTTTGAAATAAAGATGGGATTGGCTCCACTTGATGTTATAGCTTGCAACTTACAACTTAAAGGCGATGTTGCGTAATATAATTCACAATAAAAAGGCAAAGAAGAAAAGATAAAACATCAACAACATCAGTTTAATGTTCTCTAACTCTTCTATTCATTTATTTAATTCCATATTAAAGAGCTTAGAACAAGTTAGGAAAATTGTTTGTTGTTTGGCAAAGATCTCGTTACTATGATAAAACTGTAGCTTGTAATGATTCTTTAAAAGGCATTCTTTTATTGCATTTAAATAATGTGAAAATTGCTTTTAATGATTGCTAAATGGGAGAATTATGAAAAATGATGATCGCTTATCAAACGACAATAAGAAATGATGATGGAAGTTTCATGTTTTAATGAAATAATCAATGATTTGTGATGAAGATAAAGTTGATGCAATAATCGATAAATTGCTATTCGCAAGATCGTTATTTAGACTTTAATCATGATTCAGAGTCTGAAACAGTAGAGAACAGAATCGACAACAAATGGTTACATTCTCTACTAACCGTTGACCTCAACCGGCCCCCAAGTGACTTTTAATGATTCTTTTTGAATCCGTTCTATAAAGATGAATGCCGACAAAATCCATAAAAATTTAAATGGCTGTGAATTTATTTATTGCAAATAATTTTTCTAAATTAAACCTTTAAAGGTTGGTTTGTATTATTTATATAAAGATTACGAGATGCTGGGAAAGCTTGACCCTGAAATCGCTCCTTATAAAAGTTTCTCTCGAATTCTGAGTCACTTTTTAATTAAAACTTTTAAAAGGCCAAAGCCTGTCATTTATTTTAACACCGATGGTTGCATCGTATAAAGTTTTCGCCAAGCCTCGAAGGCTTTTAACAAGTCAATAAATTAAAATCATTTCGCACTACGTGAGGCTTTCATCTTTTCATGTTTCATCCCAAAATATAAAAAAATCTCCTTGTGTGAATACCAAGAAGAGAAAATTGAGCCATTTTGCATATATCAATTCAACGCGTTTAAATGAATTATGACTTTCGATTAAATTCGTATGTAAATTTACACAATTTTATTTCTCGCATTCTTTACCTTTTTTGTTTGTTACAGATTTACGAGTTTAAATTTCGACTTCCAAATGATTTCTCTCAACAAGAATTCTTCACTTCCGCTTTGTTCTTTTTTTGGTGATTAATAAGAAGAAACAGATGGGTAATGGCATCGACCGCGTTTTTCACAGCTTCATGCGTGCCACTCCACTTGGTTTTTTTTAATTCAACTTGTTGAGCAAGAAATTGTTCATTAGAAAAAAATTCATCACGGAAAAAATCGACAAAATTTCTCTTTCAGCCGCAACTTTTTTATCAACAACTTCATGATTGGTGAAGACAGAAAACAAAAACTAAAAAATCAATTTTCTTTTGATGCGCCTCATTAAAATCTTATAAGCGAAGCATGCAACCACAGTCGGCATCAACAGTCAACGACTATGCAGTTTTTAATTTCCTCGTGACATTTGATTTCATCGTTCTTGGAAATGTTGAAAAGATGTTGTTGAAATTCGATGCATTAAATATGAATGAAAAAAAAGTTCGTCTTTCCTTCTTTCACCTTTCATTTGAATTCAAATTAAGGGGAGAAATTTACGATCTGACATGGTCGTTTTCAATTGCCATCTTTTTGTTATGGCATTAAAATTAAATGAAAGACAAACGACCTTGCTTGCACACGAGTTATGGGAAAGCCAAGAAAGAAAAAAAGAAAATGTTGAATCAACATAAACAAAATTCAGCATCAAATTTCCATTTCACTTTATTTCATTTAGTGTTCGGAATTGTCATCTTCAATTTATTGAAAATTGTCATGACAATTTGTCTCGAACATTTCATGAAAGGATTTTTAAATTAAAAACAAATGTCAAGAAAAAATTCAGTTTTTATCGAACACTATGTGCAATGCAATACAAAACATGAATTTATGTAAAATATCTGAAGTTATTTTCTGCTGTTGAAAGCTGCGAATTTGTGGGAAAAATTCTTGATCGTGTCATGGAAATTGAAACTTTTTACCGAAAACATTTTCACCACTGTGTGATTAATGAACATGCGATTGAAATCAATGTTGTTTAACAGTTAATGTTGCATTTTAACGAAGAAATTAAGTAAAAGGCTAAGGCAACAAACAAGCATGTCGATTATCCAATGTGACATGACGAAGCCAGTTTATGTTGCAGCTTTTTTCCACTTTATTCAATTTTCAACATAGCACAGTTGCTTGGAAGTTACTTTCAGCATATTCATGGATGAGATTCTCTTACTATTGATTAAAGTGAAAACATACAACATTCTACATTGTTGTATATTTTAGATAACGAAGTTCACAGACGTTCCTGCAACTTTCTTCATTAATTTTTCTCTCATTTCTTATTTACAAATAATCAACTTAACTCGCCCACACATGGACTTCATATCACAATCGACAAACCTGTAGACAAGTTTTATAATTAATACTTTGCTATTTGAAAGAAAAAGAATTGTGAATAGAATGTTTTACACGCGACCAAAAAGATCAAGAACAATGACGGAGCATAAATCAATGACAAGTGGATGGGGCAAAGTTATTCTCAACTTTTTTAATTAGTAGTGGGAAAACTTTACAAATCTTATTCTTCTTTTAAAACTATGTATCAATGTTGATTCTACTTTCAGGTCATTGATGCATGAACGCGGATTCATTGATCATCTTTGTAGGGTGTGTCTTTCACCCTAGTTTTTGCATTTTACATCGCCTGAACCCGTGCGGGGTCTGGCACCAGGTTTTCATACAAAGTGCTCAAAAAACTTTCTCCCGGGAGTGTAATTCTCCGGGCGTGATAATTACACTCACCACCTGAAACTAACTTTGGGGACGAGTTTCAGGTGGTGAGTGTAATTCGAGGTGAAATTGAACGAATGTATACATAAGTATGAACATAAAACTCAGATTCTAACAACATGTAAAAATGATGAAATAAGATCACTTCAAGAGAACTCGGCTTTAAAATGTTTCTAGAAAGAACGAAAAACATCTCAAAAGATCCATTCGCAAGCTGAACATATAATGCTCATATGTACACAATTTATTGTGTTTCAATATGCAGATTTTTGCATTTTATTTCTCTAGCTAGCTGCTGCTCTACACTGAAATCTACCAATTGTCATCACCAACCTTGACAATGGGACGGAAATGGAATGGAATACATTTGGCGAAAAAAAAACGAGAAATAAATAAAACCGCGGATTAATCAGAGATTTAAAACAAGCTTACAGCAGGCGAATGAGGAAGTGAAACTTCAATTCATTGTGTTATCAAAGCATAACGTTTTAGAATTCCATTGAATGTTTGTCTGAGAATTGCAACGGAATTTTTCCTGCATTCGAATTTCATTAAATTGTCGCTCGACCTTTTTAATATTTTTTCTTACAGCCACATGAGCTGAATTTCATTGCGAGATGCATTTTGGCGGAGTTGGAATTCAATTTATATTCTGTTTCGTGTTATCACAACACAACATCAGTTCATTGTCGTACGAGTGATTGTGATGTAAGCACCTTTGATGCTCCAACATGCATGTAAACATAATAAACATTGCATAAATTATGATCAATTTCTGTCCTACAAAGATCTTTTTGCGTACGATTCGAAAGAGCTTTCGTACCAAATACATTTTAATTAGCGGAGAATGTTTTTCTGGCTTTCAGTTGTCGCAGATCTTTTGGCCCCAAAAAAATTATTGCCAACTTCGTCATCTTCCATAAAATGAACAAATTAATCTTTTCTGGTTGAGGTGAAGTTGAAAGTAAGAAAAATCAAGATAAAAGTTGACGATGAGTGTACTGGTATTAAAAATGCTCGCAAAGTCAATTTCAGGTTCTTCTTTCAATCGAAATTTTAATTGCAATGAATTTCTCTGCCTTTGATGCTATAAGATTTCTCAGAAAGAAATTAAATTTATGCTAATTCATGTAAAACGAGAAAACGCGGTGCTACAATAACATGCACAATCATATTCTGATGTTTATCATGATGTTGATTACTCAACAAGACCCAAAGCCGAGACTTTGTCTTGAATCTGGTTTCAGATTATCCAATCCACTGACCATTTGTGAATGCAATGAAAACACTTAAGTTGCGATCATATTTTTCATCTTATCCAATTTACTTTTAGAAGAAACTTTGTTGCTTTGCTTTTGCTTATGTTGTTAAGTAGATATTTCCTTTCATCATTAAAAGAAAAATGAAGAAATTTTCTTCTGTTGTTAGAGAAGAATTATAATTGGCACGGTGGTGATGTGGTGTTAAAAGGAATTTATTGAATACGATGAACGACCATCTCACATGTTAAATGTCATGAGAGCGATTAAAGTTCCACTCACATCATCTGTCTTACGCCGATTGCCCGCAAATGGGTGTGAATAATGCATTCCAATGAGAAAAACTGTCTTGTTTCCAAAGGTAGCAAAGAAACGATTCATTCTCTGTAATTTGTCAAAGTTCTCTGTTCTAAATAGATTCCTCTCGACTCACCACGATCTGTTGTGTTTCTTGTTTTTTTCTTTCTATTTTTTAACGATTTATCGCACTCGGAACACGGAGTGTGAATTACAAACTCGAGAATTGAATTATGAAAGTAATTCTTATGTCTTACATTTATTTTATGTTTTCCTGACTTAAGAAGGTAGAAAATCTTGACCTGCGTAAACATTTCTTCCCGCGAGCCGCAATTGGAACATAATCACAATGCTGCAACATAAGCAATAATTCATAGTTTCTTTTCCTATCATATGTACATAATTTTCTCTCCCTTGTCCAATACTTATGAAGTCTTGAAGTGTCTTGTCGCTTTATACACCATTCAGCAAGCCTTACCAGAACGGTCTCGCTTTAAACTTTTCTGCCCGCGAGACTTTTTTAACACTTCTGTTTCGTATTAAATTAAACCCAACATACATGACAAGGCCGAATGTTACTGTTGCTATTGCTGCACCAACTCGAAACTTGACTGAACTAATAAATTAAATGAGAAATAAAATTTTCTCGGGGCTAATTTAATGTTTATACATCATACTTTTAAATTACACATTTGCATGTTCGTTTGGCATTTTCTTAAGAAAACTAAGAACAAAAGAGAATTCCGCTGCTGTTTACTTTTTTCATTAGCATGTCACGAGAAAATAAGAATAAAGAAAGAGATTTGAAATGACGCTCATTTGCAAATTGCTTTTCAATTATTAAAGAGACATTTAGCCACTTAAAGTTGAATAAAAGCAACATAAGTAAGAGAAAAAAATCTTTCTTTTCCTGCCTCGTAAATTCAATTTTCTACGATTGTCCGCCCACACAAAAGCGACCTTAAGTAGTGAAGTAAGAACACTTTGAGTGAGACGAGCTATTTTCAGATAAATAAACATTTCTTTGTAACGAAAGCAAATAAATAAATATTAAAATCCATTGAAATAAAAGTTAATTCCTCGCGCAAATCAAATAAGCTTAAATACCGAGAACTCTCCATAAAAGCATTTTGGAATTATGGGATTGAGAATTGTTTGACTTCATGAAATTCGAATCTTAAGATTTGCTTTTATATGAAGAGTTTTCTGTAAATCTTTTCATTTTCTTACTTCAAGTAGCAAATAGATTTAGCTTCTTAGATAGATAACTGTTTCATTCCACATTTCATTGCTTTGATGACAGTTTTTGTGTAGGACATCATGTGATATTCGGTTTAAAATTGTAAAGGAAAGAGAAGATTTAATATGGTTACGACAATATCGCAATCACTACTCTCTGCTACTAAGTAAATATTTAATTAAAGGCTAAATAAAATGAAAGGCAATTCAACTTTTCAATAACAACCGTAATAATTGACTTTATTTCTTATTTATCGTCATCAACAAAAAACATCTTTTTTACTATTAAACGTAAACTTCAATCAATCAAAGATTTTATTCTTCATTTATGTTAGAAATAAAACGTTGGTTTTATGTTAAAGATAATAAATGTTAATCAATTTCATCTAATCTCAATGCATACAACCAACATATATGTGAGTAAAGGAAATAAATATTGCCAATGGCAGAATGAATTGCTTTTAAATAACTTCATCAAGAGATCTACGATGCTTCAAATGCAAATTGAAGTTCATCAATTAATGAACACCCGCAAACAATTATTTAATGGATTTAACTAAAGACAGCAATTCAATTTGTAGTCTCAGCGTCAGATCCATTAAACAGTATGCCCTAGAACGTTTCAAATAAACAAACACGATAGCTTTAGAAATTTCCTTAAGAGCGCTATTGAACAAAGAACGTCAAATCACTTACGACAAGCAGAAAGCTGCAATTGCAAACAGAGAAAAACATGAGCGTTCAAGATGTTGAAGAGATGGAAGAAAGAAAAACACAAATGTAGAAGTAATGAACCCATAAATGTCTAATGGTTTTCAGTTAATGTAATTACATCAGCAAAGAACCATCAACTAGAAAAAAAAACTTCTTTAAAGCTAATCAACAGTGTCTGAAAACATTTCATGCTTCTTAAGAATTATTTTTGTATGATATACAACATTGCCATTTTAATGACTTTCACCTCCCCCTCTTACTTAAAATAACAAAAACAGAATCTTTAAGAATTTTCAATCAAAATTCAAAATAAGCTTCTGGTTCAACTACGGTTTGAAAACAATTTATTAATGCAAAAACAAAAGCGAGAAATCAACATCATTGATATGGTGAATAACGGAATTTCTCTCACTGCAAATGAGAACAAAAAAAATATTCCAGAAGATATTTCGAGTAAATATCTTCAAAATAAATAAGAAAAATCACAATTTATTAAATTACTAAGAAATTCCAGATTCCAGCAATTTATTATCAATTTGCAAGATTGGGGCTATGTAAAGCTTTTAACTTATTTCATAAATTCTCACGACGTGAAGTGACGCCGCAGTTTGAAGTTCATTTATCTCAAATGCAATTACGTTACGTCTCGAGGTGTCAATTAGACTTCAATAACTTTTTTTTTGTGCTCTTCCCGGGAATGTTTTTCAACAGTTTGAGTTCACCAGGAATACTAATCAACTTCAAAAGATAATCGAAGACGTGTTTGAATCGGAAAAGAGTGTTCATTAATCATATCCTTTCAAGGTTGTCGTGTCTAATGCTTAAATTTCATCAGAAAGACATAAAAATTATTAACGCTCTTGTGATTACCTCAAACATATGTTTTCACGTTGATTATACGTTTGCCAATCTGGAAAAGTTTCATGTTTCAAGGAGAAACATGTAAATTCTCAAACTTCAATGTCAAAAGTTCTGCGTTTCTTTTGATTTTTGAGATTTAATTCGGCCGACTTGAGCACTGCTCATGTTAAAAATTATCATTTATTCAACCGAAAATTATTGGATCAGCGTTCTCCAATTGAGCATATTATTCTGTCTGGCTTGTGCTATTTAAGAAGATATTTCTACTTCTGATAGTTATATATTCTGAACTCTGTAATTGGAGCTTGTTATGTTACTTAAAGGTCTTCATTGGATCAGCGACAAGCAGAACGACTGAACCGGCAAAGAAAATCAAAGCAAAGCGAAGCGGCCTTTTGTTGCCATATTTTCTTTGTCTAAATAAATAAATAAAATGTCTTCTTAAATAGTGGAAAGATATCTTTAAAAGAATCTTTAAATTGTCGGCTGCTTTTTGGAAAAACCTACAAAAAAGAAATTCCAAACAATTGGCACAAATTTTTCTCTCCAGTCTTGATCATGTTAACAGTTTTTGAAAAGGAAAGGAAGGAAAATAAATTGTAAAGTTTCACTTCTTAATCTTGAACGACAATGAAATTGTGTCTTGTTCCACGACAAAATGAGTTTCTTTCCTTCTATTTGACAGTCACAAATGATTGATTTATGAGTTAAAGATTCAGATGTGAATGGTTTTGTGCTGTGTGGACATGACAAGTTTCTGATGATAGCAAAATACGCGAAATTATCTCTTTTCATATATCCAACATATTTATTTATAAGCACAATGAAAATCATTCGCATTAATTCGAAGAAAAGGTTAATGACTAAATTTAGTCAAGCAATTTCTGCCGTTCGTTCGGTGTCGAATCCGACACAAGGAAATTCAAACAAAACCACGACAAAAAAAAGTAGAAATTTCCAAAATCTTGTTGACCTTCATTCGACTTGCTTATCGTGATTCGCGACATTAACAACAAACAAATAAAAACATAAATCAATTAACAATTAAGCTGAGTTTTACTGGCTGCTGAAAGATCGTCGTCGATCGTAAGAAAACTTTCAAAATAATTCTGCTGAGTTTCGAGAGTTTTAAGCTCGTCAAGTTTTATTTTATATCTACAAGGGTAAAGTAATTTTTAAAACTGATACGATCGATGACTTTGACTCCAACTACACAGTGTGATATCGAAAACTTTTGCGCAGCCAGCAAAATGAAATGAAAATCGTGCACAAAATAAATTTTCCATGCAATTGCCAATTGCCTAGTAAAACTTTCTCTCGAACCAATGTCGAAGGTATTTCGATTCAAGATGACTTATGGGTTGTAAGTGAAATACATTAAATCGATTAATGTAATATGTATGCAGGGTAAGCTCGTAATAGATTTGATTAACGTTATTAAATGAATATTTGAAATGATTAATATTTTTATTTTATTTCTTTATGTTTATACTTTATAATCCTTTCACTTCTAAATATTAATAAAAATGAGCCCATAAACTTATACTAAACATGATGTGTTTGTGTTACTTTTGTCGAAAAGCAAACCAGTTTCAGTCATTACACAATCATATTTAGTTGCAATCATCAATTAATCTCTCTGACCTCTTAAGTGACCGCGCACTGTTTGAATCTCTCTTTTGCATAAATATCAATTTCCATCGGTTTGTTTTCTCAACTGCGAGCGTGATTTATGCAACAATTAATTGATTGCCTTGCTGTTCGTTTGTATTTCTCTCTCACTTTACCACCAATGTCTGACCTCGTCTGTTCCGGCATTGGAGTCTTTTGTTCGTGCGCGAGTCTCTTTAAACATACTCGACGAAAATTTCTTGTGGCGGTCTCAACTTACACGACTTTCAAGATGAACTTTATCCGATTATAATGAGGATGTTTAACCAACACTGCATTGTCTTGATTTGATTGGATCAAGGACTTGTGGTTTGTTTGTATCTTTCATCATTAAGTTGCCAAACAATTTTCTGTTGAATCATTTCACGACTTCTATGATAGCCAAATTGAATCATTAGAGAGCTTTAGTCATGACTCTACTTGAAGCTCGGCTAGCGATAAATCGACACTTCCTTGGCTTAAGATGATTCTTCGTTTTCCAATACTTTTTTGCTTGCGATCTCAAAAGGTGGGAAGCCATCAATAAAGCTTACGATGAGAGGAAGTGAAAAGAATCAATCATCTTTGATGTCGATTTAATAAGAACTAATGATGATCTGCTTTATAAGAGACTAATTGATGTGCAAATAACAGAAGCTTCATAAGAATCACAACATATATGTAAAAACTTCATCACTTCCAACAACATGCTATCAATCATTCTTAGAATTTTATTTCAATAAACTTGAAGTCGTTTCAGTGAGTACGAAGTCAGAATATTTCCAACCTAGTTTCGATAGAAGTTTATGGGCAAAAGTTAGAAGCTTAAGCAGTAATTTCAAAGTCAAATCAATAAAAACGTCGCAAAATTTTGATTTATTGAAAGATCTTACTTTGAATTTTGATGGAAATTATTTCAACTTTGAATGAATTAAGATTTAATGTTCAATAAATCGCAAAGAATTTCCAAGAAATCTAATAAAGTCGCAAATTTATTTTCTTGTTTGCAAATGTTTATTTTATTGCGAGTGACACTTAAAAATTGTTTTCTTCAACCTGAACTCTTGATTTATTTGCATATTTTGCTTGAATTACTTACTTACTTTATCTAATTCATATTCAACTCAATGGATCAAGAGTTAAGCGTACGAATACTTAAACCAACTCAAACACTTCAGGTTCGTGAAATTTCAAAGCGTTTCGATAAATTGAATAATAAATTTATGTGGAAAAGCATTTAGCGTTAAGCGACTTCACATTTCATCCACCAGAAAATCAGGTAATTGCATATTAATATATTTAAGTTTCTTTTAAGCTATGGCAATGAAAACTAATTTTTTGCAATATCATTGTTTCGCAATTGGCGATATTTACCGAGCACTTGATCAAGCTTAATTGAAAGAAAAGCTGCGATAATCTCATTGATGCGTGACTTTGAACGCAAATAAAAAAAGCTTAAGTGAAAATTTCCGACTTCCTTTCAAACTAGACGATAAATATCAGCAAATGTTAATGCGAGATGAAAATTTCAATTGACTTTGACATTTTACAAGTTTGTCAGTGAAATTAAGTTTAATTAAGAAGAATTCATCGTCCTGACAGTGAAGAAACTTAAAGATTGACATGCTGCGGATTCATATCAACAATCAAATCATGTTTGACTTTGTTTTCTGTATGTTAAGCCTTTGATCAAATTTGCGAATTGTTTCTTACCGCTTAAGTAAGCTTGCGGGTGAGATTCGAGGCTGGCATGAATATTTATTTGAATGAAGGAAAAAGAAACAGAAAAGTGTCCGGTTCAAAGTTGTAGGAACAAATCAGGCTTTTGCAATGATTTATAGATTGCGAATCAGAAAAGTCTTGTTGCTACATTAAAAGCGTTAGGTAATGAAAGACTTACGAGTCCATTTCACTAGTTTCACTTAAATAAGTTTCTATAAGCTATTCATGATTATTTGGTTTGAGGGAAGAAATTTGTTTATGTTTTATGTTAATAGCACTCATTCGTCAAAAGATTATTTCAGTTCAGTGTTAGCCGAATTTCATTGTGTCTGATTTTAGCGAACAATGTCTACTTGAACAACTTGCTTTTCTTGTTTTTTATCGATTGTTGAAACTTGAAGTAAAGTACAAGAAAAAGAAGAGGCTTAAAGTTGTTGATATTGTTCTTTCATTCCCACATAAACTCTTAAACTATCTCAAGTATCGACACTCTACGTACATTGATGAGAATCTATCAATAATTGGCGCCCATTCAAAAAATATAAAATCATGTTCAATATCGTTTTGCTTCGAAATTTTGCTCACATAATCGATGAAATGAAAACAATTTTTGATATCAGATATTACGAGATTGAATTGCTTTTAGCTTTTTCAATGTTTCCAACATGATTCAATCAGATTTCGTGCGAAAATTATAACATGTTTCAAACTGGACCACCATCATAAATTCATCATCGACAAGATTGAATCGATTGCGAACTTGAATGAATATTTTTAAAATTACTTAAGGCATTTTCTTTTTATTTCTTTGCCGTCTTTTTTCTTAAAAACTTTTTCAACTTTTCATGGTTTTGAATTTTCTTCTTATCAGAATTTGTGTGGCACGAGAAGAGAAGCTGAATAATTGTCAACATAAAATGTTATTTATGCTTCTATTTATAATCTAATCAATCATGTAAATAATTATTCTTTATCAGTGAAACTCGACTGTTAATGGCAGTGAAATTAGGTCAAAGAAAGATTGAGTGAACTTCTCTCATAGTCAACAACCTTCGACGCGTTGCCAACACTTTTTCATTTCTACGAAAAGACTTCAACGTGATATGATGAAGCGAGTTTACTTTACATTCAGTGTTTTATAATCAATAAAAAAGAGAATAAAATAAAATGAAATGCAAGCAGCAGCAGCTGAAAAAGCAAAATCAATTTATCTTTGACTCTCAAGCTTTATGAAAAAGGAAACCAAAGAACAAATTTCATTCAGTTTCGTTTATTTGATTTTCATAATTCAAAAGACTTTTTTCAGCTTCTACGGCAGCTCATAAGAAAATGAAATAAAAGAAAGACATAAAAAACAATTTAAAGCTTGCGCTATTTATGGAAATATTGTAAAGCGACGAAAAATTGTTTTCCTCGAAGACAATTTTTCCAATTTCACGTAATAAAAGTGCAGTAATTTAATGATTTTATTATGTATTTATATAGTGAAGTATTTTGCATGTTTCTAATATTTATCTACTCCATGTTTGGTACTCTTGTTCTTCTTATGAACATTTCTTTTGTTTATTACTCCAAACAACACGCGCTTTAAACGGAACTTTTCAGATTCTCACATTAAAAATGTAAACGGTAAACATTTATGAGCAGAAGTTCGATAAATATTTAAATTTCTTTTAAAGTTCCCTAAATCAAGATCATTTCTTTACGAAAAGAATATTTTCTCTTCCATGTCGACTAAAATTATCAACACGAGATTTACCTGAGAAACTCGTTCGCCGACGTGCCGCATGATTATGCTGGTTGATGGTGGAATGATTGGTGCAAAGGAGAGAAATGTTGCGACTAGTTAATTATAATTCGCTTAAAGAGTCGTGAAAGAAAAACAGAACAAGACGTCTGTACAGCAAACGAATGATTCATTTCTCACCTCAATCCTTACTTAACGTGGGACTTCAAGATCTTCTCTTTTTGCTTTTTTTATTTTAATGCACAAAAGTCGTCCCTGATGATACATTTCGATAGACGGGGAAAAAAGGAATTGTTTTTATATCGAAAACCGCCTCATCGCAATCCGAAGTAGAGCGCAAGATGAGATCATTAACTTCCGACCTTGTTCCGTACTTATTCGATGCGAATACGAATAGTGAAGGCGAATGGCGAGTCGAGTGAGTGAAAGAGAGACAGAATGGCGAATGCAATTCCTATCTTTAATAAGAATAATGAGCGTTCGTGTCGTTTATGATATTTTAATGGAATCAACAGCAAAAGCAAATGGAATTGGAATTGTTCGCAAAAGAAATTCATTCCCAACTTCACATAAAATGCCATCAATTTCCATTCAATTTCATCCCTTATTGGATTGTGATCATAGTTAGAGAAACAAAGTACAAGAGTTTATTTAGACATTTAGATTTAATGGCAGAGTTGTTGTTGTTTGCAAGTTAATGAAATGGAAAGAAGAAGAGAAGGCTGAGAGGTTGAGTAGGTATTTTAATGCCACATACACATGTAATATTATTATCGAGTCGTCGGACTTCGACGGGAACGAGTTTTTAGTTCCATTCTTGAAAGTAATCGCAAAACATTCACTGGACAAAAGACAAAAGACTAACAATGTATAAAGAAATTCCATCGCGGTGGATTTTGCAACCGTGTTAAAAGCTACATATTGCCTTTCTTCCATTGCCTAGAGGAAAATAATAATGTTTTCGGGTTGGCCGAGAATTTTGTTGTCTTCGACATGTGTATACACAGTGATTTGAGTATTTTGTATTTCATTGCATAAACAGACTTTCATTTTTATTGATTTTCCTTTTCGACTTTATCAGAAATGATTTCGATGAAATATGTGAATTTGATAGGGCTGGGAAATTGACACAAATCTTTGCAATGTTAAAAAATGTTCATAAATTAATTCCATTTCACAATAATCTTCAAGACACAAACTCCAATCCCTGATCTATTCAAATTATTTGTAAATCATGTGAAAAAAGTTTAAAAGTCATTAGCGAATCTACAGATAACTTTTTTGTGGGATCAGCTGAAATGTTGAACAAAGAGCAAAGGTTGAGTCTCTAAAGCTAATATTCAAAGTTGATTAATTGTTTGAACATGCGGACTTCGACTGTTTCTCGTTAACGCAATGCAGAACTATCAGCTAAATTCATTATTCTGCTATTTTTACGATCGTTGATTTCGCTTTTCAACGTCATGACGCAATTTTTCAATAAATATTTCATAAATTAATGCGAGAATTCGCAGAGATTGTGCAGTTTCAGTTTCTCATGTTTCTTTAGACAAGCTAATTAAGAAATGGAAAATTGAGTTTGCTGGCTCGCAACAGCACTTTTCAAAACAATCAACAGCTGTCGAAGAAGAGAAGTGAAAAAGCTTTTTAAATAAAGGAAACCAAATTAACACTCAAATTTCAATCATCGTTCGACAATATGAAAGACTCTCTAATTGAAAATTACTTTTTATGTTTCGTTCATTGTTAAATTGATGAAAATGGAAAACGAGACTTAAAAGATTTTGTTGTGGTGGCGTTAGATGCTCGTGCAATTAAAAGACAATAAACTCATATAGTTCGACGTGTTTTTATTTCTGTATTACACGTCCAATCCATTTAACCAACTTCCTTGTTAACAAATTAAATATCATGTCTTGAGAAACTTTCTTTTCTTAATAGATACTCAGATGGTAAAGATGCAAGTCTTCAATGCACGAATTTTTCACAAACGTTTGAAGTTTCGCCTTTTCTCCTCTTAATTATGATTTCAAAGGCATATAAAAGTTGAATAAATAAACGTCATGTTTCACACGTAAAGACACAAATTTGTTGACTGACAACGAAACTTTTTGTTGTTAAGCCGCGTTTAAACGAGACTTGGAACTCATTGCACCGGAAAGTTTTATTCTGTGTTATTGTGTCATAAGATGATCATCGTAGTCTCAAATCTTTCGCGAGGAAATTGCGCAACATTTTAAGCTCCGTTAAAGGTATCGTTGCTTGAAGGTTCAAGCGGAACATGAAGATGAGTTTACCATTTATCACGATTGACTCTTTTTGGTTTCTTCTCTTTTGCCTTAGTTTAGTTTTGATGTTGAACGAAAGATTTTTCGAATTTGTTCATTTGTTTTTATCCATTGAAAAGCTCAATTTCATGGCGAATGATTTCATGGCTCAACCAACTCAAATTTACGATCTCGATATCGCTAGTCGACAGTTTGTGTGTTCGCGGCACTAAGCTTATTTAATGTTGCCATTTTAATGATCACAGCATAGCCATGAATATTCCACAGCTCCATTAATAAATTTATCTCGCTATGTTGTCGAAGTTGAGAAGCATCCCATGGAAATATTTTCTGTAGAACTCATCCATTAAATCTCTTACTCGATGGTGTGGTGCTGTATTTAGTAACAACAGCTATGAGATATTGTAACGATGCTTTGAAAACAAATTAATTTAATATTTTAATTTAGCGCCAAAGCGTGATAGTTCATTAAGGTTAAAGTTTCACTTCTTCCATCGTAATCTGAATTAAATTCATGGGGCTGAAATATGAAGCACTTCATGAGAACAACATGAGAACAAGAAGAATTTATAGAGCGAGTGAAATTGACAGTTTTCAGGAAGAAGAACAAGAAAACGCTTCATTAGTGCAGCAAAACAAAAATTTGAAACAGTTTTCAATTCTAAAATGATTTTTTGCTTTGCTTTCTTGTAACGAATCAATAGTTTGAGAGTTTCTTCGATTATTCTTCTTCGTTGTTTGTTGTTTCAAAAAATTATCTTCAAGCGGTTTCTTCTGTGTCCAAAAACGAAGAAGCTGCACTTAACGATCGTAAATTCATCTTCATGTTATTCTTATTTTATTCTGTGATTATTGCTTTTATTACTTTGTTGTCATAACATTTTGCCTTTTTCCTTTTATTAATGCTTCCTTTTTTGAAGAAAATCTGAAGATATCAAATAACAAGATTTCGAAATAAAAACGAGTTCTTCATTTCGATAAATTCATTAAAAATTAACTTGTGATTTATGACTTGCATTCAATGCCTTTCCACGGTTTTGCTACCGATTCCCAGAAGTGATTAACTTTCAATTTTAATAGCATTTGCATACTTCGATTAAGCAAACTGCGCATGCATACGAAAATAATTTCAGATTAAGATCAGCGCATTCGATTCATGCATAAACATACATAGAGGCTTTTCTGATAAATCATTCTTTAAATAAACGAGTGAAGTAAACACAACAAACGATTGAAATCACAAAAGCATTTCTGTTACTGAATTGAAGCATCTCATGAGATTGCCCATCGAGAATCTTACTCACGTACGCAATGTGAATGATATATCGTTTGCCACGATAATATGACTTTATCGTTTCGTGTTTCATTTGACACATTGACGTGATAAAATTCTTTTCCTATTATTTCTCATACTTCGACTCTTGATCTTTTGAATGTGTATGCGAGTATGTCGGTTGAAACAGTCAAAACTCATGCATGATAGCGCGTTCATTCGAATCAATATTCCTGCCAAGAAGTTGTTCCGCGTAACGAAACATAAAAAGATTGTGTGCACGTAGACACAAGCGATCAAGCGATTAAAAATTCTCTGCAATTTTCTATTTATAAAAATTGTTGGAAACAAAAAAAGACAAAAAGCGTCAATTTCAGGTTTGAATTTTAAATTAAAAGTAGGAAAATCGATACTTCTAATAACCAAACACGTTCTCATGCGTCTCAATGCTTCTTTTCATTTTTGTAGAATGAAATGTCGCTGAATCAACAAACGATGTGGAATTATTGAGAAGTTTCTTTATTTAAATTAATCCATTGTTTGAAATACCTTTTTCTCATTCCTGCTTCTGCTTTTTAAAACATCGTTTTATCGACGTTAGAAAATGATTATTAAGATGGTCAATTGATGATAAAGCTTTTAGTTTGATCAAAATGAACTCTCGCAGATGTTATATCAATTTAATTATCTCATTCTTCAGTCTTTGTTCTTCTATCGATGCCAAAGAATTCTCAATTTTTCTCGCAAATCACTTTCATAAAGTCTTTTTCTTGTCGGTTTCATTTCGTTCTTTATTTTGTGAGACATAAATCATCCACAGGGTGAAGTAAGTAACAATGCTAAGAACTTCAACTCAAGCGAGAATTAAATTCTCATTTTTTGCGCAATGATCACGGTAACCGTGACCGTCAAATTTTCCCGAAACAGCCAAAGTCTTATAAATGAGGCATAAGAAAGAGAAATAAGTTTTTAAGAAAAAAAATCCATCGACCTCAGCCCTCAGTGTGTCTACATAAATGATGTCGAGACTTCAGACACATGCGAGAATCATCAAATCTATCTAGAATCAAAACATGTACTCGTAACTACAGAAAGTTTTGACTCTTTGGGCCATGAAAAGCATTACTGAAAGCCTATTGTTGTCTATCTTACGCTCACTAAATTCTATAATTAAATTTTGATATTTAATCGTTTTACATGAAAACAACAACTTTGCAAAAAAAGAAACGAAACAATGAAGTTTCTTGTTTTGAGTTTTAATGACGAAGCCTTACAAAGCATTTTGGGTGGTTGCTGTTGTTGTTGTGTCAATTTGGTCCAAACAAATATTATTTGAAGTTTTCATTAGTTGTCTTATGCGAGTAATTGTTTAAATGCTTTTTTTGTTAACTGTTCATGGATCGTAGAGCTTGTCCTTTTAAGGGGACTTCTCCCTTTAGGTTTCTTTTTATTCTTTATTTAACCGACAGCGCAACTCCCAGAATAGTTTTCGACTATTGTTCATGCTCCAAGCCAATCCCGAAAGATTCGTTTTGTTTAATAAACACGTCAGATTATGCTTTTGCAAAGCAAACACCCTTGATCAAGGTCTAACGTCTTATGGCCTTAGTCAGATATCTACATAGTTCAATTATGTTCGCAACATGTACTTAAAATTTTACTCATCGTGAGAAACGTCTTCGCATGATTTTCATCGCACTTGAGTCAACAAAAGATGAGAAGAGAGAAATTCCATGAAATAAAAAAAAATTCAATTGATCAAGAAATGAGTCACAAATTACGGAAGCTGTGAAATCATCGTCGTAGTCATTCGGGAAATTATAAATCAAGATGATTGAGTTTTGAAATAGTAACAATTTGTAGCTGTTCGACATCACGAAAATTGATCATTAAAGAAGCAAATAATTGACCATTGATGATAGAGAATGAAGAGAAGTAAGCACGAATTGTGACACGTTAGCATTATTATGAAATTTCTTCACTGACATCCCATCGCGAAAGTAAATAAAAAAAGCGGAAATTATTTGCAAATAAAAAGAAATGAATTGTAAATAAAAGTCCATGCATAATCAAACATCATCGCCCACTTTAAATGTTTATTCGAAGCAATATTTGTTGGGCTCACTTAATGTTTTGTCTACGAATGTTTATGTGATCAGAATTTGATTCAATTACCATTGTTAATTGTTACCAGACTCACGGGAACTTTTCATTCCGCTTTCATTGCTTTTTTTTAGTTTTTGTTTCACTTATGAAAGAAAAAAACTTAACTGCTTGTTTTAGTATTGAAGAGAGTCTTGGCAAGAAGCAGAAAGATTGAATTGAAAGAGAAAGAAAAATCATTAATGCAACAAGGTTTCAGTGTGGCCCATTAAGAGTTATGATTTTCATGCAATCGCAACATAAATTTAAATTCAGCTTCAAGCTTTTGCACTTTCCGAATGTTTAGTTTTTATGTAATTTAAATTTTATTTTCATTATTGAAATTAAGAAGATTGCTGTGGAATGTTGACTGTTGTTACTACTGCTGCTGCTGCCTCTGCTGCTGTTTGCTTGCTATCAGCCATTGATGTAAATTTATTTATGCTGCGCATGCAATTTAAAACATACAAACAAACATGTAACATAAGCAATTCACTTCTTAACTTTAAGTTACATAAAAGATGATCGTTCATCACCAAGACGAAAACCAAATAAACAACAAACATTCGACGCTTGCTGGCTGTTGGCAAGAGATAATTTAATATTTATTTTAGATTATAATTTTCAATGCTAAAAGCCTAGCACAAGAACAAAGGGGCGAGAGATGGAAAAAGATTTAAGATGACTATTCGCCGATGGCAGTACAAAAATACATGAAAACTAATGCTGTGTGTGGTAATCAAATAAGAATGAGACATGAACTTCTTGTGCTCTTCAATTCCCTGTTGGCAGGAACATAACAAATGTATTCATTTATGATTGTAACTTAGCATAATATTTCGTAATGGAAGGAAACATCTTTCGTCTCGTGCAGCAAGGCTAATGATCAATTTGTACAACAATTTTCCTCATGTTTACAATTCATTATCGATCATAAATCGATTTGAAGTTGATAACAATTTCTTAAAAGAAGAATGAAAAAGAAATTTTTATTGCACTTTCGAATTGCTTCCAACGCTCAAAAGTCGATTAAGATACAATTGTCCACTAAATCTGTTTCATCTTTGATACACTTATTCGATTATTTTGTGATGGATGCAAAAAAATCAAGTTTTGACATAGTAATAAAAGAAGCCTTGAAGCTGATTCGTGACCGACAAAATTTAATCCACGCGATCTTAAAACTTTCGATCGATTTTCTTTTCATTGGCACACACGAAACAAAAATAACAATAAAAAAGCATCTCATAATTGAATCAATGAAAAACATGGCCAGAATAAATAAGAAACGATCTCGAAGTCTTAACGCTCAATAAAACCAAACGATTAAACTAATTTCACGAAAAAGAAAATCCATTCCCGGTTCCCACACTAATTGGACGTCATTTCTGATGAAAATCGTCAATGAAGAGTTTCATTAATTTACGATAATTATTGCTGCTTCGCTTTATGAATTTATTCATCTTATTGCGCAACAAGAGAAAAGTTGAAGATTTTTTCATCGAAATTATTAACATTTTATGACGAGAAGCAGGATGAACGAGAAATGTTCTGTCCAGAAGATTGTAAAAAAGAAATTTCTTTTGTATTATTATTTGTCATTTGTTTTCTTTTGTATAATTTTTATTTCTTTCCTCCATCATCAACCAACAGAAAAGATCTGTGAGTTTTTCGTTTCTATAAGTTATTAAGATTTGTGATTCGGACAACAGTATTTAGAATAATTCAAAGCATACTTAGGTATGTAACAACAATACGTCATGTTGAGCATGAATTTGTATGTCTAGCAACAAATTTCAAATATCTGTTATAAGATGAACGGATGGAGAGGCGCAAAAAAAAACAAAAAAGTTAAATCTCCATGATTTGAAAGCAAATCATCAAAACTTATTCATAATTACATTTCTTTATGGCCACATCTCAGTTCATGTCTGAAATTTTCATCAACGGCTGCTTTAAAATTCTTTTTCTACTGATGATGATTAAACTCCAACAATCATTTCACGCAATTGCGATCAGAAACCTTTTCTTAACTCGCTCGTTTGCTCAGATGATTAAAGAATAAACCAAAAGATGATCAGATAACAGCAAAAAAAACTCACTTCTTGTCTAATAATGATAATGATTTTCTTCTCGTCTCTTCGATGTTCTTCTTTGAAAGTTCTTTAAGAAACCTTCAACAACAACACGATTTGAATAAGAGAATAATTCCACTGCCTTTTATGAAGAATCCACTTGACTGTTTTGATTATTATTCGCTTTAAATATATCTTCACCACCTCAGTTTTTAGTGATGCAAACCGTTATAATCTCACTCTAAATGTTCATCTAATAATTCTTCTTTTCAAAATTTGAACTTTGTTATCTAATTTGATGTTTGCTTTCTTTTTATTGATTAATCAATTATTAAATGATGTGTCTATAATTGCTTTTTTAAGGTCTTTCTATTAATAATTTAGTCAAAACGATCTCGATAGCTTCTAACAATCTTTTTAACTTCTATTAAATTTGCAATTTAAAATTCACGACACACGACTTGCACTTTCAAATTCAAATTTTATTTCTCAGTTCGACTGTATAAAATACAAAAATACTTTTTATATTAAAAAGTCAATTTTCCATCAATTTTGCATATTTTTGCATAGATTGTTTAAATGCACATTACACTGCGGGCTGACCTTAACTCCGATCATTTTTTTTCTCGTTGTCTTTACATTTTAATTTTTATCGGCATACAAGCGGCACATTCTCCTCGTATTTATGAAATAAATTTAAATGTTTTCCAGCGCCACAAAAGAATCGAAGGTGGATTAAAATTCACAACATATTTTATTTAGCTTTTCACCAGAAAGTCTCTTGAGCTTTAAGCGATTACTTTTGTTTATGTAACAAATTAAATGATCGATAAAAAATTTTCGTAAATTTTAAATTTTACCGAAAACTGGGTCAATTACAAACACTGTAAACTCTTTCTATCCGGCTTTAAAAAATGTTAATCAAGCATCAATTAACGCAATAAATTGTTTCAATTTTCCTTGAATTTTAAAAACTCATAAAAATGAAAATCACGAAAGAGTAAAAAAAAATTTGCGCGCGACTGCCGCTGTAAAACTCTGCTCAGTTTGGCGTTTCTTGTAAGACTAAACCGAGTGAGCTCGTTGGAATGTTTCGTGTCTTTTTCTTTCCTTTCGATTCATAAGAAGCTGCGGTGAGCTGTGTGTGTTTGCTTCGGTTGTCTGTTTTTATATTTTTTCGACTTGCTTCTCGAGACAGAAAAAGAAAAATAATGAAAAGAAATTGCTTTTTATAACAAACATTGCAAACAACAAAAATTTTAAAATTTGTATCATTGCTTTCATGTCTTGTTAACATTATTTGGAATATTTTTGGCTTTCTTACGATTAGAATTCAGTTTTAAACGCAGTAAAGATTTCTTTTCTGTTTTAGCTTTCGTGGTTTCCTTTTCTTGCTTTATTCTGTGGCTTTTATTTTTAATAGTAAGACGACAATCGCAAAAATATAATAAGGAGAATTTATGATTACTATCACCAACTTTAATTTTATAAACATAACGAGCAAGCAAAAAAAAAATGATCACACCGATTAAATTTTCTTCCGTCTTCTAAAAACAATTTTCTTTTATCTTTGTTCATTTTTCTTTTTCAATTTTAAACTGAAGACAACTTGAATCAGTAGCATTAAGACTTCCTTCGTTTATTCCTGCTTCTCTTGTTCGTCGACATCCAAAGTCCGAGAACAAAATCTACATAGTCTTGAATTAATTAAAGGATTGTTTCGTTAATTTAACAATCTTCATAGTTGAAACGATTCAACGTTTGGAATGAGAGAAGAAAAGAAGAGCATTAAACACTAATTAAAGATTAATTAAATTTGTTTGTTTCACAATTCGGGTTATTATAAATTAATCGCTTTCCGACTTCATCGCTGCATAGTTTAATTGATTTTAAATCAATTCTCAGCATAATAAGAGCAGAAGCAGCTTTTGTAGAACGCGAGAACGTAAAAGATCACAAGCATCAGCATTAAGTCAAGTGGAAAGAAATAAAAAATGAGTTTGAATCGTGAAGAATGAGAAACATTCGTAAATTCAATTCTTAGGTTGATGCTTTCTTAATATGTTTGTTGATTGAAATCATTGGGCTTTCCCATTATCCATAATGATTTGAACGAAACGAATTACATAAAACGTCTTAGACTTGGTTCTTGTCAATTTTCTTTCCCAAAATATCTACTTGCTGAGTTTTCAGATAATTTCCACTGTTAAGTGTTAGATAAACTCTGCTGAAGCTCTCGATGGTTACAATTGATGCCAAAAACATTTCAAAAGTCACGAAGAATGAAACTTAAAAGACAGTCGACGGGAATTGCTAGTTAAAGAGTACAAAAAAAAACGAAAAGGTGTCAGAAGGAAATTCCAATCTTTTGGAACTTTTTATTGTTGCAGCGGCGTCTGATTAAATAATAAATTAGATTTTAAACTTCTTCTTCGTTGTTCGATGATTTCTTTTGTTCAATATTGGACACACTTTAGTGAACAATTCAATTGCATCTTTTCTAGTAAAAGCACAACAAAAGTTCTCATTGTGAAGATTGTGTCGGTGATGTTTATAAGCAAAGCCAATTTCCACCAAGTCTTCCTCTCCATTCATTGATTTTCATCTTTTTTTTCTTCTGTTTCAACCTCATCTGCTTTTTTGTGTCTCTCGGTATTCAGAAGAATTGAAAACAATTATTTATCAAGGTTAATTTTTACATTATTGCTACTTTTTTCTTCCTCGTCAATTTCTTTCATTTCAGTGATCAAGAAGTTTTAATTGAGATTAAAAATAAGTAAGAAATAGAAAGAATTTCAAATATTATTGGAATCAATTGTCAACATCCTTTCTTTACAGAGAAAATCTTATTATAAAAGATTTCTTCCCAACAAAAGACAAATAAAATGAAAATCAGTCAAAATTATCTTTCGAAACATCCGCCTTCATATTGAAATTATCAGCGAAACTGCTTCCTTGCAGAGAATTTCATATCACCAACACTCTACTCGATTGCCAGCCAACACAAAAACACGACATCGCCAATTTAAAAACTTGATCACAAAAACTTGTTCACATATTTTTCGACATTTTTTTCATCATGAACTTTGATTCTAAATTTATTCACTTCATGTTCTCTTTTAAGGATTTGAGCAGAATTTTTATGGACGTGCATTGTCATCAACATGATTGCTCTGAATTTATAATGAATTAAACATGTTCACAAAAATTATCTTAAGTAGTTCAAATTTGTTTAAAAAAAACTTTGTAAGAAAGGGGATCAAGTCCGTGTGTCGTGTTCCTTCATCAAAATATCATAATAAAACAGAGAACAACTTCAAAAATATTGTTAAATTAATCGCATTTGATCGAGAACATTTTTAATGTTAAATAAAGAAAAAAGAATAACAAGAAAAGTACAAAGAAAGACCAAAAAATATCCCCAAGCAAGCAGCGTGAAGTCTCTCAGCAAATTGACTGATACTGAAACTAATTGATATTCGCATTAAAGCGCACAAACATTCGATTTGTGGTTGTGATGTGCTTTCTCAAGCTCAAATCGCAAAATGAGCTGTTTATGCTGTGCCAATAGTCAAACAGTGCTGATGGCAAGCTTTTGCGGCTAATGCGGGATGGGCTAGAGTGAAATTAACCTTACACAAAGTCAAAAACCGTAGAAACCCAAACACACCTAAAAGCGAACTGTTTATCGAATAAATTAAACATTCGGAACAAGATGATTTTTTTTTCGCGCGAAGGTTGAAACACGAGAGAATATGTCGTTGAACTCAAAACAAAATTTCTTTTAGTGTTCTTTCTGAATTGAAAAATCCCAAAGTCAGACATAAATTAACATTAACATCAAATCAAGATTTGTTTTTGAAAGTATTGCAAATTATGCTTGAGGTGAGAGATGACCGTCAAACACTTTGTATGATATCACAGCGCCCCAAACAAAAAATAATTATCCGTGATAGATCTAAAGAAAAATTCTTCTTTTCAATTCTTCAGGGTCCGAGATCACCAATGGAGATTAAAATTATTCTCGGCTCTTGATGGGATTGAAACAACATTCTTTGCCAGAAGTTCTCTCACCAACAACCATCACAATAAACTTTTCAACATGATGGAAATCAAAGCATCGCTTCTAACCATAAGATAGCACAAATTAAACGAATTTGTTTTTAGTGATTCCATCGAATTATTTCGTTTTGATGAAGACAAATGATATGTAATTTGCTGTTGTTTTCCCATCATCATGATGATTTAAATTCTTTTATTACTTTTTCGTTACTTTTCTGATGGATATAAAAGAAAAAGATCGAAAGTGTTTGAATATCAGTGGCAGATTTTCGTATAAACAAAATTGCGAAAGGCTTCAAGTCGTTAACTAAATATTAAATGAAGATTTGATGATAGCTTCAAAAACAAAGATCGAAATCGACAAAACTTTTTAATTTCCTGAAAAATGCGAAAAGATATTAAAGAATCGTTTGTCAAAATGAATGTTTGTGGATGAAATTGCTTATCATCTTGACCCTGATCACTTTTTATTCTACCTGAGCTTTGCATCTCGATTATGTTGCTTGAGTTTTGCTTTTTCATTATTAGCGGCATTCGATGAAGTTCTAACTAACTTTATTTAGGTCATCTTGATAAATTACCTTTCATCGATTATCCACCAAGAATTCTTAAACAAAAATAAAGAAAGAATTTCGTCTCACGAGTCATCGCAAAATAAAGAAAAAAAATTTCATAATTACAACGAAAGAAGGAAAAAGAAAAACTTTTTAAATGGCTCGAGCTCGATTAGAATCTGTGGCTTGCACTGACTATTGCCCATTGACGCTTTACGCTGTTTAAAATCTTAACGGGTTGCTGTTCAGTAAGTTGTCTCGCTTTCAGATTTCCAATCATTCATTACAAAGCAAAACGATCTGTTTTCAAAGAAAGTTGATTGAACTTTTAATTTTTGGGTGCTCTGCTTAAAATGTTTTTTCTTCTTCGCCATCTCAACTTTATTGTGTTGTAAAATTGTGTCGCAATCATGGAAAGTTTTGTTATTGAAATGAAATATTTTAATCGTCATAATTTATATTTTGTCACATGCAAAACTTAAACACGTAAATTATTTAAAGGAACATGCTATGAAGTCTTGGAGAGCTTTAAAAAGTATTTTCAGTAAAAGCCCTTTAATTATCGTAATTTTTTATAAATTTATTCCATTTCCAATCTGCAAATATTTTTCTTTTAGTATAATTTATGAATCGATGGAATTTATCTTAAAACTAATTTTTGCAGTCGATGAAACAGTCAGGCTCAGGCTACTGGTTTATGTTCTTATAATTAAAACACGAATGGAGTCTCGTAAAATAAATTAAAAAAATCTCTTGCATGCTAATGTCCAAACTTGGAAAGTAGTTTGTAAGATTTTATTAATTATTATCTCATTTGTGTGTATCGGATTTCGAGTTGTTAAAAGCTTATTTTGGTATTGATATTTATCTTATTTTATTTTATTTTATTTTATTTCAAAAGAAAAAACAACGAGAAAAATATTTGCAAATTACATTTGGTTGTCCAAAGGTTCATTGGTCGAGATTAAATTTTTATTTCACTTTCTCATGATATGCGAAATTAAATTAAAGCTTGACGAAGTTTCTTTTGGGGCGTAGATAGGCGATAATAAATAAAATCAATTGCCTCAGCTAAATGTTGTTTAATTAATTATACAAACACATGAAACTATTAATTTTAGATTTCTATTAATCGCTGATCGTTGTTTTAAATACTTTTGCGACCTACGACATTTGTTGAGTTTCTCGCTCGCTGCGCCGCATCATTTAAAGACATAACGGCCTCGGATTTTTATATCGCAATACTTGAAATTTATTTATTTTACTTTTAGTGACATCACAGCAAACAGATAATTGTTGATTGTGTAATTTCTCACTTTTTATTTGCTAATCCAGAAGCTTTCTTAATGGTGCTAAGCATAAAACACGATTCGTTTCTTTCATTTAAATATCATTTTGATAAATCTCATAACAAGTTCTTTACCTTCTATTTAAAGGATTTCGTAATCCGACCCAAATCTACCAACGATTATACGTGAAATGAAATGGAGAGAAATAAATGTTACATTTCCTCCCAAGGCGATTAAATCAATTATTAAAAGTAAACAAACCGCATAAGCATAATATTTATTTAAAGTGCTACGAATGAACATTGAAATCTAAGTGGTGCAAGTATTCAATAAATGCAATCATGTTATCGACTTATGAGATTAACACATATCTTGTCCGGTGGCCGAGTTGAATGCTTGACTGAGGCTGATAATTTTACAGATCAAACTTTCATTTTTGATAAGAAAGTTTAAATTGAAACTTGATTGATGAAATAAAACCAAAAACCAAACTTGAAATTCAATGCAAAAGAATAATTTTGCACAACAATGAATGTTAATCATGTATTTGAGATCTTCGAAACAAGGAAATGATTCAATTACTTTGAAATATTATGAATAGATTTTCAGGGCATCCTTGAATCAACTAAGCGCATATTTTAAGTTTCAAATTCTTTAGTTGTGATCATAGCGATGATAAAATGCGGAAAAGAAACGTAAGACTACGGTAAAAACCTAAATTAACCTTTTTCATCTCTGTTATGTTAGAAAAATGTTATAAATTGCCTCTTATTTCTTCATGATAAACATCCGACAGACTCTAAACATTGCATGGCTAAAGGTTCTAACAAGATGCAATAACTCGCGATTCTCTGACAGTGACTGGGAGTTTACTTTCAGCACCTCATAATGACCTATAATTAGAACTTGTTGAATATCATAATACTCAAAACGAAAAACTATCAATCTAATCCGTTAGTTTTGCTTAGTTGTTTGCAATGTTTAAGCGAAGCTCCCATGAAGGTTCACAAAGAATATTCGTGTGCACCAATCGCTCTAGCTTCCCTTCACACCCATAAATGAAAACATACGCTTTAATTAAATTGAAAAAGAGCATCTTGTTGAGTTCTTCTCTTCCTGCCGAGTATCGAGCCAAGTTCGATTAAATTTACGAGCAAATATCTTATAATAATCTTTTCGTTGTCAATAATCGTGCACAGCACAAGAACCACAGAGCTTTAATAATAATAATAAAAAAAAATTGCATATGAATCATAACAACTTTGCAAATGATTTTCTTGATTAAATTGTAACACAAACGTAATTAAATTTGACAAAACTTTTTTTTTACTGCTTGTACTTTTATGTTTCAATGTTGATGATTATAAATATAAAAGAATCAATCAACTTTCAACTTCTACATAAATATTTTCTAAGGAATTTGCTCGGTGAGCGCGTGAAAATGCAACATAAAAAGCAAGTTGAATGTTGAGATACATAAAATGATGGCAGATAACGAAAAGCAACGCATTAAAGTTATTAAAGACAACAACATATTATAGCATAAGATTCAGTGTATTATTAGCCGTTAAACAACTAAGCATCTTGCTATTCACTTTTATTATTCGTAAATATTGTTTTTCCTCTCTTCATTCTTTCTTGAATGCAACAAGTCCGTCTGAAAAAAATGTTAAGTAAAGCTAACGACTGCTAAGTAATTTTTGTGACTGCAGATTTCTCTCGCCAAGACTTCTAAACTGCTTCTCCGTCAGTATCTTCATGGGTTAAATTGTTTTAATGCTTCAAATGCTTAGTGGATGAGCTTCTTTTGAGAGTAGACGAAGGTAGAACTGAAAACAAAAAAGCAGCGAAGATGCAGGAAAGAAAAAAAAGCATTTTCATGCTTCTTCTACAATTTAATAATTTTCCAGCATCTTTTTTATTGTCTTCGTTGCTTCATTATGTATATATACATTGTGGGCTCTTTGTTTAATAAAAAGCAAATCGGCGTGTTGTGAGAAAATGATTGAAATCATTTGAAGCGAATGCTTATTGACGTGCAAGGATGAAAAATTGACGATTAGAGTTCGAAGACGATCGTATAAGGAGCGGGCAACAAATTGGGGAGGTTCTAAAATAATTGAATCATTCATCTCAATTTAGATTGCGTCTATGGGTATCGAACATGAGAAAGAATATCTTTACATTCATCTCACGTTCTTTGGAGGATGGCTTCGTTTTCGAACAATAAATGTCTCCTTAGTCAGATAATTATAGTCGTCGGTTATGCTTGCCTTTTGTTTCGATACTACCGAAGGGCTGAAAATATTAATCTTAACCACTTTGAACAATTTAAAAATGCAGATAGAATCTTAAATAAATGAATTATGAGATTGAAATAATGCACTTCTAAGGCTAATGTTACGAAATCACTTCGGTTGAAAGAGATTGACTTAATAGGAATTTATGTAAATTTTGTTTCAATAACAAGTAATTTTTATTTCTTCTTTAACGCAATAGCAAGCATTTTATTCATTCACATGTGAATGTTTTAGTTGAAAAATGTGCAATAGAGATAAATATAAATTATAATAAAACCCCAAAGCGAAGCAAAGTCTTGAGATTGTTGAGTGTCTCCAGGCTTAAAGAGACCTTTCAAGGTGAAGCTAAAAGTGGATAACTTTAAGAACTCATTCAGTCTGCGGTTGTTTCAGTTTGTTACGCCGTCATCGGATACATTGTTGAACTCGTTAAAAAATTGCAATTTTAATAATAATTCAAGTACAAGTGGAAAATACATTTTTAGCTATATCTACACTAAGAACTGTACCTACATGCAGATATAAATAATAACTAGAAAAATAATTAAGAATGGAATGTTCGAAATTTTAAAAATTTACGAGACATTTTAATCTTTGATGTTGGGTTTGGCTGCATTAAAATTTTCTTTTATATGTTTCACAACAAAATTAATTAATGTTTTTAGTAACAACAAGTCCAAGTATAATTTGAATCTTTTATGAAATATCGAAATAAAAGAAAATGATATGCAATGTGATATCTAACTAGTGAAACTTTCACTTTTTTCCTTTACGCAATATTTAATATCATATCATTGTTTTTATTCTTTAAAAGATCTTTCAACATACTCGCTCCTTGACATTTCAATACGTTGAATCTGGTTGTTTGTGACGCTTTTAGAAAGTCATTGACAGCATGCAAAAACCAAAAGTAATGAAAACAAAAGTCAAAAGAAAATTTCTCCAATAGAAATGAAAAGCTAACCTTGCACAAGATATCATGTTTGACTGGATTATAAGGCAGCAAGTATTGCGCTTAAAATGTTCAATAAAACTATTAAAGTATCCATAATGTTATCCCATTCTGTTCAATGAGAGCGAGAACCTGTCGAACGATGCATTGTGTACGATACATATAAACGTATAAAACTTCTTGTTGATTTTTAATTTATTGTTAAGATCAATTGTTGCACAATCTCGTTGTTTACTACGCGGTAAGCATACTAAATCGAAAAGCAAAGCAAGAAGAAATAAAAACGACGTTTTCGAATGATGGAGATGAATTTGTTTCACCATTTTATGCTCGTTGCCGATCATTGCAAAATATTTATTGAATATAAAAGGTAATATTCCCATGTTTGCTATTTTTGTTTTTGTTTCTTTTCTTCTCATCTTGCTAAGTCAATTTTTAGCTCAACTCTCGTCTTTTTTTCTTTTTATAAGATTTACAGTTTAAAGTTATTTAACAATAACTAAAGAAAGAAAAGAATCTTTGAAAACATCAAACTAAATTAATGTTTTACAACATAAATGTATGCTTTTTTGCATCATAAAACAAACATTCAGGAAAAAGAGAAGCCACAACAACGAGTCTCATTTAATTTGTTTATATTTGCATATCGCTGATGAGCTAAACGCGATGAGATGCTTTGATTGTTTTTGTAAGTAGTTGAAACGACATCAATAGACGAAAATGAGGGAACAGCATAAATCATGCATTCACAACTTCTATGTTGTTCTTTAATTTCCTCAATTGAATGTTCATATATCGATCGATGTGTTGGTTTTCCTTCTTTAAACATCGTGCTGCAAGATTTCCATTAAAAGATTTTCTATCGCATTCCTCTCTCTTTAAATGGATGAGAGAAATATTTTTCAACTTTATTATTGAACAATGCAATGTCAGATTAAGTGACAAAAAGAAATCTTTTAACGCTTCATTAACGTGATGACATTTTTAATAACTTCATATCGGGAACAACTTTTGTCAAGATTATACAAGAACTGTCTTAATTACACATAGAACTAACAGTTCAACAATGCTGAAGTGAAAAATCTTCGAAATAAAAATATTTAAGCTGAATTAGACCGGAAAGTCTAAACATTATAAGCAGTTTGGTTTGCTCCATCAAAGAAGAAGTTTTTTTATAGTCTCGATGGTCTCGAGAAAACAAAAGCATTTAACTGTCATTCACTTGATTAAAGCACTTCTTAGCGCGTAGAGAAAAGGTAAAGAAGACATTAAACCCGGTGCTTGTGGATTAATTAACATTATGAAACTCTCAACACTGATGTCATCATTAGATGATTGTGAAGAATGAAGAAGTCAACAGAAAGAGAGAAGTTAAAAATAATCTTGACTTGTTTGTCTTTAGTTTTGTTTGTTTGTTTTTTTCTCACATAATACTGAGAGACATTGGCATGCAGCATCAACAAAAATAAAGTTGCCATGCAAATGAAATAAAACAATCTTTACAAACAATTCTCACAGTGATGATCAAAAGAAAAAAACCTCCTGATTTATTGTTTACTGCAGGGTACAAAAGCTATTTGTTGATTAAAATGAAATCTCAAGATTATTGTGCGAGTGAAATGAATTTTAAAGATAAAAGCAAAAGTCGTTAAATTAATTATTTTTAGAATCTTGATTCATAAAACCATACGTAGTAATTACAAGTTATGATAGTAGTTAAGATTGAAACACATAAATTGTCGTACATATGAGATGAAAGTGAAAGAACCTGAGATATGATGCTCTCTTGTCATTGTCATATCGACTAAGATGAAAATTCTCATGACAAATTTGTAGCATGTAACAATCATTAACCGACAACCATTATCTTTAATTAAAACTTCATAATGGTTCTCCATAGCGGCGCTCTTATCGCTAATCGCTGCCTGCGTAATGACTGCACGACAGCCATGCACAACTTTTATTATTTTATTTTTTTCTGTAGAACCTTATCAAGTGTTCATTAGTTTTGAATTTCTTTTCGTTTCAAACTTTTTATAGTTCACATGCGACTGTAAAACAAATTAAAATTGTGATCACAAATACGATTCAAGTTCATATCACATAATCAATTAATTTAATTTGCGGGTAGTGAAATGTTTCTCGCGATGCAGAAGAAATTATGTGACTGAGAAAATGAAATGTTAGAAAGAAGCATTCAGTAATTTGATGATCTGAATGAGCTTCGAGGCAAGGGAAAAGTAAAGAAGAGAAAATAAAAATTATATCATTCAGTAATGGACAATGCAAAGGAAAACTTCTTCTGGTCCGTTCCATTGCATAACCACAACAACAAAAGCAAGAAATAAAAGGCCAGTGAAATGGTAATATATTCAATTTCACTTTCAAGATCCGAGGCTGCAAAAATACTCAAAAGAGATTAAATAAGACTTCGTAATCACGAGTCATATTTACAACTGGATGATTACAAGTGTTTCATTTTCGGTATTTCCAGACCAGGAATGTGCGAGTTTAAATAATTTATGACTCGAAGTATTCACCCATCGGCAGGTTAGTAATATTTTGACGGTTTATCGCGCTTTGTGGAATTTCTTTAAAAAATCTTATACGCGAAACGGTCATGGATAAGCGAGTATAATGAATCATGTACAACATTGCTAACTCATTTAAGCATCTGAAGGTTCATTGAAACGAATCTTTCTTCTTTTTTGTTCATTCAGTTCTAATAATAAAAACAATTAAAAACTCACCGCATCTGAGAAGTCACCGAAATGTTTAATGTCTTCGACTTCAGTTAGTTCTGTTGTGTCGTCACGCGACACGACACGATTTTCTTTCTCTTCACGGACAAGACCGTCGTCTCTTGCTCCCATAACAAGATTTGTTGTTTGAAGATGTTTTGGACTAGAATCAAAGCTGAGTGCATTTTTGTTGAATTGTAAAGCAGCTGGGCCGTCAACAACATCAGTGGGTTCACCGAGTGTTTTTCGCTATTAAAAGAAAATAAAACATTTGATTTTACACTTCACTTGAAATTTTCAATAATTATTTCACCTCTGTTTCTTCAGATTCAACTTTATCCGTGTCTTCCGTCGCTGTAAAAAACATCAATGACTAATTAAGATACGACACACACAAAATGTTTTTAAATTCATACTCGCTGTTGACACAATTGGTCCAGTGTCTTCAATAACTTTGCCATCTTCAAATTTAACTTGTCGTTTGACTCTTGTTTCGATTTGTTTTGTTGTTGTCAATTCAGTTTTACGCTTTGTTACTATTTCTTCTAAAAATTTTAAATAAAATTTCAATGTTAAGTAAGTTTAAACTTTAAAGTAAAAAAAGTTTTTTATTCAAGTTGAATGATCGCAAAGCTTTGTACTTTAACGTCATGATACGTTTACGTTACGTACGCCAAGTGCTAAAACAGCGCCCTCTTCAGTATTTTTGGAGAAACAGTAAAAAAAAGCTTTTTCTGCTTAAAAGCTCAATTTACGTTTACGTGAAAGAAACTTTAAACTTTAATTGTGTTATGCAATGAATATAAATATTGCAAAATCTGATAAAAAAACAACAATGGAATTTCGAAAAAGAAAACAATAATTAGCTACCAAAAATAATATTTGAGACCTCCCTAAATATTTATTTATGTATGTTTCATAAACAAACAACTTTATCGGTCAATTGTAAATATTAGGCAGTTCATTGCATTTGCAAACATCTAATATCGTAATAAATTATTTTTTATATTAAAAAATGTCAATGTTAAGCTGTGGAAAATTGAATATTTTCATATTTCACAGGGAATTTATTTCTCATAGATACTTTAATGAGACACCTGATGTTTGTAAATAATTCTGTTTGAATCGATATTATTATTCCAACCACATCTTAACCTTAGATTAAGTCAACATGAGAACTTTGAGATAGATATGAAAAGATACAAAAACCTATTTGAAAACAAAAGCATTCAAGCAGGTTTCTTCCACGACTTTATGAATTTGATTACCTCTATGTGCACTTAGTTACTTGCTGAAGCATAAATAAAAAGTTGGAATTCTTTTGGTTATTTCCTTGACATTACTAAATTTCTAAAGTGATCACAAAGTCAATTTATCTTATAAATTACAAATGTAATCAAATGGAAAAGAAGTTAACTGGAAAGGTTGTCAAGGTCAATGAATTTGACGCTTTTTTAATTCGATATAATTAAGAACAGCGGGATCCCGTTATTAAGGATGTTGAACAAATTAACAGAACAAGATTGATGTCGAGATAAAAAATGTAAGAAAAAAACGCAAGTTTAACAAATGAAAATCAATTTACGTAAAATTATTAATGGTTCAGTGCGTTTGGTATCGTTTGAAAGCAACAAGCATTCAATCTGTTGATTCGATTCAAATTTGTTCTTTTTTATATGTTCGCATTAGCATAAAAAGTGTTTACGAACATAAATAATTGTCTATGTTGCTTCTTTCAAGGGCGAGTATTGCTTGCAAGGCTTTAATCTGATTAAACACAATTTAAGTTATGTTGATATTGTTAATGATTATTGTGATGGGCGGAAATAAAAGTTTAACAATGCTTAGGAGAATTTGTTTTGAATGAGAATTCAATTAAAATCATAATATTTGTTTACCTTCTTTAACGACAGCTTCAGGTTCGTCACCGGCGCCTTCAATCTGTGGATAATCAGTAGAAAAATTTATTCGCGTTACATGATTAACATATTCTCTGCAGTAGTTTTTATTTGCATCCGGCGTTTTCTTAAACTTCGATTGATGGTTAAATGAACTCGGTCCATAATTGGTTGACAGTGGAGGCCGAGTTGAAGTCGAACTATTAGTTAAATTATATTTCGCAGGCGTTGATGAAAGAGATGTTGTGAATGTTGATGTTGTGAGCGACGCGGAAGTTGAGGATGGCACGAGAAGTAGAATGACAACCATAAGGATTACATTCTCTCCCGCAAGTGGAGAACTTATTTAATAGATTTCGTGGCAGGTTTGAAGCATTAACTTTCAAATTAATTCAAATTCAAATCACAAAACTTTTGGCGTTATTTAGTTGAAATATTCAGTTTAGAATTTTTTTCCTGTTCACTTTACGTCTTCTCATTTTGCACATTTCAACTTTCTTAATTAATTCCTTTGTCTAGATCTTATAAGTACACAATGACTCTTTTGTCCTCATAATTTGCATTAAAGTTCACTTTTTGTCACCAACCTAAATAACAACTGATGAATGTCGTGGAGAAATTTAAGATTATATGGAATCAGTGTGATTTGCAATGTTGTCAGCTGGTTGACTCATGGAAAACAATTAAAAAGGTTTTCTTTGTTGGTCGGAGAAGACTCAATTCATGAAAGTTACAATACGTGATGTGAATGTAATTGGTGAACGAACGTTTTTATTTCTTTTATGTCCAACAGGAATTTTGTGTTTCAAAAGCTTACGCAAATGGTCAGTTGAAGAAAAAGAATAAAACATAGCTAAGATGAATATTTTAATTATTTCGCCTTTTGTTTGGAGGGGCTTGAAAGGAAGTGGCAATTAAAATTACTTACAACTCCTTCTTTTCACATCGCTTACGGCTTCCAAAAATAAAATCATTGAGTTTAATTGATCGTTTAAACAAATGACTGTGTTCATTGTACGCTTAACATGAAGAACAATAAAATAAATTGCACGCAACTGCATTTGTAACTCACTGAACGATCATCAAATATCCACAAAAATTTCATCAAACTTTTCAATGTCACTTTCAAACGCCATTCAAACAAATCATAATAAAAAAAATTTCATTGGAAATTCTTCTCATTTCAACCGCTAACATTTAAATTATAATTTCACACGCTACCATAACATGTCGGAGTCTGTGTAATTTTCGCAATCTTATAAAACGAATCAAGCATCTAAGAAAAGAAAACAAAAATCGGTTCTCTGATTGCATAACAACAACAAACTAAAAGTCTGATCTGGAAGTTAAACACACTGTTAGAAAATACAAACTTAATCATCGTGAAACATCAAGTTAATTTCTCAACGCGTTGTGATTCGAAGGTGTAAAAATCTCATTTGGCTTTTGTGTCTCTTGTCATAGCGCGACCGTTAGTAACAAGCTGATATATGAGACTATTATTGTGCAGTTGACACAGAGCGGTGTCGTGTGAAATCTCTGATCTCACACTTGAAGTTTATTAAGTGTCTCATTGTTCTTCACTCCTCAACTCAAATTGGTCATCGCACTGACATCGCAAGTAGTTGACATAAATAAGCATTTCGAATCATGCAAAATGTAACATTAAATAATGTAAGATCGATGCAGTTTCATGTTTCATTTGCACGCTCAATAGAATAACAATTTGAGACGAAGTTGTGAATAAAATAGAGCATAAAATTGTGTATGAAAGAGAGCAAAGGAATATTCATTTGAATGATGTAACATTTCTTTGTTGCGGCGCTTTTTACCTTCTTTGGACTTCTATGCTATAAAATGGATTGAACGCCAACAAGTTTCAGTTTCAGTTTCATTCATAAAAAGAAAACGCTGAAGTTGTGTATTTTACGATATGACCGCGTTTTCCCTTTCAAAGATATTCAACTTTATAAGTTTTTATCGAATGGAATTTAATTGAATAGAACAACATTGGAATTTATTGAAAGATTGACTTGCAACATGAAAGTCAATTCATTTACCGATAACAACATGAGAATAATGACCAGAAGTTAATAAAACAAGTTGCTAATCTCTCGTTCATTTCATTGTGAATTAAACTCTCACCGATCAAAACAAAAGCTTTAAGAAAGTTCGATAAAAGTTTTGATTAATCGCAATTTCTCGACAAACGTCGATCACAAATTCCTTTGAAGTTTTAAATTTATTTTTATTTTATATTGGAAATTGGAAAGCATTTGAAGCACAAAAAGCTTATAACGTGCACATTCTCTACTTGTGATCGAGTCAATGTTTAATGACAGGTAACGAAAGTAAAGATTTCATTCAAGGAACATTAAATAAATGATACATGATTTAAAACATAAATATAATGTAATAGCAAGCACTTAATAACAACGATATGCTGAGAAGTGGAAAGATCGAAATCGCACCGGGGGCTGTCAGCTTGATTCGTAATAGTTTCGATTATAATTGCGTAGCTGCATTTCATTAACCATCCGCTTGATTAAAACTCTTATAAATAGAGACGTGACGAGATTTTGTAATCTACTCAACCCTATAGCATTCTCCGCTAACATTTTAATTATAAAACAAAATCGACTTCTTAATGTCTCAATAAACACTGTCACGAAATTAAAAAGCAATAATCAACTTCAGAAAACTAAACTACCAACTGATATTACTAAATAACTAAATAATTAATAGCCAGAAGACAACAATGTTAAGGTCGCAAATTCATTATTGTTTCAAGAAAAACTTTAATTTATTTACTTCTTTCGTCAATATTAGATATCAGCAAAAATTTCATGGTAAACAGTAGCGAAGGTAGTTCCAGTGCAGCGTTAAGACATTTTAATCGCTTAAAGGTAAACAATAAAGTTTACAAAATTAAGAGATAAAAATTAATGTCGAGTTGAGTAGAATAAATTTCAGCAAATTCTTTGAAAAACTTCTTCCCATGACGTTATAAACTTTCGTTTTCAAGTTTACTTTTCGGTGATCTCGTGCGAATTTTAAAAACTTTTAGACCATGAAAATTACTTTGTTCTATATTTTTAATATTTTTCATTCCAAAACACGAGTCAATAAATCTTTTCGTCGCCATTCAACGCATTGAAATCTTTTGTTATGTGAAGTAATTTTTCACGCCGACCTATGACAAGTGATTCATCTCGATGCTCTTTAATATGAAGAAAATTGAAGTACTAAATCGACAGCAGAATCATGTCTAAGACAGTGTTGAAATCACGCATCAGACTGACGTACAAAGACGATTTCAATTGAAGTTATTTTGTAGTTGTGTTCAAATGTAATAAAATTTTAATGAATAACTTGTAGAACGATAATTTAAACTTCAATGACATGCTTCATTTATCTTAACTATTAAGTAATGACTCATCATTATTGAAGTATGAACATAAATATTGATACGAATCATAATTAAAGCTTCTTCATCATTTAACTCGCTTCTCCGGTGTTCCATCATGTTCAAAAGACGCGTTGCTATCATAAACTGCGATTGATTAGTTCAATAATCATACACAAAGATAGAAATAAAAAATCGTTCATGCATGTAAAATTATACAATGGAATGTTGAAATCGATATAGGAAATTCCTCAAGAGTTTTAAATCCAAAGTTGGGAAAGAAAAACTTCACAACCCGCGACAGACAAGAATTTGATTGTGTACCATGTGAAAGTTTTTGACAAAAAAGCTTGTCATCGCCACCCCTTGTCAATTAATTATAAGCTCATATTCAATTTAAACATAACAATGTTAATAACAGACTCATATGAACACGGCACTGTCCCCAAACACCGCCCAATAAACTCTCCTCGAGTCACAAGAGTCAAAAGTAAAAGAAGAAAGAAATAAAAATTATGTAAAAGTTTTTGAAGTTCGCAATGGATGAACACGAAACACGACCATACTTGAAGCAAATGAGAAGTCGTGTGAAAATCTTTATAGCAAAGCATCGAATCAGCTATTATTGGCATGTTACATGGAAAATTTATGTTTATTAATATTTTAAGAGAGAAGAAAAGCAAGTCACATGATATTGTAAGCTGCCAACAAAACAGAAACGACAATAGGACGAATCTTTTATGTTATCTTCTTTTTGGAAGAGCCAATTTGCTGATACATGAGCTACATATCGCTAACATAACATGATGATGGTGATCGTGACTTGGCATGACTTCTGTTTAAGCGCATGGAAACATTAAAATTGCAAAAAATGTTCAAGAAGCATTTGCATAATTCACATATTAGATATTTAAATTGAGAAGTTTCTTGCGACCTTAAAACAATCTAAGCATTTGTTTCATCCGCATTAGTAATGATAGAATCAGAATCATGTCATGTTGAGCGATGTTGTAGTTCTTAACTCGTAAAATTCTACAGCAAACGGGAAACTGATGAATCAATTAGCGATGCAAGATTATAATCTTCAAATCTTCGCTACTCCAAGGTAAAGACACAACATGAAAAGCGCACATAGCGCAACAAACGAAACTGGAACGGTAAAGAACTGTTCTTGTGCAATTCAACATCAAGATGAAGATGAAAAATATTTTCGTCACTCTTCGTCATATTTAGCTGTTCGTCTAACGCAACAAGCTGTGCTGTGATGAGCGTTTAAGTGGAAAACACTCAGTTAAGAATTGAGTCTTTGAATTTTACGCCAAATCAAAATCGCTATTGTGTGATTTATGTTTTATTCACTGTTCGGATGAGAGATTTTGTTTCATTACATTCACTTGGTGCGTTTTCTCAATTTATGCTGTTTCGCATTTAGTTGCTTATTATTTTTCGCGAAAAGGTTACAACACCAAAAAAAAGTGAGAGAATGTTGAATTTATAACAAAAACATCTTTAAATTTTCGTTATATAAGATGCTTAAAAGTGAAGATGAGATGAAGGGCTACCACACACAATTTTACATTTGAAAATAAATCTTTTATTGATTTCGATTGATGTGCACCTTTTGAGTGTTTCAATTTTCCAACAACTTTTAATGACTTTTAAATTACATTCAAGCGAAACACTTCAACGCTCATCTTAGCGTTGATTTTTTTCTATTTCCACTATTTTCAAATGTTAGATTCATTGTATGTGGCAATTAGCGACAATTTTCATGATCGTAGGTAGCATGGAGACGCTTCACTAGCTTCGATTTCTAGTTTTTGTTTTCGTAATCTTCATTCACACTTTTCTTCATTTTTTCTAGTAGATTTAAATTCTTAATTTTTTTATTTTAAACTTTTATGACCAAACGACTTCCTTTCACTTTCCATGAGTCAACAATTTCTTTTCAAATCATTATCAATTGAAAATGTTTAGTTTATCGTTGAAATAAACAATTTACACTTTTTTTTGTCTTCGATTTTTCAACTTCAAGAATATTTTGTCGAATTTTGTTAACACACCGAAAATGTTATTCGAGTCATAAAAAATTGGCAAGTCAAGGAAAACACCTTTGAGGAATTTCATCGACAACTTTAGGCATCTAAACACACGTTTATAGATTATCACAAAATTTCAAATTAAGATTGATTGAACTCGTAACAAGTTGCGAGAAGAAATTTTACACTTTCCGCTACTCGCACGCGAAAGATCATTCCGACTCGACATTCAAATGAAAACTCAGACTTTAAAACAATTGTTGTGAACGAGACGGCTTGCATGAAAGCGGAAAAAAATCGTGTTGTGGGGTTTGGTGTGAACGACGGGTGGAGAGGAAGAAATGATAGAAAAATGCGCAAAGAATTTTGCAGCTCAAATCGCGCACGAAAGAAACAGAAACTAAAAAAAACCGAGCACCACGAAAACGCCGATCGGTTACTAGAATACGAAAAAACTAACTAAATTAAAATTGGTTTCATCGCGATCTCAAACGTTCGAAGAGAAGGAATGAATTACGTTTAGGTGAAGCCAACAACAACAGCAACAATGCCACGTTAAAGAGAGCTTTTGATATTACGTGTTTTATTTATATTTTGTTTAACTTACGTTTGAGATCGCGATGTTTTATTGTGTTGAGAAATATGAAATGTATGTTAGTACGGTGAACTAGCAAACAAGCTCGTTCTTCAAACAAATATTACATTTTCAATCTCATGTCATGAACCAAATAAAACAATGGATTAATAAATTGGTCATAAAAAATATTCATGTTTGAGTCCGACAAGACAACGCAATGTTTGTTAATGTGCTTAGAATGACAAACTGACCCTAAACATTACAAAGCTTTTTTTACGTTTGAAATGTTCATGTGTTGGTGAAAAAAAAAGAAAAATTTGTGAGCAAAAATATTCAATTCAGTGGATATGTGAGTGATCGTGTTTGAGAGACACATTTTCTTTCTTTCAAGACTTTCAGAGTGTAAGTTTGTTGTTTACTACGCAAATATTAAACGTACGACGAAAAAAAGACAAATTCATTCATTCAAGATCACGCTCGTGCAATGTCAAAGAAACATGAAGATGACGAAGCTTTGAAAGAAACAGAGACCTCAACTCTTTAGTCTGAATAATTGAATTCCAAGTTTTATTTGAAATTCAAATGTGATAAATGCAAATATTTTTATCAGATGTTTTATTAACAATGATAATGAAGTTCACATTGTGAAGTGATCTTTACGATTTAATTTTCATTAAGTGAAGGTTGACTTAAATGCATGCAATGATGATTAATAAAACTTGCAACATTCTTAAAAGCTTTCCCACAATTCTCTAGAGATTTAGATTTCTCTTCAACTTTAAATGTCGCTATTCGCGAAACATTAATTTTTTTCCGCTGCTTCGAAACGATTTCGTCAATAATTTCATGACCGTTCATTAATACATTTGGTATTTCAATTCGATGGGTTTAGATCGAAACAAAGTTATGAACTCAACTCTTTTTGTGTTTGAAATGAAATAAAAATGTTTTAATGAAAATGAAAATAAAATTCCATTTCTTGATACAATTTGAGATCTCTTTGGCTTTACTTTCATTCAACTATTTTAATAGTTCATATTTTACAACATTATCGTGTCTGTTTAACAGGTCATAAAGCATTAAGCAAGCAAAGGAATTTGAAGAGTGAAAATTTAGAAATGGAAAATATGTAAGAAAAAGCACGAGTTGAACAATAACAATCGAAGAGATTTAAATGCAAGTTAAAATCTGAGAGTAAAGTGTGGCACCAGACAAGACATCACTTTGGAGATCCAAGATATTTCATGTTATTCAATCGATCTGACTTTTTGATTACTTTTTGACTTCTTTTCCCACTTTTCCATCTCAAACGAATTTATTTAAGGTGCTTTTAATGGATCGAATGAGTGTCGGTTTATGAATAACTTGTAGTGAGTGAGTAGTAAGTAAGCAGAAAAACGATTCAACAGAAACGAATTGTAAACAATTCAGTCGCATGTTTTCTTGAACTTCCAATGAACAGAAAAAATAAAAATCGATGAATTTTTAATTCAGCCCCGAAGGGCGAGTTTGCGGTGGTTTCCATTTGATTAATTTTTTATTTTTTATTTTGCACTGTTAATGCGCCAAATCGAATAATCGAGGTTTGTCTTTGGTTCCAATCATGACATGAGAGTTCATGGCTACAAATTTTAAATTAAGTTCCAGTGATTCATAAAATAAAACAAGAACTGTAATAATTATTTCTGTCAAAGCTCTTTGAGTTTATTTCAAAGGAAGAACTTTTTCTGTTACTTATTTCAATCTTCAACACTCCCATGTGCCATTTTTTATGATCAATACCGTCGTTAAAATGTTAACTTCGTTATTTCTTTCAATTTATTGTGATTATTTTGAATGTTTTTAGGAAACAAAGAGCTTAAGTAAGTATCTCAAGGATATTTAATGCTTCGCACATTCTTAACATGTCCATTAACACAACATTTTGGCTAACTGAATAGTGAAGAATGACTGGACCGCACCAAAACATCAGAATTGTTTTTAAACACGTTTATGATTCAATTGAATTGACTGAAGTCTGATTAAATAACTCACAATCTCCACCAATTTGTCATCGTCAATGATTGATTGTTGATGGTTTACTTGTGGTATAAAAAACCGAAAAATAAAAAGAATCAAACATCACAATTGTTAATTAAGGAGATAATTTGTAAGTTATTAAAGTTTTAATAAAACATCTTCATTTCAATTTCAAGATGATGTTCAAACATGATTTTCATGAGAAAACTTCTCACTTCTTTTTATAATTCAATATAAAAGTTAAATGAGTTGTTCTGAAGGTTGAATCGACACATTTACCTTCTTCAAATGCTCTTCAACAATAGAACTCAATAGAAAAATTGTAGTCGTAGAATGAATTTGTGCAAACGTTTATTAACAACAGAAACAACCGTCCAATTTCATGCATAATTAATGAGTGTTTAAAGTTATTTCTGACACGATCAAGTCACGAATCAAAAAGGTTTTCACAGTTCAAACTTATTAAATTACTTACTGAGAAGTAATAAATGTTTTTAAGAAATGACATGACACTTTAATTCAACAATTCAGAGCATTATATGTTAATGCAAAGGTGAAGAAGAGTCGTTAGTATAACCAGCATAAGCTACTCATGAAAACACTCTTTTAAGGCCGATGAATTGAAACACGATATTCATAATTTGCATTGGCGGAAGATTACAAAATTGAGCACACCATCGATATATTTACATATGTTTGCTTTGTCGAATTTCACAACTGTTTGCTTCTAGCATTGCTTTTAGAAATTATATAGGTGGAGTTCATGCTAAAGATGAAGTTTAGCCTGAAACGCTTCGTAATTTTATGAGATGTGATCGTTATGGTGTAGTGAGTTTTAATGAATGTACTCGAAAATTTAAAACAAACAAATAGAATCTTGAAGTATGAATAAAGTTGAAAATTTCACGTATAAATTTATTGACTTAAAACGATACCACTTGAATATAAACTTAAGTTGAAGTTGGAATAAATTATTATCCAAATGATAAATGTAGAGATGTTAAATATTTTTAGCAAACATAAATTTTACAGATCAATATCAAAGCTTTGCTCATTAAATGCTTCGACTTTTAGTCTGATTTTGTAAAGGAAATAATTCATATAAGCTAATTTAATAAAGTAGACTACGACATCGGTTTACGAGTTTGTATGTTTGCGACGGGATTAAATTCATAGCTTCATCTGCACTCGTTTTTCTATTAATTTGAATCTCAAAGCGAACCGAGTTATAATTTATGTTTCTTCTACTTTTTTCCCATGGATTTTTTTTTATAACTTCTCAACATAGATCGCACAACCGTTTTAAACGCTTTTGTTAATATTTTATTTTCAAGCTTTGTATGAATATGCAAATCTTATAATTTTAATGACTTTAATATGTTTACTTTAAGCAACGCCTGGTTAGAAAATAATTAATTGAAGTTTTTTTTAAGTTCCCAGAGACTTCAACGTGTTAATTACAATTTAAAAGTGAAAGGATTCTTGTTGCAATATCTTTGGACATCTGAGACAATAAATTATTTGTCATTTGTGAATTTCAGCAACATCCGTGATTCAACAAACAGTCAAGGATGTGAAAAACAGACAAAGAATGCACATCTTAATAACTTCATAAACAAGTCATAAACAAAAGAAAAATGAAATGTCATGACGGTCAACAAAGGCAAGGAAAGACATCATTTGAGGAATTTCAACATGATTTTGGGTTTCATTGATTCAAATTTGTTTCAATTTGCCGATTGTAATACCGTTTCAGGGACAGAAATGGACAGTGACAGCTTTTCAGACGCTTAAACAAATAGTTTTTTATATAAACACTTGTAAAGATTTAATTAAACTTTTTTTTTCTTATGTTTCTTAATGCCTTCGAGCTAAAACCATCGTGGGATATTTTTATAAATATTATCATAATAATATTATAGCAATCTTTCTAATTCTGTTAAGTGGACATTGACGAAACATTCCAATGGTCAGACAGCAGCTTTCAAAGCAATTCGAACAATGTAAAATGAGCTTGAACCACAAAAAGTGCACAAAATGTCAAATCAAATCATTGTTAATTTGTTTCTCCTTCAGAGTTCGAAATTATGCTTCCCGATACAATCGCAATAACTTCCACCTGAAGCAATTATTTGCCAACCTTGAAAGCTTTTGTGTTGCATCAAGATCAGGCAAGTAATCTCAGACGCTGAGAGACATTGTGATACATCTGATTAAGAAATTTTCATTCCATTCAAAGAAATTCAACTCATTCATTATGCTTCTTTTAAATTTTACGTTCAAATTGTTGCACGACTAATTAAAAATAAAGGAAAAAAAATTAATTGAATTTAGTTAATGCCAAGAAAAGAGTCTTTTTTGCTTTAATTCCAATCTATTAGACACGTAATTCACAATGATTTTAATTGTAAGTAATTTAATTTGAATAAAATTACGCTGATCAAATAAGTTATACAAAAAACTTACACAACATAAAAAGAATTTAAAAAAAGTCGCTAAAATGTTAACTTTGTCTGTAGGTCAAAGTTTTTCATTTTTTAATGGTGAGACGAAGTGGAAAATCGAAGGAAATCAGAAGCAATAAGTATGACAACATAAATATGAGTAAGATGAATAAATGTTGATTTCATATTATTGCACTTCTTAAATAATTCTTTTGAACACTTTAAACGGTAACAGAAAAAAATTCCCCGAGAGTTTAATTGGCTCTAAACATGCTGCAAAGACCTCGACTGAGGTGTCATGTGAATAATTGCATTTATACCTAAAAGATCTCAATCTTATATAATATAATGGTGAACTCTGAGAGAAAACGAAAACCTGCTTGACACAGTCAGAAAAAGGTGTTGAACATATTGACTGTTAAAGTGACAAAATTAATGTTATCTCACGTCCTACATTTATTTTCGAATCAATAGTTTCCAATCAAAATAATCGAAGTTATATACTCGAGAGTTTCATTTGCAAATGTTGCTTATTTTCATTCGCTTTCAATGAATGTCTTAAGAAGTTAATAAAAGTTATTGTGTCATTTCCTTTCATTAAAAGTCTTCAATACTCTGCGTAGTTGAGAGATTCTTCATTGTGTCTTCATGAAGATTAATTGATTCTCTCATTTCATCGATAGACTTAAATTTGTTATGATATAACTGAAAGAGGAAACGAGCGTGTGTCTCAACATCATGTTGAGCAAATAGATTTGAAAGAAATGTTTGAAAGCGATGATTATGTGAGATAATTACAATACTTTGAAATCAATGTATCATTGCTTAAAGGCACAGAAATTTGTTTGATGATTTATCACTTCACCAATTAATTAATTTTCATTCCCAAATTGAAACTTTTGATTTCACTTTCATTTGAAAGATTTATGTGAAAAGTTTTGTTCTGCCTTCTGATGTCAGAAAAATAAAATTAATTAAAACTCTCCCATACGATAAATAACAGCTCTAAATTGATAATTAATGGTTTCGCAAAAAAACTTTCAAGAAATCAATAAATGTGATTAAGCAGCAGAAAACCTTCCTCCATCATATCCCCGCGAGATGACTTTGGGAGCAGCCACAGAACCACTTAAGATACTAAACCCAATCTAAGACTTTTCTATGCAAAAACCATAAATTTAGAAAAAAATTCATTCAATATATCTACCGAGAAATGGTTTCAACCCATTCATTTATGCAGTGCCGGGTCTTTATTTGAACTTCTAACAAGTAAGCAACTAATGCAGCAAATTTATGCACCACGCTTCCATAGAAAATTATTATTTTATCTCATAAAAATAATTTATCTCAAGAAAATTAATAATAAAAAAGGCCATAACGATGTGAACTGAGTGTTAATATCGTTAGAGTTTAATTTGCTTACCTTTTCATTAACAAGATTGCGAGATAAGCATAAAACATAAACATAAATATTCTTGAGCTTTTCAGACACTTTCATTGGATAATTTTTAATTGATCAACAAATAATTCGATTGATTTACTAAATTTTAATTACAATTCAATTTCCAAAGTAAATGATTGTAAATCATTAAATGTTACATATTTCTGACTAATGTTATTCCAATTTAATTTATGATTTCATGTTTTATGTCAAAGATTTCAAATGAATCTGACACTTATGATCGTGACATCCTACACATGTCTAACAAACAATTAATATTTAACAGCATCGGATATTTATAAAGAAATAAAGGAAAATTAATTCCATTCAATGAGTTTAACGAAGAATGTTGTGTTGCTAATAGTGCAATTATGGATTTCGCAGTCCACCTTTTTGTTTTATTTCAAACGATGCATTCAGCGAATGATATTTTAATTTCTTTTTCATGATGCATGCAGCGCAGTTTTGTTATGTAAGAAATGTTTATGACTAATGCATATGTCTTGTTTCTTGTATTAAAGAAATCTTGATTCCCATAAAGTAAATAAAAATAAAGCATCTTGTGAAATTCGAGAATTGAAACATATTTTTGTTCGGATTCAATGTCGTGATTGTTTGATTCATTAATTGCTGTTATAAACGACCGTCCCCTGTCATTTACATCAAACTGACTGTAATGATCCATCCAATAAAAATTCCATGGCAACTAAAATCTTTGACATTCTCATTAAGTTTATTTATTACTCCAATGATTGCAATATTTTTCGATACTCAATCACAACAGAATTATAATGGAAAGCTAACTTCATGAATCGATTTTTAGGTTTGTCACTAAATGACATAAATATCTAGATCAGACGGAATCATGATTTTACATGATATTACATTGTTGCAAAGGTCGATGGTTATTAAAGACTGAAGTAGTTTATTATCTCAATTTTCACCATTAACTTCGTCTGCGATGGAATTCTCGTCTCGACTTTAGCAAGCAATTTGATTCAAATTATTTTAATCTGGATGCTAAGAAATTTTTCTCTCATTTCATTTCGTGGCGATTTCAATTTTAATCTCATCAGTTTTCTTGTTGCATTCTTTTAAACAACAAAAATGAAGTCATTTGGTCAAAGATAATTTTTAGAAAGAAAAAAATTAAATTAACTTAAAAGAGATAGATAATATTTCTTGCCACGCCTAACATGCAATTTAATGCACATTTATAAATTGTGGATCGTTTAAACGATATCGAATTCCACAATAAATTACCGTCATGCATGTTTAAGCTTTATGATAATCTTTAATTTCGTTTGATTCAACATTTTGTATACTGACGACGATCAAACCAAAATAGGACGTTTATTTCGTTATTTAATTACATTTCCTCTTGACCTAGAAACATTAAAACAAATTCAGTTGAATGACCTAATGAAAAGTGCAATTTATTCGTTTCTTCCACAACGAGGTGCGACGTGGCACGATTTCATGTACCCATCAATCGAAGTAAGTCTTTCAGTTACTCAATTCGGATGCAAATCAATAAATGAAAAGCTCGTTAAAGTATCATAAAGTTGACTCACCAATTCATTTTTCACAGCGGGTACAATCGTTAAATCTTCTCTTGTTGCAGACATCGTGGCTATGTGTTTGTTGTCGCTTTTCCCTTTCAATATTGCATGACAATCTTCAAAGACGCAGAGTATCTTGAGAAAATATTATAAACCTGTAAAAAGAGAAGAAATATGCGATATAATAAAATTTACGGCTCAATGTTCGGAATGAATTATCGTTGCCTTAGGGCATGTCTATTAAAGAATAATAAAAAAAGCGGACAACGTGCGCAAGCCATTCAGCTAACTATTTATTATGTCATATTGCTTCATGACTTTGCTGAAATCTGAAGATGATTAACTGGTTTTGCTTAACATTGACTCGCCTTTATGTGACACGGGAAATCTATTTTTTTTTCTTCTATTTATATGCTTTTGTAGGTCTTCACACATCACATTAAAACGAGGAAAGATTTCACAATTTATTGGAAGGTGATTGTATTAACGGATTTATGATCATTGACTTGATTCGAATTAGGCAGTAGGTTAATGGATTTTTGACAGGTTTAAAAAAATTCCCATGCATGGCCATCACGTGACAGATCAAATGATTATTTTTGCTATTTTTTTTAAGTCCCACATCAATAATTTTAATGTCGTTATTTTAATTTTAATGTCTTTATTAATCGTTTACTTATTCGATTCTAAGTCGTGAAAAACAAACGTGGTCAACTTGTCGTTGAACTTCTGATATAAATTGAAAAGACGATCATTCTTATCGTTCAATTGTGACTTTGAATTGTGGTAAACATGAAGTTTATTGTAATAATTATTTCTTTGGTGATTAAAGAAAGTTTATCATTTCATCATGAAGATGAAACTTGTATGAATTTGGAGGAATGTCGAGATAACAACCTTAATATAACTTTAGATATGGTGAAAAAGATTGCGTTGCATATTTTTAACGTCTCTAATTTCCAGAAAGTTTTAGTTAGAAGGAATTTGGTTTCTTGCTGCTTCTATTGACGACAGTACTGAAGATGTCTCGAAATGCAGTTATTATAATGTCTTAGATGGAGGAAAACCAAACAGCTTGAAGACTGATGGATATCAATTTGAAATCAAGTAAGTGAGTGTTTTCTTCTTCAAGATTCTTAATGAAATATTATTTCGAGCAGCGGTGGAGCTTTACGAGAGTTTACATTTTTTTCCACGTATAATTCAAAGGGTGATTTCTTATATATTTTTCCGTTTTGTAAGTTTTTAAAATTCATTTTTACATTTTAATTTTTAATTTATCATTTTAATTCTAGCGAACCTCCATTACAGTTCGACGGTGATTGCAATTGATGAAGGTATGATAATTGTAATGAAAGAAAGATTGTTATTGATTGTTTTTCTTCTTAGATATTTGGATTATGTTGACTTGTCCCATTTGTGCTACTTCAGACGACATAGGAAGTAAAAGATTCCCAAATAAAATATAAAAACTTTTGATTTTTCACATTTTATAATATTTCGTTTAGTTCGAGGAATGATTATGACAAGAGGACAATTCCCAGAAAGTCATGTTGTTGAGAAATACAAGGAAGCATACGGAAAATGTGGTTTGTTAGACACTGATTGGAAACTTCACAATCAAAACAATTGCAACTTCTGTTAACAGAGTTAATTAAATTTCATAAAGATCTTTTTAGATATGCTTAAAATTCGTAGAGATATTATGTTGATCTGATCTATTTATAATTTGCAATAAAATAAAACCTTTCGATCGATTATTTAAGTCATTTAATGAATCAAAATGAAAATAAATTTCTGAAAGCTTTCATATCATAGACACTCATACGTAAGCCAAGACACATCAAAAAGCTTAAGTTAAGGCTTAACGTCATTGCGTGTTTGCAGAATAAGGAATGTTGGCCTACGTGATTTGACAAAAGTTTTGTTTAAGTTTTCGGTTAACAACTTGTCAACAAAAAGGTTTGTTTTTACAAAAGTTATTCGTACAAAATATTTTCCCTTTTGATAATTCAAAACTTTATAAATATTATTAAGCTCCCTAACATTCCAGAATTTTTCTAAATAGTATTTATAAGAATGAATGAATATTGAAATTGAAAATATAATTCAAAGCAAAAACATGAATGAAGGTGTTTGTTACGATTTATGATTGAAAATAACATGGCATTTTATATTTAATTACCATATTGTGACACCTAAATCATATTTCTGCTGAGTGCTTTCAGTAAGTTCGAGTTGATAATCTTTAAGGCGAACACAAATATTTATGATTTGTGTAGACTCGTAAATAAAGATTTTTGCAGCCTACGAAAAATGTCAATTAAAAATTCTTTCAACATTAGAACAGACAGATTTTTAGCATTGTTATTCGATAAAATTCCAAAAAAATAAATTCTTTTCTTTCTTTATTTGTGATGATGATGAAAGAAAAACAACTTGAAGCTGTAGGGTGTTGTCTATAAAGAAGTACAAATATGAATTATTCAAGGAACATACTTTACATAAATAAAGATAAAAAATGATTGTCTGAAGTAGATAACTTTAAATTATGAAAGAGATTAAAATCAGATTATTAATCTGATCATTTTTTAAAGTCGTTAGTGCTATAGACGAATAATTTTCAAAGTTTTTGACAGTTCATGGGGATAACGATAATTAACTTCTGCCAAAGAGAAAAATGCAGCAAATACATGAAAATATTTCTAGGTAAAATATCAGATCAAATTTCTAATAAATTTAAACTCAATTTAGGTGACATTTTCTTTCCACGAAATTTGTATTAAGCCGTGTTGCGTTGGCAGATGTCTCGTTATTATCATTTCATACGACATTGTAAATGTTTATTCGATTTTTTTTTCGCGTGAAAATGTAAACGTCTTCTCAAGTGGTCTTTGTTGGGAATAGAAAATTGCATCATCCCACATTGAAATGATTGGTGATCGAAAATATTGAAATCCATTCGACTAACCCATATCCGAAGATTAAGAAAAAAGAAATATAAAAACTAAAAGCCAAATGTGAAGAAAAAATTAGAAAATAAATAGTAAATTGGCAATTACTAACTTAAAAATGATCTCGTGATTTTATATGATTTTGCTTGTGATATATCTTTGTGCAAAAGTTGAGAAATCATATTCATTTTATTGCTTATGTGTAATGTCTTTTGCAATCTATACAGAAACACGGATTGCCATTTCAAATTGATTATTTAAGGGCGAAGAGAAACTTAAAAGCTTTTTTAAATAGCTTTCATATTTTGTTATTGAAGAGAATGTTTCAACCCGAAACAGATTGTCAGTTTCATCAAGTTTACTGTTAAATTCCATTCCTACACACATTTCCGAAAGCACAAATGATGACTTTTTAAGAAGATGAAGAGGAAAAAGTTGCAAATTTACTTCCTAAATATATTTATCTGTTTCATAAAGTTAATGGCATCAAATTATTCACTCCTCCTACATAAGATGTTCGGAAAACATCACACCGTCGATGAATAACAAAAATTAAATATTTCTAACGCTTTTGTACGCTAATTAATTACGAAAGCGTATTCAGTAAGTATCGTCGCCATCTCTCCTTGAATTTTATTAAGTACAACGTGATGCGATGTCTATACATAAATAATTTAAGAGAACAAAAACATAAATTTTATGTTAGTGAAATATAATAAAGTCGTGAGAAAAATATTTTTTGCTGCACTCGAGATTGACGCGATATTTGCATTTAAATTATTCATCGAGAATTTAACTTATGTGTTCACTTGCATTACATGTTATTGTTTTGAGATTTTATTGCTTAATTTATGAACTTGAAGGTTTTCTTTTTTGTTTTGTTTTGCGTTGTTTTATTCATCATTTTGCAAACCACAATGTGCCATGAAACATTTCCATAAACAGAATGCGAATAAAATAAAGTCGAAGGTGGTCAGATTTGGCACATCGCAATCTCAAAATGACCTTTGGAAAACATGTTGAATCTTAATTGTCTTCACTGCTTCTCAAGTGTTAATAAATCAATTTTAATTTGAGAAATTATTTCATAAAGTTTGATTAGAACTTCATCCACTAAATGTCTAACAATTTTCTATTCACTTTGAGTTCAAATTGACTTATCTTTGGTATGAAATCTTTTTATATTAAAGATAATTTGAGAGCATTCATAAACACGGATATCTCGATATAAAAAAAGAGAAATCGGTCAATTCTTCTAAATCAAACATAAAAGCAAAGAATAAAACTGTGAAGATATAAAGACCGCTAATTCGTCGTTTTTTTCCTTCTATTTATTGAAATGTTCTCAACATATCTACTTTGCTAAAACCCAACAAAAGTTGCCAAATGCCAAAACATTGTCTTTGTGGTTTGGACAGCTTCTTTATGACTTTATCTTCACTGATCTCGTGCTTGACATGCAGAGGGAAAAAAAACTTAAATTGAAAATCATAATTATGACAAAAGGCAGCTCGTTAAATCTTTCTTAGCGATACTGAAAAGGTCATTCTCACGAGTAATTTTCAAATGACCGTCGTTTTATCACCGAACAAGCAAAGGTCAAATGCTCATGTGAAGAATTGAAATGTTGAATTAATTATGCAAAACAATTCCCCCCATGGACTAAAAATCAGAGATAAAAATTAATTTAGAAAATCTCCTAAATCATAAAATATCCGATAGTTTAATTTATCAAATATTTTGTATGCACCGCCGTTGCCATTCAAAACAAAAGCAAATTCCTCGAATAAAACTTAGCAGTTTTTTATTCATTTGATTATCTTTCTGTTCTTATTTATGACTGGTGACTGTGTTCAGTGATTTGCGGTTTCGCTTCTCGTTATTTATCCTCATGAAAGTCAACTTGAAGTTCAATTTATCATATTTTGGTTTCATTTTTTCGAAACAATATGTCGCTATGCGAACACTTCCAACTTAAATATTCCAAAGAGAACGTGTCCTTAAAGAACAGCTTCACTCATAAAGAACGTCTCATAAAAATACCCGCAGGAAAAATAATAAAAGAATAAAATTCGATTGATGTTGGCTTCAGATTTCACATCATGTGGCTTGAAAGCGTCGAGTTTAACAAACTTTGTTAACAAACGTGGACGGACAGTGACAAGTTTGATGCACAAGCTTTTTCTTACTTCATCACCACAACAAAAATTGCAAAAAAAAACTTTTGACTAAGATTGATCACAATTTATTACTCAGTTTCGCTTTCATTTCATTTGTGAAAAGCAGAAAAAGTGGGAAGAAATTGTAAAAGTCTTCATTACAAACTCATGAAATAGATTCTCGATCTCAGTTGGCTTTACAATGTGTCATTACAATTTGCTGCTTCCATTTAAAGAAAATGCTTTTAAAACTACAACCTCTGACAAGGTGAAGATGATTCTGCATTAAATAAGTCATTATTATACTAGAAAAACTGAATTATTACGAATTAACCACAATCAAATGTTCCTGCTGTTTCAGATCAATCGAGACGACCTTGACACAATGCAGAAGACGAATTAATGAATGATTGTCTATTGCGAGACTTGCGATTGTTGTTTGATGTTTAAATCCCAAACAGTTAACTGAAGCTTACTATCTTAGCAGTTTAAATGAAATTAATAAATTATTGTAAGCACACTATGGATGGATTAATACGTTTGAGAATAAAGAAGCAATTGAACCGTAAGAAATTCGTGTTTTAATCGAATAAAAACGTCTACATGATACGATCAGACAAAGATCGACTACCTACTGTTAAAATTTAATAACAAAAAATCAATATTCGGTTGTTGTGTAAAATGAATTAAGATATTTGTCGACCTCGTTCTGATCTGCATGTGCACGTTTCACGGTTGCACTTCCTATTTGAGTTCAATTTATTATAATTACTTCTCACTTTTTTCATAAAAAGTCTCATACGATGCTTATTTTATTGCATTTTCTAGTTCTACCATAAACTGTTTATTTATCTCCTTGTTTCACTATTCTTATTCCTGATTTGTGCATTTGAACTGCTACTACTGGCACCGCGCCTTTTGTGACTTTTCACAATTATTGCTCTCACGATCGTCGACCGAGTAAATTTGCCTTGAAATTCACCGATCGTTTCTCTGATGTCATAAAGTTGCTTTGTTGCTGTTTCCATTAATTGAACACAACATCTTGAAGACGATGCTGATAATTATTAAGTATTTGTAGGAAAATGAATAAATATTTGTAACTTAAGAATATCTTACGGTGTATGATTAAAATAATACAAAGTCTGATTATAAATATTACAACTATTTGTGAACGATTATAAATAATTCATAGCGATCTACTCTGCTATTCATAAATTGTCGTCAAATAAATTTCAGAAGGTTAATTCAATGAACTAATCGTGGGATTTAATTTCGAATAAAATTTCCTGAGTCTTAAAGCCGTCATACTGCCTGCCACTTCCTGAACTGAGTCAAGCTTCTCAATTCTTCAAAATCTTCCACTAAACAAGTCACAACATTCTGAATGACTCAATTCGGCTGATTCGATAATTGATCTATCAGGATTGTTTTTTACTCCATTAACTAACAAACTTCATTAATGATTATCGATACAACGCAACGCCGAAATCAATCATTCAATTCAGTTCTAAGCTGTTTTGATGGTCAATGTGACGTTGAGTTGAGGAGAGAACTTTGAACAACTGAGATGAAGATTGCATGACCAAAATTTTGTTCAGGAATTTTGAAAATTTCAAATCAAGATGAAAAATCTCGCCTTGCATTCAACAATCAAAACATTCTCTCGAAATATTTCAACGTCACTTTTTCTTTTCCCGCAATTTTCAGAACTTCTCGTTAAAGTCAACACTCATGACTGCTTACTCACTAAATTTCCAGGTACTCGTTTTAAACATCCGAAGCTTAGAATCAACCTGGAGAGTGAAACTTCTTGATGTCATATTTGGTTATTGAATTTTTTCCTTTCCAAAACAGTTAATAACATTAAATATTTAAATGAGAAACTAATAAAAATTAAATATTTACTTTACAATTAGTTTGCTTCATTGCGAAATTATTTCTTCAATGTCATATTTCCATTAAATACCTTCGAAAACTGCGTGGACAGCGATGATAAAGTACAATCACATTTAAACGTCTTATTTACCACGAGACTTTCGACATTGTTTTATCTTCCACTCAACTAAATTTAGTCATAAGCTGTTAATACGAATAAGTTTCTTCTAGTGACTTGTAAACGCTTTTTAATTCAGTCCAAACGACTTGCAAATTACGAAGAAGTTTTCTGTTTGTTTACAGTCTCAAAGTCTCTTCTTTGTTTCAAGCACACACTTATTTGTTGAAAGTATGAATGAATGAATGAATGAATAGCATGTTAAAACAGTTTGTGAACGTCTTCGAGACTAGTTTATGGTAAATTCTTAATGAAACTTTAATCTCCCTTTTGACCTTCAACCTAATTATGTGTTTATCCTTTAACCGAATCAAAGTTCTTCAATTTTCCTTTTAAAAATCATTTGATTGTATCAAATTGTTTAAATTATTGACGTCAAATCCATTGCGTTTATTATCATGTGAATTTTCGATCATTTTAAAGTTCCACCTGTCATTAAGAAGTTCATGAAATTTCAAGGAGAAAAAAGTTAAACACAAAATTCTCGCTAAGCGTGAGAGTAGCACATTGAACACAATAAAGGTTTTTAAATAAACGACAATTTCATTGAACCGAGATGTTATTAAACTCAAACATGCTTCAGCTTTAGTAAAACAACCGGCTACGAATTCACGCAGACAAACAAAACTGAAAATTAGCGTCAAAACTCACCCGCACCAAATATGGTTGATAGAATGAATAGCTTGGTAAATATCCTTGATGATGTTGTTTTATATTTCATTCACTATATCGAGTCTTTCGATGTCTTAACTGCTTGATACGAGTCGTTTAGTTTCTTTTTTGCTATCGACTATCGATACAGCAAAATAATTTAATTTGAAACTTTTTTATGACTTTTGGTAACCAAAACAAGCGACACAACTCAATTATGATCAAATTGACATCTGATTTGTGAATAATTTTTTCGTATGTGTTCACTCTGACACCCACAACACTTTATTTTCTGGTTAATGGAATAAAAAATGATTATTAAATATATTTTTTAACACTACAAAGTTTTGAAGAATAGAAGAACTTCAAGAGTTCAGTGCCAAGAGAAGAAAAAGCTCACAACACAAAGATTCTCATTCATTCATTCATTCTTCACTCGTTGATTCTTTGAACGACAACACAACACAAAAGAACCACCAAATAACTGATTAAATTTAATTTACCACGTTGATCTCCCTCATTCGCCTTTTCGTGTCATTATTTGATTTTTATTGAGTGCCACCGATTATTTATTTATTCTTCTTCTACTGTCTGACGACGAGATAATTACACGATTAATTCAAATATTTGAAGGGTGAAAACAATTTTTGAACTTCTCCCTCCAACTGTTCTCTCTTTGAATGATTGCGATGAAGAACTTTTTATATTTGCTTCAACTTCCATTGGAACAACTCGATCATTCACTCAACATATTAATCATTCATGAAAGGAATTTGGAAGAAGATGAATTTCGAGGAAATATGTTATGGAATCATGCTTGGAATGTATGTAAAGTGAGTAAGTCCAATAACATTTTTTTGAAGGCTGGATGCCGAAATGTTAGCTATACACATATTTAGGCTAGCGATAATTTTTATCTCTGTTCATTGTATTGTGTAACAACAACTCAACACTGGTAATGAATGGTTTCGATGATTGTTTGCACACGTTTTCTCATTTATTATCGACGATGATTGTGATTACCGAGATTTCCTGTGAGCTTTTGTATGTCTCTTGATCGTCTCAATCTCAACATTGAAATTCATAGTGAAGAGATATGTGGGCAGCTTTTTATTTTTTATATTTCATCTTTCACTTCTCGGACATTAATCGTTTGAAGGAAAAATGATTGAATTGGAACTTTTTTGATTTGATTCCGAATTTGTTGTATCGTGGTTGATGTTTAATGGTGGTCTCGTGATATTATGCAAGAAATACGCACTAGGCGACGCGTTTCCACGAATGCTTGCTTTGTGTACACAACAACTTTAAAATGAGATAAAAATCTGATCATTAATTACTCGCAAACGATTTTCACATGTGTCGATTTGATATTCATCGTAAGTATGTTCAGACTTCGGTAATAACTTGATCATTGCATCGTCACATTTCTCATTAAATGGAAATGAACTATTTCTTTCGAAATTCAGATGAAATCAACTTGTTAAGGCACTTAATTGACTTAAAATAAGCTTAAATAACAGAGAGGGAGATATCGAGAAAGTGATCGCTCGCATTAATTTTTGTTTTTGGACTTGTACAACTTTAAATGGTGTAATGTTAGTTAAGTGATGAATTTGGTGCTGGCAGTTGACACAGTCGTAATTAATTTACGGGCAAAAAGATTTTTTTCACAATCGTCAAATATTCATTAGGAAATCAAGACATCAAGACGCGTGGTCACAAGACACAATTTTTTAACAGCACATTACGCCCAGTTGAAGTTTCTTATTAAATAAAATTCAAATCACTTTTCAATAATAATAATAATAAAAAAAAAGATTCTTAAAGCATCCCATTTGATGTTATTAAATGAACTCATTTCTTATTTTAAAGCGAAATTTGTGTTAACGATACAATTTATTTGTTGTTTTGTATATCCACAGTGACGCTGTTAGCGAAATAATAAATTCATAACAACCAGGAAAAAAAGAGATGAAGTGAATGTCGATCATTGCGAAAGCGATTAGGCATCTCATGATAAACGAGATTTTTCCACATGTATTTGCTTGCTATGTGTAAAACATCTCATAATCAACTATGGAAGCGAAATCTCTGTTCATCAATTCCCTTGACACATTTTCCATTCACCGTCAATCGAATGAATCCAACGATGAGATGCACAATTTGCATTTGTTTGGTTACAACAAAAACCATTGACATGGCTTGCCACTTGTTGCTTCTTTTGCGTGAAACGTGAAAATTCACTTCGACACATTTGTGTTAGCTTAGTCATCGTTGATGATGTAATTAAAAGTTTTTTTTTATTTCTTCTTTCTTTCTTTCCTCAAATTAAACATCATTACGTGCATTTGAAACCGAGTCGAATGTCATTAATACACAATCGCCGCTGACAAGAGTGGAATGACACTACTTTGATGCTACATCGATTTACATATTTAATCGTTTTTCTTGTCTTTAAAACTGACAGTTGATTGTGAGTTGCTTTGCAAGATAACTTCACCACATAATGAGTGATGTAAAAGGAGCAAATAACAAGTGAATAAATTAAATGTCATTTGAGAAGGAACATGAAAGCGAATGAAATTAAAAACCTAATTATCGTGTACGAACTTTTCATTTGTTCGCGAAAAAAAAAACATTCGTTGAGATAAACAAAGTCATAAACATTCAGCTATCTCCGTAAATGGTCGCGATTCAAATTTATTAATCAAATGTTGCGCTCAACATGGTCATCTCTGTTCAATTTACGATGTTTCTAATAATGAATGTAAGTAAGTTGAGTTTCATGCTGCAGTTTACATGAAAAAGCGATTGCGAAAACCCTTCGCTTTCATAGATGGGCAGGAATTTTAATTGCATGTAAACGTGATGTTCACGCCGGGCCACAAACGTTTCTTCGAAGTACAAGTCTTTTGTTAAGCGCCGTCATTAATTTTGCGTGCTTTGAAGTATGTTTCATTAAATTTCCATTTTTCATGCAATTTTACGGGGTTCTTCATTAGCTTTGATCATCGATATATTTATTTTTTTCCTGCTCATTTTTGTTTCGATGCGAAAGATTGATCAGCTAAATGAAAGGAGAAGGCAGCAGAAGATCAATCAGATATTTTATGAATCCCTTTAATGGAGTTTTGTATTTTTCGCGCTTTGGTTTTGTTAACAACTTAATTAGAAAGAAGAATCTTCTTTCAAAGAACCTCATCAACAACAAAAGCGTTTGATGATTTTTTAAAGTGGTCATTTATTGATTTTGTTTAAGACGAACGAACAGAAATATTGAGAAAAATTTGCTCTTTGTTTATCATTAGCAAATGCGAAATATGAGAATTTTTAAAATAATTTAAAAAGCTTTTAACAAGAACATGTCTAAATATTTATATCGCTAATCTTTGATATAGTCAGAACTCAGAACAAAAGATTACAAAACGCCAAGAATCGAAATGAATTTGCAACGAACTGTTATTAAGTCATAAAAGTTTAATAGAAATTATGTTTGGTTGAAAACTGCCTGGTCATTAGCGTTAGCAGCCTTAAACCGTCGTTAACCTGTTAATCAAATCTCAACAAAAGTTTAAAGTGAAAATGACTTAATTAACAGATAAACTAAATTGACTATCTGGAAGGCTTTGTTGTTCGCAAAATTCATTTTAAAAATCTGTACATCCGACAACGAAGAAGCCGCACTTCTTAGACGTAATTGACGAGCGAAAGACGTTTAAGTGTGAAACAATGGACTAAAAATAAAAAAAGCATCAAATATCGTCATCATCATTGTCGGATAATTTAATTGATGTTAAGGCAATTATTGTTTCTTTTCTTTTGGTGGGCTGATTTGGATGTCATATTAGTAAAGTTTACACAAAGCAATTTACACAAAATAAAAGCAAGTGTTCCAAATAATTATTTATTCGAACCTCATTCATGTCATTTATTGCATAGGGCGACGATGACACCTTTTAGCATTTAACACAAGCATTATCTTTTTGAGAATTTAATCATTCAACTATGCGTCAGTTCTGTTCAAACATCGACTTCACGCCAGAATAAACTTTTAAAATATTTTTTCCGATAAATTTCGAGAGAAAAAAATCTGATGACATAATTGTTTGGTGACTTTAAAACTATTTGAATCCAACAACAAACTCAGACCCAAATTCACGAACAAACAAGCTTTTCATATATGCGAAAAATGGTTAAATGTTGTGGGTGGCGCGCAGTTTTTGTTTTTTATTATTTCTTGTTTCATTCACTTTGGTTTCTCTTCAACCGCCTTATTATGGACTGATTCAGTTGGTTCCTGATTTATATTCAGCGGCATATGGTAATTTAAGTCGTTGCCGAATCTTCATACCGATGATCCTCTACATTCAGAAATCGTCCCCAATTTCACCTTTCAAATACTTTTTAATCAATGTCATCACCAGTTGAAAGAAACTTTCAAAGATGACATCAGGATCAATGGAGAAATTTGTGGAAAAGTTTTCATGGTGATAGCAGAATATAAAAAAGTAATTAAAAAGCTCGACGACCTCACAGACGCTCCGAATCGATAAAAATATGAGACACATTAATTAAAAAATTATTATTATTATTTCCAAAGTTTGTCAGCGTTCATTTCCTTCTCTTTTTTCACATAAATTTCTTCTCTTTGGCACATTCATCTCTTGAAGTTGTTTTTATTCTTCACTGATAAAAGTTCTCATTCAACATTTTTTTATTTATTTTTATTTTTTTATGAGAATGCAGACAAAGATGTTCAATAAACCAGAATTGTTGGCTATTAAATTTCAATTTCATTAATAATAAATTTCTAATCGATAAAGGAAACAAATCAAACTTGCTACCGAACACAATCAGATGTTAAACTAATAACTCGCGATCAGGTTTCATATGAAAATGAAAACAAACCAGCAAAAGAAATGAAGAATTGTTAATTTGTTTTTAAATCCGCACGATACGGCATTCAATTCACGACTGCTTGGTCCATTTCACATCGCGAACCTGCAAAAACAGTTGAGCGACGACGACGACGACGACAACAACGACGAGGAGAAGAAAAAAGAAAAAAAAGTATTGAAGTTCGCTAACAGCAAGCACACATCGAAGAAAGATACACGGCGAGAAAAACGAACAACGAAAAAACGTAAATAAACAAGCTTGAGCTCTTTACCTTGCTATATCCATATTTAACATCTGAAATATCCCATCGGAGTTGGAGAAGAGAGAAATAAAGTTGAAAAATAAAAATCTCCATCAAATGATTGCGGACTTGTGTGCTGTTTAATTCACGATTAATATATCGAAATGAGAAGTTACTATCTACTAATAAACGCCAATCGTATTCATTTACTCGCGACGACGACGACGATGACTAGCATGTGGGTGCTGTTTTCACGAGATTGTTGTCTTTGCCTCTTATTTAATTCCGATTGGAAGCTGTGAAATGAACACTCAAAAATCATTGAGTGAGGATTTCATGTGCGTTTCTTTTGGATTAATAGCTCAACATTTTTGTGTAGGAACATTCTTGAGATGTCATCTAATTTTTGAATGGTCGAACTTTTCAAAGCTAAACAACTAAGATGGATTATGATGTCACTGAAACGAAATAAATATAAAAATATGAACATGTTCAAATAGAGAAATAATTTCTATAAGATTTTCATTCATGTTTCGCTTCGATTCATTTTAACTCGCCTTAAACAATTTACAAAAATTTGCAATAGAAATTGTCGCAATTTATTTTCATATTCATCTGGGGCGATTTGCATTCTAATGATTACAACTACATATTATGATTACTTCTCAATTAATATTGTACATTGTTAAGGTTGAATAAATTTGTATCATATGGTAATGCAACATGAAGGCTTTTATCTCAAAGTTCACAAACAAAATCGTTAAACAAACATCACTTGGTTATTGATTACGAAAACACAAAAATTAATTAGTACGAATGTCATGAATGAGACGGTAATTGAGAGACTGGGGAGACTACAATAAAAATTAATATTCATGGATTATGAAAGTTCAAGAGCTATTGTTAAGTTAAGCATTTTAATGCATAAGCATATGGAAGTAATAGTTAGTTGCACAATCAATCGTTGGAATGATAAATACCGATGGACTTCTGTTTTAATTCTACTTACAAACACCGTTTTTAAATGCTTTCTGAATGAGTTAGATTGATACAAAAAAAAGTTTTAAATGAGCACGAGTCTAACGTGTTCTTATTTATCGGGAATTCGCTTTAAGCCAAGCGATTGATGCACTCTGTTTTTATTTGGCTGTATCAACTTGTTAACTAGCAGATAGAAAAAGGCAAATATTGAGGAAGGTGCATTCACGATTTTTCATACGAGAAACATAAATACAGAGAGACGTTGAAAATATTTAATCAATGAACAGTACGAGTTGTATGATACGGGAGCAAAAGTAAAGTACATTCAAAGAAGAAAATTGATAGTTGCATGTTAAAAGAACAAACAACATGTAATGTAAGCCAATCCCAACATTATAGCCTATCAACAAATTTTATTTATTTTGTGCAGTCACTAGTGATCACAAAGAAATCCTCAACATGAATTAATGATAACGGTAAAGTTTTCTTCCTTCTTAGTTAATTATAATTAATTGGATCTTTCTTCTTACCGCTTCAAGCCATCTAATAAAAATGAATAGTTCGAGAAGTATAAGAGATTGTTTAGGGCTTGACTTGACCTAAACAAGTGAAGAGTGAAGAGAGAAAATCACAAATATTGATTTGAAGCTTTTCACCACATTAACAGAGATTTGAAAAAGCTTAGCAAAGACACATTTCCTTGAGAGAAAAGCTTTGTGGTGAAAGCTCTCGATGATCGTTTCCAATGTTGATGATGACGGATGAAGTAAAATTCTATTAAATTATTTATTGACGACTTTAATTGTTATTGCTGAAAAAATAAGAAATAAAACAAGCTTTCTACCTGATTCAATTCAACTTTTATTGAACTTCTTTTTTTTTCGTCTTTTTCAATCGTTATAAACCGTAAAAAATATGAATCTGCAATAAAATAAAAAGATAAAAAAATTAATATTATCTTAATATTAAAAAAATCTTAAAAATTATTATTCATCTAAAGATATTGTCGGCATCCGTCTTGTCGAATCTCACTTACAATTAGTTAAACTTTTAAAATAAAAAATCATAAGATTCGTTATTAATTTCATTTTCAATGTGAATATCACAAATTTCATTAAGTAATAATTTTCTATACTCCAGTTGAGTCTCAAACTCGTCTTCATTACCTATAAAAAAATAATCTTTAGGAAAATAATATAAAAAATTAATTGTCGGTACTAAAACGTCCGAATAAGAGAAGAAATAAAATAAAATGATTAAAAATCTTAAATCTAAGAAATTTGCACTTTTCTCAAAATTATGTTTCTATTAAAATAAATGTATTAAAATGTCATAAGAATGATGGATGGAATGTGTTATTTGTTAATCTATTTGCATAATATTTATCTTCTTGTATTCGTCTGGAATCTCGATAGATAAAAGTCACAGTCGGCACAATACAAAGCATTTCCTACAGTATGCTTCTTTCGACATAAATTACATTGAGTCGCTTTTGCTGATGCTTTGATGATCGATGTATTGTTGTATGATGAGATTGAAACTTTCGTTGGAATAAGTTGAGTTGTCTGACCAATATTTGGTACGTTGTTGTTCGAATCAACACTGCTGTTTGTTGAGTTTGTTGACATCGATGGTGATGGTGATGATGTTTCAGGACCTCCTTTCGTTCCAGGTTCAAAACTTACCTTCTTCTGAACAACTGGTTTCATCTGTGGCGGGTTCAAATAAATTCCATTATGTTGATTTTGTTGATCATATTGCATCATCTCTTGTCCAGGATAAGGAACTTTTTGATAAGTTGGTTGAATATGGAAGCCATTAGGAATTTCATTCGGTGATTGCATCATTTGTGATGGTTTCTGATAAACCATTTGTTGTTGATTTTGAAACATTCCCATTCTATTTGAATTCATCATAAAATTCATTTGTGGATTTGCCATTGGATTCTGATGTTGGGGATATTGCATTGGAATATGCTGTTGTTGATTAATGGGATAAGGATAGCCAGAAGCATTATTACGAACAACTGCGCTATTTTGTGGCAATTGCATGTAAGGTGATTGATTGGTCATTGGTGGGGGGGGAGATTGCAATGGAATGCCTAAGTTTGATAATCCTGATCCCTGATTACCAACATAGTCAAATTGCTGTTGAGTTGATTGAATTGCTGGATGATATTGATTATTAATCGGCATATGTTGGACACCGGGACCAACAGATGAGATAATTGATTGTTCGGATTGCTTCTTATTGTGCATCATCATCAGCATTTCTTGATATTGATTCGATCTTGGAAGGGATTGGGATTGTTGGGATGGGAACATTTGATTTATGGTTGTAGGTGGTACATGTTGATAAACTCCAGAAGGTTTTTGCATTGCTGGTTCAAATAAATCGATTTGTTCATTCTTCGGCGGTTGTTGATTGAGATTGAACGGTAATCCATTCATTTGATGGTAATTTTGATGAGACGAGGTCATGTATTGTGATGGTGGCGTTGGCGACGATTCGTGTGGTGCTTGAAGTGGAATTTGCTTCGTCATCACCACAGAACTTTTCGGTGTGTCAACTTGATCTTTGGATTCTTCTTCGCTGTTGTTTCCATTGTTAATGCTTTTAAGAACACGTTCAAGAATTGGATTTGGAACAAATGTGTCATCTTCTTCATCATTTGCCGTCGCCACAAGAATTACTTGATCACAGAATGAAACACTCTTCTTCTTCGTTCTTTTGCCAACATTCGCCAACGTATTTTGCATCACTTGATTTAACATTTCAACTTCACGAAGTTCTTCTTGCAGCTGACTTTGTGGAACTTCAAATTTCAATTGATTCTTCTTCTTATCAACAATTGCATATTCAACTTCATCACCATTATCCATTCGTTTTATGGTGTGTGGTGTGGTTGATTGTGTGACGGGTGTTAAAAGTCCATTCATACCGGTTCGAACATTCAAACGCTTCGGCTCAGTTATTGGTGACATTTTGACCTGTTCAAAGCGAGATGTGAGATCTTTGACGTTTGATAAATCATTCGATGATGGTGGTTTGGAATCACTTTGAATCTTCTTCAATGCCAATTGTTTCAATTGAAGTTCCTTCAACCAATTTTCGGAAGTGTAAGCTGAGTCAGGTTTCTTTTCAGCAGTTTCCTTCGCTTTCATTGCCTCTTGACGTTGTTGAAGATGCGCAAGAATACTTGTGCATCCTTGAACTGTGTCTAAAGAGTCAGTTCGTTTAATTTGAAGGTTTTGTATCTCATTAATTTGCTCGTTCAATGGCTCAAGATCAATTGATGGTGGTGGAGGTGGGAAATCTTCAGAAGCTTGTCTTGAATGGCAAGTTGTTGATGGTGGACTTGGATAAGGTGGAAGCTCCATTTGTGATCCAAATCTTGTTGTTGGAATCACATGATCAACTTCATCAACCGATTCACTCTTCAGCATTGTTTGTGGCAAGAATTTCGGTGGATAACTCGATGGTTGTTGCATAAGTTCACCAGGTTTATTTGGACTTTGTTCTTGATGAACTTGCGCACACGTGATGATTGTTTGACATGAATCTTCACTCATCGACGTGTTGGAACTGACGTTGGAGATTATCGACATGTTAGCTTCGTGGAAAGGTTTCATTTGTTCTTGTCCATTGTAGAAATTGTTTTGAAGATTCTTCTGTTGCAAATGATGTTCCTCCACTAACTCTCGAGTTAATGCTGAAGTTTTACGTAATGGAGGTGGTGGTGGGACTTTAGCAACAACTAATTGACGACCACTTCCATGAAAACTCTTACGCATCAATTTACTTCTCTCAAGACTCGGATTAACGCTTGAAACATGATACTCAAGATGACCTTCTGATAAATATCCGCTTTGAGATGATGTGTCCAATTTCGGAACGACGCCAACAGAACTGTCGTCAACAGCTTTTGGTGATGGGTTCGTTTTCTCTTTATTTTGAGCTTCACCAACACCTTCTGTGAGATCAGGCATCGATCTGTTCTTCCTTCTTATCAATCCACCCATCAAAAGTTTCCTTCGAATCTTATGTTGCTTCTTTCCACTTTTGTTGTCTTTGTCTTTCTTCTCTTCCTTCTCTTCTTTATGTTTCTTCAAAGTGTCTTTTGCATTTGTCAAAGCTTGAGCTTCAAAATCACGACTGGGTTTGTTTCTATCTTCACTCCTCGAACGCTTCTCTTTCGAGTCTTTTGAACGTCCAAAAATGCTTCGACTTTCACGTTCAGGCTTCTTCGTCTCGACTGGTTCAATTGCCACAATTTGATCTTCTTGATCCATAAGTTTTAATGAAACTTTCTTTTTCGGAAGTGTTGCATAAATTTCAATATTTTTTGTTGATTGTTTGTCATCGTGAAGCATTTCTTTGCTGTTCTGTCGTTGCATTGTTTTATCTTTGCTGTTTTGTCGACCATGTCGTGGGCCATTAAGTGAGTTTGTGTTTGATTGATCTTTCGTCAATTCAGATCCTTTCTCCATGAGAATTCTTCTGTATAAACTTCTTGCTTGCATGACACAAGTGTTGTGTTTCATTCGTGCAAATGTCATCGTATGTGGATTGCTGTAAGGCGCGTTCATAGCAGCACGAGCTTTGCCAGCAGCTGCATTGCACAAGACCAAAGCTGTCTCAAAATCATGAGCATCTTCAACAAGCTTCGACTTCTCTAACAGTTGATCAGCTTCAAGACAAAGCTTCTCACAATCACCAGATAATGTCATCGATTCAGGGATCTTCGCTAAATGCACGACGGGATGTTTAGGTGGATAAGAATCAGTCGATGAAACTGAAAACGAATCGTAACCAGCATCGTAGAATTGACCATTACGTGTTGGACTTGGTGGCATTGAACTATTTCGTTTATTCATCAAGTAGAGATAAGGATTGTCCAACGTTGTTGACGATGATGAACTTGCACTGTTTCTATCTCCACTCCAATTCCCTGAATCTCTTCGTCTTGGTTGATTTAAATGATCGGGAATTGAAAGACCGTCAGAATTTGGACTTGAAGACACAGAAGTTGATTCAGCACTTAAACTTCTTCCAAGTTGTTGTTTCTTCGCCATTTGTGCTTCAAGTTGACTTCGGCTGATGTATTCTTTCTCTTCACTGCTGCTTGAACTGTTCCCTGAACTTGTCAAATTATTATTATTGTTATTTGAATTGTTGTAGAAAATCTTCTCTTGAATGACATTCAAATTTTGATATTGAGCATTGATCACGTTCTCAACAGTTCTTCGACTTATGTAAACATCTGTCTCGTCATTTCCACCAGTTCCGAAGATTTTACTTTGAATGACACTTAAATTCTGATATTCGCAGACAGCACGATTTGGTGTTGGCGTTATGGCACGACGCGTGAGACCAATTGTAGTTTTTTCGGGACTTGGCGTTATCGCTCTTCGATTTGGTGGTGAAATATTCGTAACAGAAGCATCAGATTGGTAGCCATTCTGTGCTATTGGAGGAAGTTGTGGGAGAGCGTAAAGAAGTAGAAGTGGTTGGTAACGACCACGGCTACATTTATCAACAACGGCCTCAAAGTTCGGGCCAACCTTAAATTGATATTAAAAAGAAAATTAATTTAATTATTAAAATTATTGTCGAATTAACTCACCTCTTGAACATTGGCGTCATCGAAATAAACCCAAACCTTAAGTTTCGTGTGGAAGAAGAAGGTTGTGTAATGTTTTCCATAATACGACACAACACCAACAAGCTCGTGTGAGTTTAAATGCGCCCATCTTGTATCGGAAACTTGATGAAAAACATCTCCAAGTCTCAACGATGTTCCAATTGCTTTTAACACAGAATGCACCTGATCTGCTGCTGGTCGTTCGGAATCCCACACAACACCAATAGACACGACATCAGGTTTGTTTAAAAGTGCACGGCAAATTCCAATTTTTGCTCCACAAGCATTCTGTAAATTGAAACGTTGAAGTAAACATAAATCTCATGTTCTTTTCTTTCCTTTATTTTAGATTCAGTTTATTGTAATTAAAATGGTATTTGCATTCATTATCCATAAAAGGTGCTTGAGAGCTTTAAAAGCCGCTACTTAGATGGAAGTTTAAACATGAAGTTGAAGGTATTTGAATAATATTTCGATATTTAATCGAATCCTAATGAAAAATGGTTCAATGAAGCAACAGTGTTGATGCTCAAGGTTAACAACAATTAAGTTTTCTCGCTCTATTCTTTTCGCAAACATGAACAAGAGAACGGTTGGTTTTAACTATTCATAAATTACAAAACTATGCGATGAAGTTCGCTTTTATTTCAATTATATTTGTTTTGACGCTTGAAATCTTCAAGCAAAAAAGATCTTTGAAATCTGAAGGTTTTCTGGTTACAGGGAAATGAACGAACAAATTAATTTAATTCCAACTTCGTCGTGAATCTTTCTCGAATCATCGACATTTTGCAAATGAACTTTATTATTATTGAAAGTTTATGTGAGTATTTCTTTAAATGTCAAAAGTGACAATTGAAGATGCAACAGACGAGAGAAACATGAAACATTATGGGAAATAAATAAGTAAATGTTGACTGACTTTCACCATTTATTTTGCAATTTCATGGTTTTCAGCACAATTATTTATTAAATAAATATTTCCATGACCAACAAGGGATTAAATTAATTATTAATTATAAATCAACTTACCGGGCAATCACGTATATCGCCCATGTTTGCTGCATTCCTCAATAATTGTCCAAACGATTGTTGTGTGGCCATTGAGTTTTGTGATGTCAAGGCAGAAGCTGACACATAGTGAACCATCTGTGAAGAAGAGAAGTGAACATGATTAGTCATTCTCTTAACGAGATTATCAAGCTACATTTATAAATACGAGTTAATTAGTTATTCGCTAAGTTTTAATGATGTGGGATGAAGATGACCGGAGTTTTGTTTATTTTTTTACGACTTTGATCATTTTGTTCCTTGTCAACTTTGGAAAATGTTTTCGTTGGACACTTTACCAAAATTAAGACAAAAAAATAGCGAAAATTAATTGGAATGATTGACTTGAGCGATAAGCAAAAAGCGCCCACTTGACATCGACCTTCAGCTAAAGAAATTTTTTATTGTTCAAAAGTAAACGACCAACAAATTAAATTTTATCAGAAAACAAATCTTTTTAACACTTGAAAACAAATTATAGAAGCAAATTTCATAAAACTTTCTCTTTCAAAATCACTTGTTAGAAAAGTCAAGAAGCAAGCGAGAAGATCGATGATAAAACTTCGCATGAAAGAAATAATTCGACAAGGTTGCGAAACAAAAGTTTACGACTTTTTATTGTCATCATCTCCGTCTTAAAAAGCTAATCTAATTTATCACTTCATCAAAACGATTATGGATTTCTCCCCCATGAGTTGTAAAGTCATAAAGTTCGTCGTCATAAATTTACTTGACTTCTGGGGATAACTTGAAGGCTGTCGATCGTGCAAGTAAAGCCAATTAATCGCAGAAATTGATTTCAATACTCTTATGGTAATTAATAACATTTCTTGCTGCTACTCTGGGCAGCCTGTCAATCTTTTAACTGGTTTTACTTTGCAAACCCACGTACTGAACTATATTTTGTCATATTTTTTTCTTCTTGTGGTCTGCAACAAGTTTCTCGTTTGTTATAATTAACTTTTTTTCAAACTGATGCAAACGTTATGCAATTTAATCTGAGAGAACGGAGTTGGCAAGTAAATTATGTTCGCACCTTGCAATTTGAATTTGAGTTCAAAACATGAAACCTGTGATTATGATTTTTGTCACACAAAGGTGCAGCTTGGAAAATCTCATAAACTCACTTTAACGCTTGACTGTTATTTTGGGTCATCGAATTAAACTCGGCTTTGTGAGTTTCTTTGAACCTAAGTTAATATTTTTGTAACTAAACTGCCGCCAAAATACACAAAAAGTTTTGTTTATGGCAACAACTGTCAAAGTTGTATTTACATTTTCATCAATGAACAGCAGAGTGAGTGGTAAAATCATGAAACGTCATTTTTCATTTGAATTCTCTTTTTTTTATGTAAGTCTTATGACTATTCAAGCGTTTCTTGAAACCACAAATTAATGGAAACTGAAAAGTGATATAGCAATTCTTTTCTTTTGTCGAGACTTAAGAGATCATCAAGAGTGCAAGGTGGCGACTTAACAAGAAATCTCAATGTTTTATTCATTAATAGCGAAATTAATGACACAAATGAATCGAAGGAGAAAGAAAAAAAATCTTAAGGCGATTATAGAGAATTTGAACTCACCTGGGTGAAGGGAAGTTGTTCAGAATTGGCTCCACATTTACAGACGCTTTGTTCTACGACGCGCATGGCAAATCTTTGATGAGCAACGCACGATTGTGTTTCGCATGAGTCGCTGTCACTTGGTGATAAATGTGAATGAACGCGATGAAGTAAAAGTTCAAAACATTCAGCTGCATCACCTAAACATCCAAGAGGGAAGCGACGACTTGCCAATGGTCCACTGGCAAGTGCACGACGAAGGGGTTCGGGACATAATGCGGGTTCAGAGCTCGTTTGAAGTTGTGTAAATAAATTCTGTAAATAAAAAGAAGATTATTTCATTAAATTTCACTTTTTCTTCTTTCTTTTTAAATTATCATTTGGATGAATCAAGAAAAGCTTCTTACAACAACAGCATTAACACATGAACTCAATTGAGCTTGATTATCTTGAATCTCTTTAGTTGTTTTATTGGTTGGTGTGTCGAGGATGTCGTTTGAACTGTTGGCACGCTTCAGCAACGTAAATTTCTCCTTTTTACTTGTACTTTTAATAGCGTTTGTGTCAAGAGATTGTGGCTTTGTCGAAGAATCTTTACGTTTATAACGGAACTTGATCATTTTGTCTTCGATCGTAATTACTCCAATTTCTTCACAATTTTCACTCTGAGATAATTTTATTGAAAATCAATTTAATTTTCTTTCTTTTTCTGTGTTTTTGAATCTTCACGCGGTTGATTGTTTCATAATAATTGTAATTATTATTCATAAAGCTCGAAGCAAATAAATCATTTGTGTTGATATTTAAATTATTTAACTTTTCTGTAAGTAAATAAAATGAATAAACTTGCGAACGAAGGTATAAATATTGAATCCATGGATTAATGAACATCACTTTCGATTCGAACCCGCATCAATTAAAACGAAAAACTTGTTTTGCTGATGAAACTTAAGAACGATGAAATCTTACAACTTTTCGATTTCAAATGTTTTTTATTCCCGTATTCAAGTTGACTATTTTTAAAATTGTTGTTTATGACTTTTCATGTGAATCAAATGGTCATCGACACAGATGGAAGTCTTTCTGATTAAACAGAGATAGTTTTGAGTATTTATGTATGAGACAAGACAGAGAAGAAGAGAAGTTATTGTGGCCTCGTTACAACAATGTCTTGCCGACCATGATTCGGGTTATATCGATACCGACGACTTTACAACCAGATTATGATGAATTTATTGATTTGCTAAAAGAAGCGTGAAAAGAGCTTTAATGATATGCTGCTATTCAAGAAGAATGAGAAGACAGAAGACACTCGGCACGAGTTATTGTTTTTATCGCCTTATTTGGGGATTTCTCTTTTCTTTAACTGCGCAATCAACTCCCTGGAGACGATGCTTTTTAAATAATCAGCCTTAAGCCTCTTGTCTTTTCTTTTTATTGGATGCCATCGACCGTGGAAATGACTAAAACTGTCACTTCACAATCACTGACGCAAATTATCAATTTTCAAGAGAAAATCATCCAATAAATTGTGCAAATTGCTCTATTGTTGAATTTGTGTTCTTCTTTTTAATCAGCACAAATAAAAGTTTGGATTTACTTCACGATTAACCAGTTAGGAGTAAAGTAAAGATAAACGGTGGAAAGAAGCTAAGAATGCCACAAAAGGGATAATAAATGGCTTTAAATTCGCTCGTTTTTTTTTATAATTCTGTAGCAATTTATTGAAGAAATTTTATAAAAGAAAAAAGATCAAGACAAGTTGTCTTCATGATGTGTGCAAACAAAAATGTTGGAAAGCGTAATTCAATGATTCACAAGTAATTCGAGGAACTCAGTTAAGATTTTGTCGATACATTTAAAAGAGCCGTGGAACATCAATAAAGGAAAGTCCACCATGACATGAATTATGTTATGCAAACACATCATCTCCGGTTGAATTTCATGTCGAAAAATTATTCTTTTGTCAGCTTTACAATTTATTTCATATCACCAACTCGTGTGTTTGTGAATATTTAAAATCGAAAACGAACACAACGTCAACATTTTGTGCTGTTATCGCGACTTTATTTATTTCCCTGTAAGCATCGCAAAAGTTTCATTCGAAGCCACGCTTAGTTCAGCATTTTCTTACAACCGGAAATATTTCAATTGTTTTGTCAACGTTCAGTGAGAGATTCTGTCTGGACAGAAAGAAAAACGACTTTCTTGGCATTTATTTACTTTGTGGGAAAAGGAAATAATTAAGTGTTTTCTGTCTTCTAACCGAGCCTCTCTTCATTCTTTTTCACTTTAATTAACTTGTGGCTTTTGCTTGATGTATTATGCACAACAATTAAAAACGACAAGTGTCTCGTGCGACCACTAGAAACCAAAAAAAAAAGAAAAAAGCTTTTAATTTGAGACGCTTCAAATGTTCTTTTCCATCTGCCTTCGCGCGAATAAATTTTGATGTTCTCAACGTTAGAACATTAACAAGAAAAATTTAATTAAATGCACGTTTATAAGCGACAGGTGATTGTCAACCACAAAAACTGATGCAATTAATTATTTATTGGCTTGTGTTCTTTGCAATCATCAAACACTGCAGTTCTTTCATCGTGTGTCATTATTGTTAATTACGAATCATGTGGCATTGAATAGTAACTGGTTTAAAGTTACAATCAACGTCTGCACTTTAATATCTACTTGGATTGCTCACTACACAACATGTGGTTTTTTTATATTAAATTTCGCAAGCACTTTTCGTTTGCACAATGTTTTAAGAACTTTTTTTCTTTTGTCTTTTATTTTCCTTCAAATGCAATTTTTTTTGTGGCAGTTGTTACAGCTTTTTGCCCTCAACACAAGTTTTTGATTGCCTTCGACTTGAATGCCAGAAGTTAGATTTTTATGATTTTTTAACTTTTGTTTTTATATTCTTAATAAAATATTAAATCCTTGAAGAATCCTTCTAAAAATTATTCATGCACAGTTCAAATCGTGAAGAAATAATCCACATGAAACAATCATGAAACGAATGATGTCATTAATCCATTGCAATTCTCTTTTGCGCCTTGTTTTCTTACACAACAACATCAACAAAAAGTGCTGGTTTGAAGAAACTTCTGAAGTGCAAAAAATAAAAAATAACTGAAAAGCTTGAGAGACGCGAACTTAACACGTCCGAATATCACGAATTTTAAAATGGAACTAATGTGGAGACTTTTGTATGGAGAAAATGAAGGAAAAAATTATTTCCAGGCATTGGCGGCAGTCACATACATACATGTGTTTGTGATATTTAAAACCAGTCTTTTTCTACACGAAACGAACAACGTAGTGTGTTCAACAATCACTTTTTTTCCATGAGCCGTTTCAAAAGCTAAAGAGAAAAGCAAGAATAAAAAGAAACTGAATTTGTAAAGAGAACTTTCAGAGGTAAATATTGAATGTTTGTCCAATACACACATGTGTATGTTAAGAAATCTTCTTTCTTTCGTTTTTCTCAACGTTTTTAAATCCAAGAATCATGTGAACAGGTAAAGGAACAAAAAAGAATCATAAACCTATTGATTCTATTTACGTTTCATGTTCCAGACCTTAGAAGCAGAGAAGATCGAAGTTCGAGTTTCGTTTTTGCGATTCTCTTATTCGAAGGTGCAATTTCAGATAATTTGTATGTCCGGAGATGCTTTGAATTTTACTTTTTTTATGTTCTGTTTCTTCCAAGAATTTATTTAATCATCGTTTAAAAAGTTATTCTTCAAAATCTCATCATCATTGAGACAACAGAATGGCGTGGTGATTAATTGTTTCTTTTTTAGATATTTTATCGCGGTTGCACATCGTTAAGAACATCCATTGGAATTTAATTTTTTATTACCCAACAAATCCTTATTAATATCTTTTTATTTTTTGTCAATAAACCAGCTACTGTTTGCGAAATTTAAATAAGATTCTTCCAAATAGGGCTGCGAATAAGTAAATTAAATTGTGTAAGATACCAAAGTTGAAAACTTGTTAATCGAAGAACTTCTCACATTGAATTTAATAAATAAAACGTATGTTGAACATGTTACCAATTTGAAATTAGATACACGATTTGAATCAAGAAGTAGAGTTGTTGTTCTTGAAAGTAATTCTTTGCATTGATTTTTTTTAAGGTGGAGAAACGTCAACAGTACCGCTTATTCGTGTTGACTAAAAGATTTGTTTCTTTCTTCTATATTTATATTCAGTTTGTAACTCAACGTAAAGTTACAAAAGAAGCGGGAAAAGAATGAATTTACTTTATTTACTTTTTATTTTCTGAATGATAAGATAAAAGTGAACGAACGTGAGATGTTGTAATAAATCATAGCATCAAGAAAAGATTTAATTTCAGACTTTTGTGTTTATTTTTGAAGCTCAAATGAAACTTAGACATCAGAGATTTTTTTATAAAATGATACATGACTTCAAAATATGTTTGTGAGGTCTACCATAGTCTTCACATATCATAGAGATTAAAATCAATTTTCTGGAAGAATATTCTATAACATGCGGGAAATATTTTGTTGATTTCAAGACCATTAGGGAAATCCATAACGCACGAATCATTTCAAATGAAGCTTTGAATACGGCAAAGGCGCTTCAACATCAACTTGTGCAAATATCAATGAACTTTTGAAATAGAAGAAATTAATTTTAATAAACACAAGAGTAGTGAATTTTCCCAGAGATTGTTTTGCTTAAAATTAGATTTATTATTGTAAGCATAAATTCTCCTAAGTTTCTCTAATCAATTTTTCTAAAATTTCGTTCTAGCATAAATTCAAAAAAAAAATTTGAAACTTATGCAAAACAAGAAACATTCTCATGGTGAAAAATAAAATTAAAATTCACTAAAGTGACTGTAATAATTTATGCAAATGTTCAAGAATTCTAAAACGATAGTTAAATCGTTCTTAAGACAAAGTTTCAAGGTTCGCCTGTTATTCAAGCATAGAACTCTTTCCGATTTTCAATTTTTACCTGTCCCAAAATATTTATTTCCATGAGCAATTTTTTTATGAAAATGATGTTTAACATTATGTAAATCTAACGATGAAGTTTCAGTTAAAGTTTAATGGAATTTTAAGTGATGAGTGAATACATATTTAATGTCAAAAATTTTATCTCAAGCATTCATTTTTATTTATCCATTTAAAAAACGATTGCGAAACATTATTATTATTATTTTGTCCTTTTTACTGTCCCTTCTGTTATGTACTTTCTGCTAATCCATACAAGCAAAGGTAAAAAATGCATAGGACAGAAGGAACGAATAAAGAAATGCACAAGATTGTTCACTTCATGCTTCATGTAGTCACGATAAAACCATTCAACAGTTAGCACCAAACATTTGTATTGTTTCGATCACCTTGGAAGTTAAGAAAGAAAAATCGTCGTCGCGTCAAGATACAAAACAAAAACTCATAAACCCGTGAAAAAGATCACAGTCTATATATCGTAAGCATTGAGCATGAGCTCGTCTAATTGCGACAAAAATACAATGAAATTAAACGTAATAAACACATTTTGGAAGGAAATGTTAGGTGGCTGGTTTCATGAGAAAAGAAGCAATTTTTCGGACTTCAACTACAGTTCCACATGAGTTGAGCGAATTTTCATCACTTATATTGGTTTTATTCGTGCGCCTCCATCTGCTAGATTGAGCAATTAAGAGTTACGCAAACAAAAACATAAAAAGTCATCAAACTAAGAGAGTTCAACGATTTTTTATTTAATTTGCTTTGTTGTTAGTTTTCTTGATTCTCGTTTTTTTGTTGTTGAATTTTAATCTCTTTAAAAAACATGAACTCACCTTTAATGCGCAGAATATGCATTCCGCTCCACTGCAATTATGGTTCTGCAATTGCCGAAAAGATCGTCTAAATGCATCCAAATGCCATAAGACCTATAAATGAAAGATTGGAAAAAATCATGAATAATTAGAAAAGAGCTTGTAAATTATGCATAAATAAAATGCAATTCAATGCAAATGAAGTCACTGTCTACGATCTACTATAGCCGTAAAGTGTGACATCATTTGGTGGTTTCACATTTAGAACAGAAAAATGAAATTCTGTTGTGATTAGCATAAAGAACTGTTTTGTTTCTTTCTCATTAATGTGCATGCTCCATCGTCGTTATCTTCTATGCAACTTGCATCTGCTGAAAACCTTATACTAAAAGAAGTGTGATAATTATCATGGAGGAAGAGCATGCTTGCATTGTTTACTCAAACACGCAACTTTCTGTGTATGTATCTTGTGTCTGATCAGAGATCATCAAATTGATTTTTACATAACCGTTTGCTTTACTTTACTTAAAATATATACGACAGAAGATGTAAGTAAACTTAATTAAGTTTAGATCATGTAAGTAATGTAAGTAAGCGAGAACAAGCCTTTAAATTGATGAATCATTAATAAAATTTTATTGAGATATTCAACTTCATATTCATTGGAAATCAAATTAATGTTTAATTTGCTATAAAGCTTTTCTAGTTATCTATCCACAATGAATCCACTTTAGCGTGCTGCTGCGTGTCTTTTTATTCTTTAATCGTTCTTCGCTGATTGAAAAAAAAAACTCAGACGAAAAAGCAATTTTCTTTTCAAAGCTCAGCGCCAATCAGCCTCTTTCTCTACTTTAACTTTTAATTAACAAAGTATCTTCTCAGTTCTTGCTAGTCTCGACCACACACTTAAGTTAGAGTCTTTTGACGAAGTACTTTTTGATTGTCAGATGATGGAAATTACCCGGGTCCACCGTGGAGTTTTTGATCATGAATAGGAAAGACAAAAGATCGCTGAACCCCGCGAGCATAAAAGAAGGTTCAAAGAATCATTTATTAAAAGAATCTAAGCTCCTATAAATATGTTTGAATCATTACATTAATTAGATCATCCATAAAACAATCATCTCATCTACACGCGTGAGTAAGAATCTTCCGTGATCAGAAGATTATTTCAAGTGTTTCGCAAACAATACGAAACCAATTTTTAATAAGTAAAAAAAGAAAAATTTTGAAATCTCAGGAACTTCAAACATGAAATACTTTTCGTTTATTATTTTTGGCGCGCGAAAGTTTTTCAATCGCTTACAATCTCACATAAAAATTAATGCTTTCTTCTTCATCATCATGTCAGCATGAAACAGCCGAAAATGCGTGATTCATATCGAAGGTATCATGTATAGTGGACCCTTGAAATTACTTTCCGAGATTTCTTTTCAGTTTCACATTCTCATTTCTCCAACATAACTTCTCGAAAAACGATTTAAAAGGCAAGTTTTAAATATTTACGTGCATCATAAGATTGAAGACTTATTTTCTCTTTATGCTTCTTTCTTTCTTATTCAGTCGTTTAGTTGAGTCGCCATTTTGTGTATTTTAATACGTATTGGGAAGAGAAGGAGATGAAGAAGAAAAAAAATATCTCGCCTTAATAAACCTTCGATCAAGCTTACTTTTTATGCTGTTACATGATACATTGTTTGAATCTTTGAATCTCAAACAATTTTTTTCCATTCCCAAAACACATGACATCACCAAGGAAGATAATGAATCATCTCTCTTTACTTATTTTTTTATCATGCATTCTCAATTTTCATGAAGCGACTTAAAACTGTTGAATTCAAAGCCATAATTCTTCTTTCTGTTTGTTCTTCCAACAACATAAGAGTGAAAAAAGCTAACAAACAATTTCTATTTCATTTCCGAAAAGAAAAACATAACGTAATTAATGTTTACATGTTTCCCATCCCAAAGTCTTTCTTAACGACGAACGGGGAAAGAAAATTTCTGTCTAGTTTAACCGTTAAATCTTTTTTTAGAGAGAAGAAATGTTGATTTTGCACAAAAATTACGCGCGAGAATGGGAACGAAAGCAAACGTGATAATCTCTCTGTTGAGGTTTAATTTTATTTTTTGTTTTATGTTGTTCAAGTACGCATCTCGTTATTGTAAATGACTTCATGACAAATTGAGATTTTTTTGTGGAAGCTTTAACATACTTTTCAAATGGAAATATTTCTAAGTTAATAATAAAAATTCTTGTAGCTATTTTTCTGGTGCGACACAATTTTGACAACCAAACTGACCAAACGAGTCAGATTTGTTGTTGATAAGAAGAACCAAATTATGTCGCATCTTGTTTCACATTTATTAAATCAACACAACCAAGTCATCAACATTCACTTCTCGACTTCGATAATGTCAACAAAGTCACGAAACGAAATCTCATCCGTAAGGGAATTTATCGTTAAACGTTTTTAGTGCTCGCAAATTTGCGGTTTCTTGTTGAGTTTACTGGGAAATTCTTCTTCCGTTTGTTTTAAGGTTTCGTTTCAAGAAAGGGAAAGAAATATTAAATCAATTCACTTTTTATCCTTTACCTACACTAAGTGTATGAATAGTCATTGAAATTAACCGGTCAGTTAGAGCTTCTAATGTTCGACTTCCGTAAAAAGGGTGAACTGAGAATCAAATCATCGTAAACGAACGAACAATAATTTCGTTTAAGAAAAAACAAGAAAGAATTCTTCATGTTCCTGTTGTGCAGAGATTTTAAACGATTTGCTTGTTGTTGTGGCGTGCTTTGTTGATGCTTTCTAAAACGGAAAATCTAATTATTTCTTCTCGGAATCAGACTTCTTAATCCGTCTTTCTCTTAACTATGGCATTCTTCCTCTCTTTTAAAACAACAAAGAAATTACCAAACTTTTTATATAAAAAGATCTTCTAAGTATAGAATTCAAAATTATGGGAATTCTCTTTCATTTCTATGAACACAAGAAGATTTTTTAATCAAAAGCAACAATGGACTTTAACCAAAAAAAGAAAAACTGAAAGAATAAATTAAAAGTTGAAGACAAGATAAAAATTATTTAATGGATACTGTTGGTTTCGACAACTTGAAACGAGACGTTTTTGGCTTTAATTAGAATGCAGCAGAATAAAAAGCAGGGATGACGATTGCGTAATGTTGACAACTGAATTGTGGGAGAAACGGAAGAAGAATTAGCATGTCGAGACGAGTCCCTGATAAAAAAAAACAAAACCACGAAGTATTCTGCTTTCGCTCGAATGAGCTACGGTGGGAACAATGATCCAGTTAATTTTATGGATTTATGAGTTTCTTGTGTTTTTCGCCAAAGTCCAAAGAACTCTTCTTTTTCACTCTTCTTTATCTACTCATTAAATGAAGCAAAGCTGTTGGATTAAGCGTTAAAAGTAATCATTACAGACAATAGAAGATGAAGAAAATATAGAGAAATGGTAAACAGCTCGTTAAATCACAATTACAAGAAAGAAATTCACGATGTAATTAATTAATCAATAAATTGAGCAGATCATCGTTACTTTTTGTACTTTTTATTTTCTTGTTAGTTATTTAAAAAACCAATCTTTACATAACTTTTTATTGAACTCCATTATGACCGCTACAAATAATGATTTTTCACCATCATAATGATCTCGGAAATGTGTTCAAAAAAAAAGTTTTTTCGACAACAAGTCTTTGTTTTCCAAGCTGAATAATTAAATCATTTACTGATCGGTTAATTTTGGCAGTTGAAATCGACACGAAATTGAAAGCTTGATGCGGAAATAAAGCTTACGAGAGTACTGGGTGAATTTCTATTAATGCCATTCGTTGCAGAAATGAAATAAATATAATGACGCAATTTCTAAGTTGTTTGGTTGAAAGATCAAACAATTTTTCGCCACACTTTATACCTTTCAGATTGATCTAATAACTTTTTAAAAGCCTCATAGATAGATTCGATTGTTAATAAGAAACGGAAATAGCAGCCAATTTTTGTGTCTTTTCAATGGAAAATGTTTCTTGTTAAATAATTGCACAATAACAAAAATTGCGAGAAGGCGATGACAATGTTTTTTCAAAATATTATTAAGTGTAAATTATGCAAATGTGAAGCCATGAGAGTTTAATGGAATTTAATGAAGCGGTTAATTGTCTTCCTATATGAGCATAAATATCAAGGGGCTGTGAATAGATCGGTGAGAACCAAACAATTAGATTCTCATATCATAGGTCAAGAATATCCTGACGTTGTAATTGTCATTGTTGAAAGAATTTCAGATAATTAAGTAACTTATGTTACTTCCTTTACCTTGCATGTCTGAAAGAAGGCACCGATGTTATTATCCTTCGTTGAGTTCTTTTTCTTATCCATATACATTGTAATAACTTTGATTATGATAACTTCCGGGCGTAATCCTTTTTACTTTAAATAATTGTTGAGATTTATTTCTTCAAAATTATCCTGTGGAATCCGATGGGAATCTCCAACAAATGTTTAACATTATTTTACAGTATTTATGACCAAAATATTTTCACATAGAAATGAAAAATGACTTCTTAAAAAACTTTTGTATTTTGATAACGATCACACGAATTCACTTGATGGTTCTGGTTCCATACACTCGTCGTCGTTTATGGGATGCACCCCTTAATTGTATTTCTTCTTCTTTTTCTTTTATGTTTCGTTTTCGTTTACTTTTTTTTTCCTTAAAACTTCATTTCGTATTTCAATGTTACCCAACACCTGCGTTCTCGTACGGCTATTCAAATACAACGGAGTTGAGAAAGGTAAGAAATGAAGATGATTCACTAGGGTTGCTCATAAGTTTCTTTGATGAACAAACACACACTTGAGTTTCGGGTGCACTCTTTAGGTTTATTACACTTGTCTCCAAACAACGAAACGCATTGGAATATCAAATTTTATTCTAAAGTTCACTTGCTTCCCTCTCGTGTGCTTGTTTATAAATTCACTTTTATATTTATTTCCCTAAGACAAACGGATGTGATGTCATGCGTTAATGGTGATTACATTAAGCATAAGTAAATTTATGCACTCCCTTGGTTACTTCTTCACGTTTTTTGGGAACTTTCTTTCAAGTTCATCAATGAGAGTATTTAAATATTTAATATTCAATCTGCAGATAACTTCAAGTTACATTCACTTTTGTCGATTGGGCAAGCAGTTTCATTTTATATTCAATATTTCTTTTTCTTCTCGCGTTCAATTCAAAGCTTTTACACTCTTCTCAACTCAATTCTTTGCTATGCTGCTGCACGGTACATGTGATTTATAATTGCGTATTTAAGTTACATGTGCTGATGTTTCTGACTTAAAACATTTTCAGATCGTTCTCAAAACTATCAAATTTAAATTTTCCGATATTTTCTCGACAGATTTTCATTCACAATGTGCCAAATTTTCACAAAATCTCTACCGATCGAGATTTTATCTCTTCACCAATGGGCATTTGAACTTTTTTTTTCTTTGTTGCACAAAACACAAAAATACGTCTTTCGTTTCGTGTGTTAACTTTCAAACTAACGCTCTTTCGGTCATAAAAACGAGATGGTTGCACATAAAACCGAAGAAATACGAAGTCAAAAGAAAAAAGTTGAAAATCTTTCATACAACAAACGTTCGGTAGAGTGAGACAGGTAGGTTTGCTATAAAGGTGAAACGACTCGAACAACCAGCCATTTTGTGATATTCAGCGCTACTTCGTGTCGTTTTTCTTGCTTTTCAAACTTCTCTCGAGTCTCAAGACAGAGCATTAAGAGACTAAATAAAAAGGGTCACGAAATCCGAAGATTTAAAAGCGTCGCTCGATCACAAGCAGAGAATTGAAACGATGAAAAAAAAAGTTTCTTATTTCTGCTGACGCTGGTATGTTGAACCTTAGCTCAATCGAATGTATATAGATATAAGTATACTTATATAAAATAAAATGTTGTCTTTTGAGAAACAAGATATTTGATTTCATGTTTCTTTTCCTTCTTATAAGAGTCTCTTTTTTATATGAGAAGCATTACGCGACTAGCTGTTTCTAGCATGCTTGTATTGGAGAACTATGTAGCTCGCATTACGTTTCGCTTTACGTTCGCTTGATAGTTTTCTACATCGAATTTATATATTTTTCCATAAATATTTCTTACATGGTCACTTTATAAGACTCGCATGGACAATTGAGAATGACTGGTCGAAATAATAAAAAATGAAAAAGTGACTTGAAGCTGTGTGTTGTTGCATACGTGGTAATGACTTGAAGTTGTTAGGAATTTGGCCAAAAGGCGAATATATCTGGCATTTGCTTACTTTTCTGCTCGTTGATATCTTGACTTCAAACAATGGTCCATTAAATATTTCATGCTACTTCGACTTAAAGCAGCATCCAACAGCGTTAAGCTTTTTCTCTCGATTTCGAGGTCATTGAAATTCTTATTTTTCATTATAATAATAAAAAATATAACAAAATATATGAAAAGTAGCACGAAGGAAGAAAATGTTTAACATTCAGAATGATTTTGACCTTAACAATCATTCTAAATGCTTAACAATCCTTTTTAGCGCGCAATTTAACTTCGCGCGCATATTTCAGAACTTCATATTCTTCTTCTGACTTCAATTTACTACAAAAAAGAAACAATTGATAACATTGAAAATTATGTTAGCCTTTGTTTTTTATTATTATTTTCGTAAGAAGCGAATCATGAAAAAATAAAAGTTTGAAGAAAAAATATTACGAAAAAGTCAAAGCAATTCAAATACACGTTTTTCTTTCTCTCTTTGTAGATTTCATTCTTTTTAAGCTATACAACAACAGCATTATTTATGTATAAGACGGCAATAAAACCTCGAAAGAAACTCAAGAGAGACACAAACAAGAAAGAAATAAAACCGGTTTAATCATTCCATCTAGCTCTTGAAAATCTCGCTTGGAATTAAGCGCGCTAGTAAGAAAAAGAGTTGAGAAATAAAACAAAATCGAAAATGAACATGGATGAAACTTATGGCAATAGACTCGTTTTGAAAGCTTTTTCAAAAAGCTCGATTCGTAGAGATCGCGCCAAAGATGAAATCTGAGCCAGGAACGCGTCGGAAATAAATAACCACAGCAGCCAAAAAAATAAAATCTCACTTTTATCACAACGAATATTTTTTTTATTATTAACTAAAATTTATGCTCGTGAGGCAATTTCAGGTTTTCAGCTTTTAAAAAATCGAATAAAAGCAGCGTGATAAAGAATGATAATGAAGTGAGATCGGGCAGAAAGAAATGTTGAATAGACGATGGCGAATGAGGCCATTAAATATGTTGATGAGGAAGAGAAATCTCTTGTCAATTTGCATTCCTTTTCGACGTGTGAATCCTCAAATGTTCAACTGCTGCTGTGACAATTTTATAATTTTATTTGTTATGTTAGACAAATTCCCTCCTGTTGACAACTTTTATGATTTGGTGGAAATTTTTTTGCTCATTTAAATAAATGTGAGTCAGTTTGTGCATGGGAAAATATCACCAGACGATGAGCGTGGAAGAACGAACCAAGAATTTCTTTCCCATAACGAAAAAAAAACGTCATTTGGGGAAATCATAAACATTCTCTTTCACAAAGAACAATAAACAAATCGATCATAAAATTCCACATAGAAATCTGATTAGTTTTCAACCTTTTTTTGCTCTTAAATCTCATAAGATCCTTTGTCTGCCCACGTTTGAAAAGCATTTAGTTGTGCACACAAATCCTTCAGGTCAGGTTTATAGATTCCGTATCGTATATTATAATTTCTTCTACCTGAATGCGCCCTTAAATTTCCTTTTCTGTCAACGCAACTCGACCTTTACTAACTATTGTGAATCGTCATCAAAATGGAATGTCGGAAATTTCTTATTACTCAACAGTGCTCAATTGGATTCGATCTTCTGCACGAAACAAATTCAACCTTCCGAAGTAATTTCAGGTTTGTGAGTCTTTAGGGCTCTTCTTTAACTAGATAACTTCTATGACAATGAGCGTGTAATTTATTCAGGTCGTTCATTTTGCCCTGCAGTAAAACATCGAGTAAGGTGAATGATAAACGAAAGTAAGAAAAGTGTGTAGCGATACATCAAGGCAATTGCTTATGCTTTTCTACCAACAATAAAAATATGCATGACAAAAAGAGAAAATATGACTGATCTGCATAATGTTGTCTTTTCGAAGACAAGATAAGCATCTTGTAGACAACATTTTATGCTTCAAACTCAGGATGTCTTTGACTTTACATTCAAAAACATTTCTGATGACAGGAAGGAAGTTGAATAGTGAAAATTAGTTCTGACATTGCATTGAGTTCTCTTTAAAAAACAATGTCGAGTATTTTGTGAAAGGAAATTGAACAATTATTTGTTGTTAATCTGAACTGGAACTCATAATTATTTCCACTTTGGATTATCATCATAAAATCAACACACGCAGAATTCTCATTTCTCGATAAAAAAATGTTTTCATTTCTTTCTTTTATTCGACGCTTTGCATCTGATTACAGCAGCTCCAATTCCAATCGTATCTAATGCCTACTTGTGGTCATGTCCACATTTGTAATATGATCAAAACTGCTCCATATTTGGATTCAATGTTTTCCGCCTCCCATTCTGAAGTTTATTCGAAACAAGTCAAAGAAAAAGAAATTTTACTAAAGGAATATCATCAATCTTTGGTGTGCTTCGGGTCTCTTTTCATGCATAGCTCGCTTTTTTTTTGTTAGGATTATTGGAGAAATGCAATTCGTATAAGAGGGCACAAGAAATGCTATCATGTTATTAATTAATCCGTTATAATTTATTCATTTCATACAAACATTCGCTTTATGTTAATCTTATGGTAAAATGAGAGAGGGAATGGTAACATCAAGACTGCTTAAGAAGATTGTAAGATGGTCAATTATGAGGTCGCCATGTAATACAAGAAAAAGCTTTTTGATGCATCAAAATAAAAAAATTAATCCAACAACTGAGTTCATATCCCTTTGGAAATAAGAAACATACATTTAATCTCTCAAGCAGAACATGTCGTTTATGTTCATTTTGATAAAGAAAAGATTATAATGAAGGAATGCAAATAAGCTTCTGAGACGTTGTCATAATAAATAAAAATCTTTTATCTCGCTAAGGCTTTTTGAAGCTATTCAGTTAAGCATGCTTCGCCATCTGCAGATATTCAATCTTCAGATGTTGTTAAATTATGCGTTCGTTTATTTAACTTGAGATAAGATTATAATTTGTGAATTTACAAAAAAAAATAAATAAATAAATTGGTTAAGAATTCATCAAATGAAAACCGTAAATTTATGCATTTGATGTGGAGAAAAAAAAAATCAAAAAATTAAAACTTGATGCAGCAGTGGCCGTCATGTCAAAATTTAAGCAGTTCGTGAAAAATAAATAATCATCGATGCGTGATTAACTTAATTTATAAATCGAACGGAATCGTGAAGCTCAATTTATCTTCGGAAATGAATTGAAAGAAAGAGGAAAAATTAATTCAATACATTTTCATCTTTTATGGACTTTTCTAATCAAAAGTTTTGAATTCGTTTGTTATGTAAATTTTCGACATTGCTGTTGAGATTAATTTCTGGTTGATGGCCTGTTGGAGATCATTTCACATAAAATTGAAAAACATGATTCTTTAATGTTCAAGGAAATGTTAAACCACCGGTGGTGATTCGTATGAAAAACCATCACAACAAACGGAAATAAACGAAATGTCTTAGCTTTCAAAATTATCGAAGATTATTCCATGAATATATTTTAAATCAATGAATTTCGAGAAAATCAATGTGTAAGAAATTTTGTTTCACTTGACATTTAACAAAACTTTGTTTCCCTTTAAGGTCTTCACTTTTTTTCTCGAATAAAAACAACAATTTAGAATTCTTCCCTAACAATCTTGAAATTTAACACTTCCAAGTAGAAATATTTCTCAAGAATTTTATGATGAGATCGTCTATGATACTTTGTTGGCGATTGAAAGCTACTGGGATCATTAGGCCTTGAGAGAAACAAACCATAAATTAATAACAAATTTAAAAGACCCTAAAATTCTATAATCTTTAAAGCGAAAAATGAACATCTTTCCAGGTCTATCTCATGCCAATTCAAGACACCACACTAAAGATTTATTTCCAAATGATTTTGTTTATGTTTTAGATTAGTAAATTTGTTTCTCAAAGACGCAGAAATTTTTTGGTTAGAAATCTTAAAACTGTCAGGAAAGGAACGTAAAAAAGATTCTTAACTAATTTATGACGATGTTAAATATAAGAAGTAAAGGCTTAGAAAACAAAAATTCGTCAAATCTCCTCCTTCGACTTTAAAGCCGATTAAAATTTAATATTTATTTTCAATATCTTCAAAATGTGTTTGAGTTGATGGAGCATAAAAAATATTACAAAATTCGTCTTTAAGTCCCTACAAAGAATCTTTTTCTTCTTGTCTCATTTTGATGGATCAAAATTAAGAAGAAGAAGAAAAAATCTTTTTCATCAAATTGTTTGTTTAGATCAATTAGCCATTAAACCGGTGGGACTAATTGATGGACGGTTATGGCGGGGGAATTTCTTCCACGTAATTTACGATTCATCATCATCTTTGGCATCATTTCGGTTGATGTAAAGAACGTCACAGTTTGATAAGAATGAGAATGAAATTTTAATAAGAATTCAATTATTAAAAAGTGGACTGCAGTTGAACAAGTTTTAAAAATTTCTCGTTTGTTTGTAATGTTAAATAAATGTCGATCATCGCACGCACATCGTACTTCGTATAAATATTTGATTTCTTTTCTTTATTCAGTACACGATCTCATGTTGACTTAAAGGAATCAAAGAAGAGAGAAACATCAGGTAGTTGCCACCCGAGATAGTTGCTTCATCATTCCTGCTGATAAACATCTGAACATTTCATACTTTTAGAATAAATTGGAGCTGTTTTCACGTGGGTCAAACATCGAATTACGTCGTGGAAGCGAGAGTGAAGATTTCAAATAAGATTCAAATCTTAAATAGCGTCTTTTGTTTTCTCTTTGTTGCTTCTTAAACTTTTTTTCATTATTCTGTTGTTTGTTGTTGTTCTTCTTTTACTAAAAACAATATCTCCGCGTCTTTTTACAACATTGAAGACACGAGCTAAACGTATTTTTTTCTTCATGAATTCTGGTTCTTGATTTTATTTCTTATTCTTTTACTCTCCACCTTTATTTTTCCTTACAAAACTCGATTTTTGTGTTCACAAGAATAATCAAAAACTAAAGAGACTTTATGCTTGATAAAAACAATCTTCTTTTTTTTGGGCACGTTCAATTGTTTGTCTTCGAAAGAAGTTATTTGTGCGTTAAAAGAGTCTGGACATGTTTTATGTGTGGTTAAGAAGAAAAAAGTAAAGAATAAATTGTTTAAATCTATAACTTATTCTCGTCTAAAAGTCTTGAAGATTTATAAAAATGATTATTGAGAATCTTATTTAAGTGCAGAGAAAACGAGAAAGAATCCTTTTAATCCTTTTATTATTCTACCACAGATTCGTAGCTAAGATTCGTCATAAGAAGAAACTTAATCTAATTAAGTTTGAAATATTCCACGCATCTTCAAAGATCTCATTTAACACATTGTTAGGCCTTGAAGCATGATGAATTTCTTACACTTTGTTGCTTTTTGTCTCTTGCGCTTGATTGATTGCTTAGAATTTTCTTTTGTCAGTTTCATCTTTTTAACGAGATTCCAAGATATCTCAAGACAAAGGAAAATTCAATACATTATGACTGATCCAAATATATTCCGAAAGTAAATCTTTCGAAACGATATCTAACATTAATTATGTGTTTGAAAGCTTTTAAATATATTTATGGAGTGATTATGTAAGAAAGCAATGACTTTAGCCGAAAAATTATATCACATGAAACATGTATGAACTTAATTAACGTTTCTTATTTGGAGCTTTTAAAACATTTTCCTTCATTTTGAATAAATAATTAATGAATGAGATTCGATTTTGAACATTTGCGAATAGTTGGGAAAAGAGAAATTGTTTGTCAATGTGAACGACTTTAAGAACTCGTTGTGAACTCGTAAATATCAAAATAATGGAGTTACCGTTTAAGTTTCAAAGCAACATCATTTTTCAAGAACTTCAATAGCAATCTGAGATACTTACAGTTGATAAAAAGAGGGAAAACTTAGTGAAACATTTAATTGACTTTCATGCCACATACAAACAATGTTGAATGAAATCGACTCTAACAAGAGACGGTGAAGAAATTAGATTAAATGTTTTCAATGATTTTTAACTTTTTTTTTCTTTCCTTATTGCTTCCATTTCGCAAGCAGAAAACGTGTCGCTTGCGCTCGATCGAATAATAAATTATTGGAATTGTATTTACAACCTTCATTCTTGCAGGGCTTGCAGCACTGATTATTTCTTGTCTTCAACTTCATTTTCATCTCAAGTGTTATCAAATGAAAGCATTTTACGAATCTTTAAAACGTTACTTGAAATGATTTTTGATGCACATAATTATGGAGCATGACAAGAACATGGCTGACTTCAAACCAGTACAACCTGTTGCTACTTGCGTACCAAAAAATCTACACACGCACGCGCTTGCTACCAATTCACTCACTAAATAATGCTGAATAAAAAGAATAATTCAAGGTAATTGATCCCGGAAGGAATCAACATTGAAAAGAAATCAGACAAACAGAATGATTTAGAAAGACTCGCATTCATCAACGTATGCGAGGGAAAAATAATTGATTTAAATGTTCAGTGAATCATCATTATAATTTGGTTCTTGAATGGATATCATTTTTCCATTTTTCTAGATCATTTATTTACAACAAATCGTCTTAAGGTTATTAGGTGTGGTTCTTAAGTCCGTCCAAATGGCGAATAATTTTTTAGGTTTTATGCGAACATAAATTGTTCTTAAGTCGATCTGAAAAAGTTTTCGAATATTTTAATAAAAGAAACTTGAGCAAAATGAGGCAACTGTTAATTAAATTAAATTCGTATCATTAGAAGACAAACGCTTGGCTTACATTAGTAATGTGTTAAGTTGCTAATGTGAACATATAAGTTAGTTTCATATTAATGATCTCTTCATTAATCTTGATTCAAGGTCGAAAGGTTCAGACGCGTTTTAATTTTAAGTGTTGACTTTCTCGTTTCATCATCCATCGTAATTTGATTAAATTGTGAAAAATGAAAGAAGAAAACATTCCGCATCCGCTGAAATAGAAATATTTTAACAATAATTATAGAGATGATATTGATTTTCCATTACTGGACAATCGTGGATTAATGACATAACATATTTTGCGTAATGGCGTGCATAAGTAGAAGTGTATGATTAGACTTTGACTGCTGTTTATTACCATAATTAAGAATTTCCTCACTCACTTTCAATTCCCCACAAACTCAAGATTTTTATTAAGCAGATGACATGATTAGATGTTCGATGTTTTAAATGTCTCTTAACTTCAGTCTTTCTATCTTTATAGCGTGACCTAACAATGTTTCATTAAGGTTTTGAGCTTTTCACACCGGAAAGTCTTTTTGTTGTTTGCTTTGCATTCGATTTCTCTCAGCAGTGTTTGCCACTTTTATGAATATCCGAAAACAATTAATTTATGATGCTTTAGCTATATAAACACACACTCTGAAGTCATTTGAAAGATAATAACGTATTCTTATAATGAAATAAACAATTCATTAAATTGAGAGATTAAATTGCAAATCAAAAGTTTGTTTGTTGAGATTTTTATTTTATTTTTCCTCTCAAAAAGCAGTCATTCGATGTGCTTCTTCTTTTTCATGAAACTAAACAAGTTGAACAAGTATGTATGCTTGCTTACCTCTTTACCTACCGGAATAATCAATTTTTGATCGATCATTAAAACAAGTGAAACAACATGTTGTTGGGTGAATGTGAATAAATAAAACTCAGTCAACTGTTACTGCTTCATTTCACTCTCCATTCATATGTTCTATTATTCTTTAAATTCTCAACAAAATTGAACATTATGGATCGAATAAACATACAATTTCGAGTATGTGCACATGTGCGTTGAAGCATAATCAATGATAATTTTTGTGTTTCTTTCATGAGCTTTTCGTGTAAATCGACGATGGCTTATTACAAGTTGTTAGAAAACATTACACGCTTCTCCAGCCATATGCTTTCGATTCACCCAACCTGTCTTTTTGTTTAGTATTTGATAGGTTCACTTCAAACTTAAAATGCGTTAAAGTCACGAGAAACTTGTGAGACTACACAGGAATTAATTTAAAACCTCAATGAAAACTAAAACACATGAAATCTTGATAAAAAAAAACTTTTGTCATTAACGCAGTAATTTTCACAGATTATTTAAATTAAATTTAATGCCGGAAGATGTTCTTGAAAATTCGATAACTTTCACATTGAAACAGCTGAAAGTAGCGAATGAATAAAATTTCAATTGCTTTTTGCTTTCCACTTGGAATCTTATTGAAGTATTTTTCCAAGCAGACTCACATCGGAACGAGATTAGATAATTTGAAAAGAAGAAAGAGAAGCGATGTCAAGTAATGTGGGAAGTATTCTAGATGCATCTAATGCGGCAAGCCTTAAAACTAACAGATTGCACCTTGAAAACTTACAAAACCCTATCATCAAATTGTTGACTTCGTATATGTATTTATATCACTATCTTGAGATCTTTTCATTCCTGACACATTTGAACAAACACAAAGGAAAGTTCAACCTCAAGGGTCTCAGGCAATTGAAGCGTGAAAAATATTTTATGCGATTAAGAAGTTGAGTTTAATTCATTGGGAAGAGTGAAGCGAAAACGGAAGGCAATAAAACATTTCTTACAAAAACTCTCCCGAATTGTAAGACATTTTGATTATTAAATTTCCATTTCATTAAAATTTATTTCTTTAATTTTTCTCAACTTTAATGTTTCTTATTTAATTGAACAATAAACTTGAGGCTTTTGCATGAAGTAAACACAGCGAGAATAATAAATAAATGACCATGTTGGACGATCGTATTGAAAAGTTATTGGTAAATCTGTTCATTATCATACAATGCCATCATATATCAATTAATTTCAGTCTTCAAAGACGAATCTTTTGTGCTGCAGCATCATCCACACCCATTAAGATGAATCGACATAAATCAACTCACCAAAAATAAATATCCATAAATTGATCACCCGGTAAATGTAAGATTGTGACGTTGAAACTTCCAAATTACGACAGAAAAGTTTGATGCTTATTACTTAGCGATCACTCCGATGATCCATAAACAGCGATGGAATGTGACTTCTCAATTTTTCTTTTCCTTTGTTCAAATTTTTCTTACAAATCGAAATCAACCAACGCAACAGAATTAAGTTGAATAGAACTTAAAGGTGAAGAAAAGACCAGTAGTTTCTGATCTAATTTAATGACATTCCTCAGATATCGAATTCAGTTTATAAAGAAAATGACCGAAGTCAACAACCAACACGTTATAAAATATAAAAGATTAAGAAAAAAGTAATTTAAAATGAAATCATTCAAATAAATAAATGACATCATCGAATGTCTACAAGACATTTTAAAAGCATTCAGAAGCATTCGAAATTCATCAACATCATGATGAAAGATTCACTTTAATTTCCAACTGCTATCTTATGTGAATCTTTTTCTTCTAAATCATAATCCAACACATTTTAAGCAGCATGCTGACTTTGCACCTGTTGTTTCTGCCTAAGGTTCTCTTTTTCATTTCTTTATTTATTTTTTTCTTGTTCACCCAATCTAACCAAATGCGGTCTTAAATTTTGGGTTTTCAACTTTGCCAACTAAGCAAGAGCAAGTCACAAAAAATATAAAATGCTTATATAATTTGAGATTATTTTTAAAACGCAATCCGCAGGCAGTTTATAATATTTTTTTTGCTGCATTTAAACGTCTTGGATAAAATTATCTTTTTCGACACTGGACACATGTTGGCGAAAGAAGTTATAAAAAGAACAGACGTAAGAAGAAGATTTAAGACGCGAATAAGTTTTTTATATTCTTATTATCAAGAAGAAGTCTTGAATTTTAATACCCAAGAAGGCAAAAAAAGGTTTTTTATGTAAGCAGGTGATGTTTGATGACTTTCAGCGTACTTGTAAGACGTACAAAGATTTTTTTTGCATCACGTCAGTTCAATTATAAGTTAAAGGATCTCAAGATTGTAATATGTTTTGACTTTTGACTTGTAAGAATCTTTTTATATTCAATATCTCTCTTTTTTTTGTTTTGTTTGGGAGTGGAGCGTGCTTGTTAAGAATACGATGAGTATTGAAATGAAATCTTTTATGAATTTAAAGAAGTAAATAAAATATCAAAAACTGGTTTTCAGATTCTCTAAGCTCATTGCTGAAAAGATTTCGCTTTCTTTTGTTGAAGAAGAAGAATGGTAATCCATTTCAAGCATCATTGAAATAAAGCTTAACAAATGGCAAATTGAATAATCTGACTGATTATTATTATTGATGGAAACAAGGTGTGAATGATTATTCACAAAAGCTTCAATTGACTTCAAAGCCTATAAAAATCGTTTTCTAAAAATGGTAAGAAAAAATTTATTAGAAATTTAAGTATGAAATGACTTCTGAATCGAGAGAAGAGAACGAAACCAAGTTCAAAGTTACCAAGACTTGAATGAAGCTCTGCAACAGAAATCTACGTGAATCATTTTCCCATGACGAATGATTTAAAAAAACAGAGCAATGAAAACCAAACCATGGTATTAAGTATTTTTAATCAACATTCAACTCATGTGAATTCTTTTTTTAAACTGCTTAAGAATTGCAAATTTTTAATTGTTCTTCTTACGTACAAATGTAATGAACTGACTTGCAATTTCAAAAGTCAAGAATGGAAAGAACTGAAGCGGAAAAAATATGAGATAAGAAAAGATTTAACTTCCATTTACTTTTAATTTGAAATTCTATTATTAAATATGCTGTGAGTATAGAAAATGTGACGCAACTAAACAGTGAAAGTCGTGACTCATCCTCATATGATCTTATAGATCAAAAAAAGAAAAGATTTCCATCCATAAGAGCATGAAACAACTTCACGCCCACTTTAATAACTTATTTCTTTCTCGTCAATTCAATGTTAGAAACGATTGTTTCGTTATAAAATGTTCAAAATCTTCTTTGACTCACTTCTTTCCACAAAAGAAAATTATGATTTGGCTCTAATTTACTTTTAATTGCAATGGACATTAAGCCCATAAAACAATGTTTGACCTTTTGCTACGGCGGAAGATGCAAATAAAGAACATCAATGATTCAAAAAAATATTTTAAACTTCCCACCGTCATTAATGCTTCTTCAATGTTCCACTTCACTTTCATTTGAATCTTCTTTTTTCATTTTGTTTAAAAATATGTTTGTCATTATCGTCAGAAGCTACTTGAACAAATCATAGTCACGACATTCGAGCGACCAAATTATTCGAGTGGCGAACTCTTGAAGTGTTGAATTACATCTAACAACACAATTGTTATGTCGACAGTCGAGACTTATTACTCAGAATAGAATGCTTTATTGAATTAATGTCTGTGTTTATGTTGTTTACAGAACAATTCAATGGAGTCACAAATCTTAAAAACTATAAAAATAATCAATTGTATTCGAAAAGCAATAATTAACCAGATGTAACTTTCACGATTAATTGATTTGTTGTTTGTAATGAGCTTTTAACGTGACGAACATTTCAACACGTCGACATAAGTGAAATCAAGGTAAAATTTCTGCTTATTAATTGAGAGATTTTGAAAAGATTTCACAGTTTGAAGCGAAAATTCATGAGATCACTCACTCGAAGATTAACATGAATTGCACAATAAACATCAAATTTACTGACTTTAACATCTTTTTTTTTATAACTCACCTGTACGGCACAATTGAGAAAGCAGTTGTTTTGTCCGGGACCGTTTAAAAGTCCTTTAGTGTCTGCTGTTAGCTGATTATGTTGTTGCGTTGATGAAAAAATGTTCATTGGAAAATTTCTCGTCATTGGTGATATATTTGATGGCATCAAAGGAGATTGAAACTTTGTGCCCACAGTCATTTTGTTGTTTCTAATTATCACGTCGTTGATCCCCGTTGATTGTTTATTGATCTTCCGACCACGACGACGTCATCTAAGAATCAGAAAATAATGTGGGTTAAAAGATCTTCATTTCTAGAAAATATGAATTGAATTCCATGGAACATCTTCAATAAGAAGAGTCGTAAAACATGGAGTGACTGACCATTGATCAAGCCATTTAAACACCTCCGATTTATTCAATCAATGATCGAACGAAGCAAAAAATTTGTTGGCAAAGAGAAAGAAATAAATTCCATCACGAGATACGTTCAAAAATGTGTGTGTGTGAGTGAGTGTTGATGTTGTTGCTGTTCAGAATTGGTGGCATAAAGAAAAATTACCATGAACAGTTACGAATTCTTGTTTTCGGAAGACATCTTCTTCATTTTGTGAGACTTTTATTTTGATTTTTGTTGTTGTCTGGTGATTTTCAGCAATCTCATCATATGCTTTCACCGCAGCTTATTGTAATGATGTCTTGTAATTGATTTATTTTCACGGAAATGACTGCTTCTGAGTTCTGACAATCTTTTGATGCTAAGAGACCAATGAAAATATTTTCTTACTGATATATGATCATGGGTTTAAAATTTAAACACTTTAGAAATCTATCAAGTCATGACGGAAGTTTGTTCTGATGTTTTTGAAATATCTCAAAGAATCACAACTTTGACATGAGATTTTTAGAGCAAAAAAAATTGTAATTCCATCACACTACGGCCCATCCCAATGCGAAACGCCTTCGTGCAAAAAGAAATTATTAACATTAAGAATTGATATTTGAGTTGAGTTTAAAAGCAATTCAAATTTGCTTTAGTCAAACTTTCGCCAAAGTTTTGTTGTTATGAAATTTTCTTTCAAGTTCAAAAACGTTGGCAATTTGCCAAAATGTCCATCATCTTTGCTTATTTTTTTTCTCTCTCGAAATTCAAGCCACTTAGCAATTATTTCTTCGTTCATTTTACTCGTCTTGACCTAAAACTGAATGAAAATTACTTCTCGTGACATCAAAGCTTGAAGAAGAGAAAAGAAACTTTCAATCATTTCTATCAGTCAAAAGAATTTGTTTGTTGAAGATTATTGTGTTGATGATGAAGATTGCGCATCGATTAATTTCGACGATTTTACACCCAAATAAAAATTTAAATATCCACCAAATTGGTACTAAATAAATATTTTCTCTTTCAATTATCTACGAAATGATCCATAAATATTTCCTACATAAACTTTTTGATTTCAGCTGACAGTTTTGTGACTCATTAAGTTATAAAAATCTTTGTTTCGTAAGGAAATTGGAAAACTAAAAAGCAAAGTTAATTTATTAAAGTTCAATGCTGTGTAAGCCTCCAGAAGTAAACTTCCACATGTAAATATGGCAACAGCGTGTTGTTAAATTACTTCAAGGTATATAACAATTTCTTTGTTATGGTGATATAGATTGAAGTGATCATAAATTGATCTTTTTTTTGTTCACAATTGTTACAGTGTAAGTGCCCGCACCTCAAGACCCATTTGTCATTTTTCTATGCAAAAGCGTTTTCATAAAAAATTAGATCAAAATTCAGACATAATTGCGTTTTTAAAACTCAAAGCAATTTCACACGTTTCAAAGTTATTTTTTATGAAACTTTTAAAAATTGGGCGTACGCCAAAATATTCCATAAAACAAAATGAAATAAAAAATTCAAACGTCACTGCGTACGCACGAAAATTTTATTCATTATGATTTAATGTTGGAGCATTCGACAAAATGTGAACATTGCTATGCTTTCTCTCCATGCGAAGTGTCGTGTGATTAATATCAAAGTCACAAAGCGGCATCACACATAGAGTTTCGAATCAATAAAAATCTTTTATATTTATCCATCTATCCATCCCAAATAAGCTGCGCCTTAAACCAAATTTTAATTCGCTGTATGATGATGAATCAAAGAACTTTCATCGTCTTTAAATCTTTTTGATGATCTTCAGGTAAAAAGGCGGCTACTGTCATAGCGAAGTTAATAAAATTATAATCTGTTTATGAACAACTTATTACTCAACTGTTGAAAGCTCTCAAAGAATTAAATATTTAAGTTTATTTTAAACTTTACGACAAACTTTTGATGACTTTAGGTGCCTTAAAAAGGCTTTGAAATTCAATATAAAATTTATTTTTAGTTTTGTTTACATAATTTAAAGTGTTGTTCGTTGTAAAATTCTTTAAATAAAATGTGGTGGGATTTTGAAGTCAGGTGAAACAAGCAATGACAAAAATTTCAATAAATAACTTAATTCAATCTTAATCTTACGATCTAAACGATGTTTCAAACTTCTGTTCATAATATAAAATATTTTTGCATAAATAATTCATTAAATATCGGCTTAGGATTTTTTTATTCTTTCCTAACCGATTCTCGATGAAAACTTACATACGTACACGATTAATTAAAAAGTTTAAAATTTTCCAATTTCTTCTTCTGCCTCATTCCTAATTATGAATTCAAAATAAATTTCTCGCTTCGATTTCTTGATCTTAATACTGAAGTGCTCATTAATTAGTCTCATAAGAATATGAAATCAAGAAAAACAAGAAAAAATCAAACGAAAGTTTTAAAATCATTTATAAATTTGAAGTCATAATTGATATAAAAATTTCATTGCCATGAGACTTAAATGATTTCCAATTTTTCATTCTAATAATCATGAGTCAATTTCATGTTTGATTAGACATAAAATCATGACTTAAGCACACCTTCACAAGCAGTAGAACTACTACTGTTCATTTGCTAAGCATTCTCACGTTTATATCAATCGAATCGTGCCTTTCATTCATTCACACTTTAATTAAAACTTTTATTTGTCAGAATATATTTGGATCTCTCGGAATGAAAATTGTACGATGTGATGTTGAGATTTAAAGTACAAAATAATTTGGAATTTTAAACTCTATATTGATGCCTTCTTAAAGTCATTTTTTGTTGTTTATTTTAATTTCTTTCAACACCAACCTCAAGCTTTAATGGAACTTTAAAGATCCTAATAAGAATCGCATTGCTGGAATGCACAATCATGAAAGTACTTTTATGATCACTTCATTTATTACCTAACTTTACTTAACGTAAAAGCATCCAAATGAAATTTTTATTATTAGTCAATTTACACAAGGTAACAAAAACTCCTCCCTTATTAACAATTCTAAGTTAAATGGAAAATTTTTTAGGTCACAATGGAATCTTCTTCGGTTTTGACATTTACTTTAAATATCAATGTTTAAGTCTTTTTTTTATTAAGGTAAACGCCTGATCAGGCTTCAATTAGAAACATTGAATTGACATTTCTGAATTCGATTTTAAAAGATCTTGAAGTCGATGAAAACAGTAAGACACACATTCGTGTTAACATCAGATCTATGCCACAGAAGTTGTTTTAATCTTCAATATTTTATATCTAATCATTTCCACACAACACCGCAATTGTTCGAGACACTTAGAATTCCTTTCCTTCAGTTTACTTCACGTGAGACTTTTTTCATACTTCCAGTAATTTTAGCAAAGTATTCGTCTTAATAGTTTTAATGACAAGCCAGCAGCATTCCACGCTAAAGATCTGTTCATGAGTTGTGGTTAAACGTTTACGATGTGAATTGAAATTTTATGCGCTGCATGAGAACTTGGACGAGCTGATAAATCATGATCGGGAAATTATCAATTTGTGACGATCATAACAAAGTTTAAAATATTTGTTTTGTAAAAGTTCTTCTTTAATTTCAGATATTGCAAGAAAATCAAATAGATTTGTTGCGAAAACATCGCTAATGAGCTCGTTAACAAGTGTTGTGAAGATAATCGTGAGTAGATATTTTCCGCACACAGATTTAATAAAAATGCCTCAAAGCTTTCGACGATTCTTTCGTATTTCAAGTGAGAGATTTTAAATGTTTTGGAGGCGTGAAAATATTCACAGACTTTTTTAAATATTTGAAAACTTTGAAGCATAATTGCGTTAGAAAAGCGATTTTACATTGTTTTAAATCTGAATCATACGAAATCGATCTTGGAATTGAAAGCAAAAGAAATTGTTTGTTAATTATTTACCCGTCAGCATGAAATGCTTCAAAAAACTTTTACTCGCTTTTAAGCATTGAGCATTGTCAGATATTTTATATTTCTGAAGAAATAAATATTGTGAAACTAGCCCGTCATTATATTTCAATTTTCGAGCTCAGTAACATGAGATGATGTCAGATAATTTTCACTTTGTAATCATTATCATTAAGATTTTTGTTCTCGTCGAAAAATGGAATTTCCAACACTCACCTCGCTCTTAACTTAATTTATTGTCATTTGGAAGCTTCTTTTGTGTTTCAATTGAACACATTCCGTTATTAATTTACGCAAAGAATTAATAGAATAACAAAAGAAACAACAAATCACAACATTTTAACAGTATTTTGCTTCGAAGGAACTCGTTATTTGATATAGCAACGACGGTTTGCCAGTGAAAATTGAAATACTTTACGGTTGTTAAAAAACTCACACTGAATTACTGTTTACAATTGCACATGGATGGTTCCGCGAATAACGATAACGCTTGAAATAATAAACGAATTAACGATTTCACTGGCATAACGATCATGTTTGCTTTAAAATGACATCATCAGCAATCTTTTTCATAGCAACACAAACATAAATAATAAACTTATTGGAATCCAATGATTTCCGACCGAAAAAAATGAAGGAAGTTTCATGTTTGATCAATAAAAGCGCAATCAAGGCAGTGCTTTGCCTTGGAAACGAGACACACAACGATTCATTGCTCGCAATCATCGTAATCATAATATCGACATGTCTACATAAAACTCCATGTTTGACGTTACTTTTCGCGCTCAATTTAATGGTCATTATATCGTGATCATGTGTCTTCAAATCGACAGATCAATTTCACGAAACTTTGCTTTTGTGAAGTTAGGAAAGAAAAAAATAATTAATTTTTTAACTTCTTTCTACCTTGAACAACTCAAAAAAAATATTGATGATAAATGAACGGGAAGCTGCTGTTATTAATGATCCAGTGGGTTGGTGCTAAACTGATGAATGTATCTAAGAATATTGTAATCCTTCTTTGAATCTCTTTTCACTTCTTATAATTCACTTATGATTGGATTTATTCTTCCTTTCAAAGCTCTTTTCTTTTACTTTTAATTATTTTTTCATTCTCTTTTGTTTTCAAAATTCCATCAACATTCAACGCGTTTTAAAACCGAAAACACAAGAAATTCCACCTTGTAAATGTGTGTTTATGTTGTATTTCTTTCTGTGTATGACGATCAACTTACAAACGTCACAACAAGCAATTTCTCTTTTATCTTTATTCAATAATATTTCTTTTTCTTATCTTCCACTCTAATTAATGTTAAATCAATAAAATAATTTTTTCACAATAACCAAACACGTGCAGATAATATGCCAAATAAACATCTGATCACTATAAAAATTAGATATTTTCAAATATCTTATGAGAACGATCCACACGCAACGAGAGAACTGAAGAAACTAACTTAATGTGAGGGTTTGTGGAGAATCACAAAGCAAAATAATTTCAGTGAGAGTTAAGAAGAAAATCAAGAGAAGGAATGTTACAAAATTGATACATAGATAGCGCTGACATAAGTTAGGTTGTGACTTTTATTAATTTATAACTTAGCATTTAAATACAATAATTTGTTTTTAATTTAATTGGTTACTGCCAGTTTAAACTTCTTTTTTTTGTTTTATTAATGTCAATGCCATACATTAAGCATTTCTATTTCATTTTAAATTACACATTCTACTTAGATATCTTCATCAATACTCTTTATGATGATGAATGATTTGCCCTCCAAAGCTCTTTCTATCGCATCAAAGTTAAGATTTGTTAATGGCACAACTTCTAAATCGCTATTCAGATCATAACTTTTTGTCTCCATGTACTCTGATTCCAATCCATTCAAATCTTCTAAATCGTCTATGGAAAACTTATTTGCTTTATGTGAAATCATAGCTACAATCAAAATAAATGGAATAAACTTATACATGACTTCCTTTAGTTAACTGTCTCAAAATAACTCTGAAAATATTCCATTTATTATTTAGTTTTTTTTATCATTAGCATGAATCTAACATATATTTTTTTATTCAACATTTGTCATTCCTTACATGTTAAAAAGACGAAACACAATAATTTGAATTAATAATTAAATACTCTACAAATCAATAAACTAAAATAATGCCAAATCAATCATCTTGAAAAGCGTCATTAGTGAACGTCTTTCTCGTCTTTTCAATGGGAATTGCATTTTCCATATCACTATCATCTTTCTTATCATTTACTTTCACATATTTATATTTCATAGCAAGAAGTCCGAATATGGCCATATCAATAAACATCATAATGGCGAAAAGGAAAAATTCGTTAGCTTGTGACTGGAAAATTTTTGCTTCAGCTATAATAACGACAATAACATCCCCGAAAGCAACAGTGAGAAGCCAACATGCTTGCAAAAGTGACTTCATCGTTGTCGGTGCTTGAGAATATGCAAATTCAAGACCAGTGACACTGAACATTACTTCGCCAGCTGTCATAATCACAAACTGGGGAATCAACCATAACATGTGAATGCTGTTTGGTGATGTTATTATGTGAGTCTTCATCTCAATACCTCCACTAGATGATTTACTGATAACAATTGTGTAAACTCCACCAAGAAGCAACTCAACATCTCCAAGTTTTATGTTGTCAGCATAAACTGAATAAGAAGAAGGAAGAATCTCAAATTGATTAATGGAATGTGTGACAATTTTCTTTGATTCTTCGCCTTTGTTATTTACAAATTTAATAAAGTTCACGCTTTCTAAATCACTTAAAACTCTTATCGTTGGATATCCACTCTTTGTCTTGTCAATTTTCTCTTCGAAACTCAAAGCTTTCGGTGAACTTTTTACAAAGAAACTGCTCGATTTGCCAGGCTGAAGATTCATGTTCAGTTCAACATTTGAACAATTTCCCGATTCTGTTTCAAATTTGATCATTTTTGTAGTGTTATCAACGTTGTTTAAAGAGAATTCGAGAAGATCAAATGCATTGAGTTGTGAATTTCGATTATCCTTAACTAATAAGTTTGACATTGTCTTGTAATTGCATTGACCACCATTAAAGATTCTCACTTGTGATTCATTTGGTTGAGGAAAAACTGGATAAGTCTTCTCAAGTTGCAGTTCAACTAGCCCTGAAACAAGAAACGCTACACCAGCTAAAATTCCACCTGCTGCAAGTTTCTGTAGTGGTCGACGAAGCCCAATTTTAGCCAGAAAAGGATAAATCGCGCAATCAAAAATTGGAATGAAAACTAAGATAAGAAGTGGGTTGATGACTTGCATTTGATCTGGTTTGATTTCTGTAAATCCAATATCTCCATTCATTCGAGTCGCTTGAAATGTCCATCTTGATCCTTGTTGATCAAACAACGCCCAAAACAATGGCAATGGAACAAAAAGTAAAAGAATCTTTAAAACACTTTTCACATCGTTGACCATTTCTTTTCCATAAGCTGGTTCCGCATAATCCAACCAATGTGATAATTGCTTTTGACTCTGCTTTGATTTTTCGGAGATTGCATTCTTGAAAGAATAAAAAATTTAGTTAGTTTTAAAAAAAGAGAAGAGAAATAAATGAAAAGAAGTCTTACAAATATACATTTGGTGACCTTGACAATGACGTTGCCAGCAGGTTGTTTTACTATGTACAAAGCTTTACCGGCAACAAAAACAATTATCGAAGCAATCATCAACACACCGGGAATTCCAAATGCAAGAGAAAAACAATCCAAATCTCCAAAACAATGAACATCTTCTCTCAATATTGGCATTAAATAAGTGCTAATAAGTGAACCAGCGTTGATTGCAAAGTAAAAGAAAGAGAAAAATGTTGCGAGTTGTTTTGCTTGTTCCGGTAATTTAAACTGATCGCCTCCAAAAGCTGCAACACATGGTTTAATTCCACCAGATCCGATTCCAATTAACAGAAGCCCGATAATTGTGAAACTTTGAGCTGGTAAATGTAAAACTGGTATTGCACCAACAGCTATTGAAGCACTTCCAATTGCATACACACATGATAAGTAAAGAATTGTTCTGTAAATGTCAAGAGAAGTTTTTAAAAATGTTGATTGCTTTCAACAATAAACTCACCTAAACTTCCCCAAAAAGCTGTCAGCAATGATCGCACCCAAGATTGGAAAAAAGTAAACCAAACTCGTAAAAACATGAAATAAAACTGTAGCGGTATCATCAGAATATCCCAACTTAATTGTCATGTATAAGACGAGAATTGCTGCGAAAACAAAACGAAAACAATTTTATTACGCAATTTGTAAGAGTCGATAGTTGATCAACCTACTTCGCATTCCATAGTAGTTGAATCTTTCGCAAAACTCATTGCTGATGATGAAGGCAATCGATTTGGGATACTTCGGAGCCTTGAATAATTGAATAAATTAAATTTTCTTGCACGATTTCATTCATATATGAATTGAGTGAGAAATGTTCTGGCGCTTGCAACTAATAATTTATCATTTCAAGTTATTAAAACCAGTTTTTGTATTTCTTGAAAAGAAATTTGATAACCGTGATCCTATCAATGTTTTCTTTTAACAAATAAGTCGGAAATATGAGAAATGTTCCATTATCTCTTCGAGTATCTTCAAGATCAAAACATTGACTAAAATTAAGTTTAAGCATTGTCAAAGAGATTTAAGTTAAAGGTTAACAGACGCACAATGCCAATGATGACTTAAGTCATTTCTTGATGACATTAAAAAGCGCTTATGTTGTCATTTTGACAGTTTAATGATTCGCAATAATGAACAAGACAAACTTCAGCTTATTTCTCAACAAGTGAAATAAAATTTATGATGAAAACAATCCATTGATGTGCCTGTGTAGAACTTTCACTTTAATTTTTTTATCTTTTTTCTTTTGTTTATCTACTGTTGATAACACTTTTTAAAATACTTTGTGATACAATCTTACAAAAGCGACCATCAAAATTAAATAAAATTTGCATTTTTATTATCAAATACACGAACGTTCTCTCAATGAAGAATTCCAACTTAACCCACTTTTGAAAATTTCAAGTCAATGACATTTTATCATTCAAATTTGCTTTTCAACTTAAATGATGTCAAATCAAAACAAAAGAGATAAAAACAACTTTTTTATGTTTGTGTTAATTTTGACGAAAAGCAAAATTAAGCAAACTGTTCAAAGAGTTGAACAATTAAACTTTTCAGTTCGCTTTAGTAAACATCAACATTATTAAACATTTCATTTTCTACTTTGAACAATTTGTAACTCAAACACAAAATTAAAAAATGAGTATAAGCGCCAGTTGTGAATTAACTACAAACATTTATAAATAATGTTTTGAAATTATCGCTTTATCACCTCATTTGCCGTGGTTATGACATTTTGATCAAGCATTTTGTTGTGATTTATTCTTGAAAAACCATCAAATAATTTGTTCTGTAATTACAGCCCCGTATGACGACAATTTGAGAGCAGATTTCTTTTCAACTTTTTTAATTTAAAACTTCATAATCACAATTGACACGTTGATGAATTGCTTCTCTCTCTAAGCAGCAACCACCGATCACGATCAAAAGTTATTTAAAACTGAGACGACAGGTTGACTAACAGAACTGTTAACGAAAATAGAGAGAATAAAAGTAAATGAATTTATCAGTTTCTCAACAAATGAGAGAAGCTAGAAGCTTTTGAGTGATTTTATTGAAAGCAGGTTGGTAATTGTGTATGAGTTTTAACACTAATACATTTTTATTGGAAAACTAAAGCTTCTTCGTGTGTCAAGATGTTTAAGTATTCACAATGTATGATCATAAAGCTTGGTTATTGTATGAAACATTTCGTTTACTCTCATGAATAAAACTATAGAACTGAAAATGATAAATTGCATTATCTCGTTGGCAGTGAAATTTTAAAATGTTTCGGGGACTAACACGCGCAAATTTATTATTTCAGAAGTCATTATTGACATTCTAGTGCTGTGAATTTTAAGATCATCCAAAGAATAAACTTATCTTCTTTCTACTTTCAAATTTAAATTCTGTTTTAACAGAATAATTAATTTCTTATCAGTTAACCAATATCTGACTCAAGAATTTGATCTCAATTGAATCGTGTCTCGGAATTTCTGAACGTTGTTCTCACAAAGACGAAAGCTTCATATAAGAATATGAATGGGAAAACTAAGCTTTTACCAATGCATGATTGAAGGTAAAGTATTTATCACCATGAACTACGATCATAGCTGTGAACATCAAATTGAATCTTTGTTCTACTCACATGTATAATGAAATCTTTGAAATTATGGATCAAACGAAATTTCGATCACAGCTCAGAATAAGAAAAGAATTCTCTGCACAACCAAACTAGTATCAAATAACATTCAAAGCGATGACATTGTTAACTTTTTAGTTATTTATTTAATTTTAATCCTGTCTGTAAGTCAATGTTGAGATTTTTAATTCATTTGCTAATGTTGCTGATGTTCTTAATATCATATTGCTTTTGTAAAACACTCTGAAGATAAGTTAAAGCCAGACTCGAAGCTAGTCAGTTGAAGAAATAAAAATAGTATGCAAGAATTCTGAAGAAGTCACCTTACATTTATGGTTTTCCGGGTCGGGTTTTTTTCTATGTATTTTTTCGGGTCGGGTCGGGTTTTGTTCGGGTTTTGCATGTAAAAAAAACCCGACCCGGAAAACCATACTTACATTGCTTGTTAAATTTGATTAATAGTTGCTAAAAATTCAAACAAAAAACATGGATTTAATCACAAACATAATATTGAAGAATCTTCTCCAACTTCCACAAACACAAAAGTTCTAAGCATTTAATGTTAAATGGCCTTTAACGTCAACATTATAACTTGATAAGTCGACAATACAACAAATCAAAACAAATTGTTGGATTCCGAAATACATAAAAGACAAGACATTCTTGAAGATCCTTCAACTCTCTATAAAACGTTTACATGATTACACCCTAATCCTCAGTCTTAACTTTGTAAACGGAGAGTCAATAAAACTATCGAAATTGTTATTACAGACACAGCATACTTGTATGGCCTTGAAAAGTTTTGGACGCAGTTTCCCAACGATGTAAAGATATATTTAAGATTGAATGAAACTCAAAGAGATTTTCGTAATAGAAACTGTGAGAGCATAATGATGAATTGCGCAAATGGTTCCTACCGAAGAAACTTAAATTTTCAGGCGGAATATCTGAAGGTTTTCCATAAATATATTTTGAATATGTATAAAACTTTATTTTGATATTCATGGTGTGTAAGCAGGTTTAGAAAAGAAGCAAAATATTTCGGTGGTACAATGAATGGTCAACCACTTCGCTTGTATTTTTACAATTATATTTTCGATGATTTTTCAATCACATCATATATTTCTAACTGATCAGTTACCTTTAAGCTTTTGAACGAAGAAGTCGCAAATAAATAAACAAACAATGGAAACTGTGAAAAATTTATTCAATAAATGGGAAGATTTTTTGGAGCATAAATCAGATCCAAGAATATCAAAATATTTTTTAATGCAATCTCCTTTTCCAATTCTTGGAATCTCATTGGGATATTTGTTCATAGTGAAAGTGAGAAGTTTTCTTATTTAATTTCCAATTAAATTTATTTACAATGTGATTCAATTATTTTAGATCGTTCTACCAAAATATATGAAAAATAGGAAAGCTTTCGATATTAAAAATATTCTTTTTACCTTTAATGTATGGCAATTATGTTCTAATGCTGTATTGTTTTATTACGCTGCAAAACTTGGATGGCTAACAACATACAATTGGAGGTAAGGAATCAATCAAAGAAAGAAAAAAAGTGAAATTTGATATACAAAAAAGTTATTCAATGTTATAAAGATGCGAGCCGGTTGATAAATCTCCATTTGGAGACCCACTAACAGTAAGAAAAATTGCAGAAATATGCGTGAAGGATGTTTGATATTTGCTTTTAAACAGATTGTTAACTTATGTTGGTACTTTCTAATGGTGAAAATAATCGATTTCATGGAAACTGTTATTTTGTTGTTGGGAAAAAGATCCGACCTTGTGACGTTTTATCACGTTCAGCACCATTTCTTAATGCCCAAGTAAGTGAAGAACTAAGCGTAAGATTGATGGTATAAAATTATAATAATTAATCTTTCTAGTATGATTTGGGGAGTCGTTAAATTCTTGCCAGGTGAACTAGAAGAAATGTTCTAAATTTAATTATTAGATATAAATTCGAAAACATTTTAGGTGGACATGGAACATTTTTCGGTTTTGTCAATCCTTTCTCTCATGTCATTGTGTATTCATATCTGGTTCTATTAGGCATTATGCCTAAGATTAAGAAGAATTTCCCATGGCTTCGACAAATACGAATTGTTCTTGCTGTAAGTTTTCTCATTTTTGCCTTTTCTAATGATTTTTTTCAAATAACAAAGCCAATAAATTATGCAGGCTTCTGAAATCATCGCGGTTCTTGTTCACTCAGGTCAACTGGTATTGTATTCTTCAATGACCTTTTATTGTTCCTTAAAATATAACGTCATCTTTTATGTTTCAGCTTTTCAGAAATGATTGTAATTATCCTATCGAGTGTATCTATTATATGTTTTCTTACGGCTTAATTTATTTAGTGTTCTCAACGTTTTGTCATTACAAAAGTAAAGGTAAAGAACACGGGAAATATGTTCACGGTACAGAACTCTATGATTATTATAATCAGTAAAAATTTAATTAAAAGAAAGCTTTATATAAAGTATTAATCATTTTAAGTGTTGAATGTCGTAATTTACGCATTATTATTAATGACTATTACAAATATCTTTTTAAAAACCTTAAATACTATTGAAGTTTTCTGAAAAAACACTGATTCAAGGTATTTTAGTTTCATTTAATTGAACCTTTTTCAAGGTAAAATTGAAGATTAGTGTAGATGAACGTAGGGTTTGTCTTTCGTATTTAATTTAAGAAATATTCATACCGCAGCTTTTTGAAAGAAATTAAAACGTAAAAATTTGCTCATTTTTTCGTTATTGATTTTATGCACGTGATTGAGTTCAAGAAATTAGAATATGTGAAGGCATTCTTAGAAGACTTTTTTAAGTAATCAGGCAACTATTCATCTGATTATATTCTGTCATACCTTTGCAAATTTTGACAATTTATCAACATTTAACATTTATTTTTCAAGAAACTTTTGATTAAGTGTGAGACGTAAGCTTCAAACATCTAAATTTGCATTGAAAAGAAACAAACATAAATATACAAAAAAAATATAAACACTCATAAATTTGAGATTCGTAATGCTTTTAACATTAATCAGTTTCATTTTAGTGGAAAAAAATTATAAGCTGCAATGATTGCAAAGTTCATTCGTTTTCTCTTGTGAAGTTCACTAAAATTCACTAAATATCACTAAAATTGTACAAATTTTTACAAGGATATTCACTTCTAATCTCTCTGTTCTGTTATAATGAAGTTAAATAAATTTTGCATTTAACTTTGCATCCGTTTAGTTTAATTTTAAATTTATGTCTACTAGATGTAGCATGAAATATGTAAGCAGAGCTTGGAACTAGAAAGAATCTTTAGTAATAAACTTTGATCTAGTAATAATTGTAAAATCCTTCTGCTAAATTTAAAATTACTTCCAAAGCCTGAACGTCGGAAAGATTAGTGAAATAAAAACTCGTTACATAGTAAACTGGTTGATTTTCTTGTTGGATGTTAATACATATAATTCTAATTTTTTTTTTAATCACATCATATATTTCCAACTGATCAGTTACCTTTAAGCTTTTGAACGAAGAAGTCGCAAATAAATAAACAAACAATGGAAACTGTGAAAAATTTATTCAATAAATGGGAAGATTTTTTGGAGCATAAATCAGATCCAAGAATATCAAAATATTTTTTAATGCAATC